CAAATCAGTGGATAGGTCGAGGAGGACCACAGAACTGGCCCGCTCGATCCCCGGATCTCAATCCTCTCGGTTTCTCTATTTAGGGCCATTTACAGCATTTGGTTTATCGTACTCCTGTTCGCGATGTAGAGGACTCAAGAAACCGCATCATCGATGCGTGCAGGGTAATCAGAGAGACTCCAGGAATATTTGAGCGAATACGTGACTCAATACGACGACGTCTAGACGCATGCGTAATGTCTGAAGGTAGACTTATTGAACATTTACTATGATTTCTACATGTTGTGTGTTTTGTTATTAATAACTTAGTTTTGTTTATTACCCTTTAATCGTTTAATGCAGATACTAACTACAAAATAACAATAAATCCAGTTCGCATTTATGACGAGCTCAAATGGAAGTGTGTAACTTAATTAATGAAAAATATCCAGAAAGATGCATAACACAGTCAGCAAGATTGTATAATGAAATTTGTTTGTAAAATGCAGAATATTAAAATTAAAAATCGACGTGTTTCAGATTTTTGTAAAACGACACCTTTTGTTTTGGAAATCGAATTTATTTTATACTTTGCGGACACCCTGTAGAATTCTATGTTCTTCATTTCGACAAGTAAGTTTTTATATATCTTACAGCCATTGTAAATAAATGTCATTGTAAATAAATGAGTTTTTAATCAGTCGTTTTGGCATTTCTTCATAATCAATACCATTTCTAAGATATAAAATGACTCTGCAGTTGGTATTTTATGGGATTCAAATAAAGGCCTACAAGGCTTGTTACATTAAGCTTTGCACATTTCTCAAAGCTTTTGTTTGCGATTTGAATGTGTTGTTGAATAGATAATCGCTGCAACTACCTCAAAATGAAATCCAATACCTCAAGTGCGAGTTTGAAATATGAAGTTACAATAAATAGAAATAAGTACTCAAATAAAACACTTACGGGACAATTATACTCCCTTTCCATCCTCTGGGCATATATTTCCAGATGCAGTTCTCCCATCCCAGATACGATGGTTTCCTTGTTGTCATTATCGAAAAAGAAGTGAAACGTAGGATCTTCCTTGGTGAATCTAGCTACAGCCTTTGAGAAGTTATCTCTGACAAAAAATTGAAAGAATATCAAAGGTAAATCATATCAAACGCAAACTCGTAATCGTATAACAATTAATAGAGTGGAGAAACATTGACCAAGTACCTGTCTTTGGAGTTAACAGGAGCTATAGACATGGAAACCACGGGCTCAGGTACGAAAATCGATTCCAAGGATATATCAGACTTGGGGTCGGTCACGAAAGTATCACCACTGGCGCAATCCACTCCGAAGAGGGCGAATATGTCTCCCGCATAGACCTCGTTGACGTCTTCCATCGTGTTCGAGTGCAAACGGACAAGCCTGGCGATCCTAACTTTGCGCTGGGTACGCATGTTATAGATCGAGTCACCTGGAATTGTGAAAAAATTCATTCACGACGAAGAGCCAAGTGTTTCTGGAAGAATTTCAAAGAATGTAGAACATTCCATTCTTCCATGACATTATCCTTTTCATAATGTGTTTATTTCATCATATTTCCCTTTCTACTTGAACAAATCTAGATTGTAGATTATTGAATTGAACCTCAAGCAACGGACAACTATTGTTTGGTGCAAACTTTTGACTCACACTGATTCTTGAGGAACACTCAGCTTATTTTTGGACGCTCGTCGTTGCTTCTCATAATAATGATAATATTAAATGGTCTTTATTTTTACCTTACCATAATTTTTTGGCCAAAAACAACGCCGTAATCATGCCTCAGCCACCGTATTGACCAGATTTGGCCCTCTGCGATTTTTTCCTGTTCTCAAGATTGTAGAGACCCATGAAAGGACGGCGTTTTGCGACGATTGAGGAGATAAAACAGACCTCGTAGAAATGTTATATGTATAGTAACTACTCATTCTTGTGAGAATTTCTTTGAATTCATTTCTGAAAGGAGTGAGTAGTAATTGTTTCATTTCATTAGGAAATTAATGAGTGGAAGTATGGAATGTCTATTGATTTGCTTCGTTCTAATCTCATTTTTCAACTCTGGATGTTAAGTAAAATATATTTATGATACGTATGTATAAGAATATGAAAGTATCAGAAAGTAAAAGCGCCTAAAGGCCGAATGTTCTGCACACAGTAACCGTGTGGAAAAGATTTCAACTCAGGGCACTCAACCCGGGAGGTGTCACGGGGGGGGCTATGAAAATTAGTAGCTTCATTGAATATCAAAATGAAAGTTCTCAGGCACATTTTCGCTTACCTTTCTGAAGCATGCCCTGGTAGCACCTCATATAAGTCAGCTGTCCAAACCTGCCAGCCTCAAGCTTGAACGCCAACGCCACGAATGGATTCTTGTTAGTTCTGGTCCCGTCCAACAAAACCTTCACGGATTCCTCCCCCTCCTTTTCCTTCAGACCATAATTCGAGACTTCTCCTGGGTTCGGCAGATAATCCAAGACGGCATCCAGTAGCGGCTGCACCCCTTTGTTCTTCAAAGCAGTTCCTACCAAGACAGGGGTGAATTTACGTTGCAGACACGATCTGCGGATGGCAGACTTGATGTCTTCCTGCGTGAAAGGTCTCTCTTCCAAGTACAACTCCCCGAAAGCGTCATCGCAGTTGGAGAGGTGCTCGATGAGTTCATGTCGCCTTTCCTCGCTTTCGGCCCTCATGTCCTTGGGGATTTCATCGTAGCGGAGCTGCTCGCCGAAAGGACCCTCGAAATATATAGCCTGTTCTGTGATTAGGTCGATGATACCTTTGCAGTCCGACTCCAGCCCGATGGGAAGTTGGATGAAGGCAGCGTGATGGTTCATCTTCGACCTCATTTGCGACAGGACCCTCTTCGGATTGGCGGCCAGCCTGTCCAGCTTGTTGATGAAGGCCAAGCAAGGTACGTTATACCTGTGGCATTAGATCACCTCGGTCATTATCGCCCAGTATAAACATTCAGGGATGATACAAAACATCAAAAACAGTTTTCGACTGGAGAGTTTATAAACTTGCAACTAATTTGTGTTTTACGAGGGTGGTCCCAGTAGTACCCAGCTTTTCCCATAGATGGCGGTAGTTGTTTGGAAAATATCACTGCATTAGACAATACACAATCTATGTGTGTGTGTGTTGTTTTTGAACTCACAAAATGTTTCAGCGCAAATATTTACCAGGGAATCGGCAAAGTGTCTAATGGTTACTTTTGTAAAGCATTTCAATATCAATTTAGTGAACACAGTGAAAATATATAGGTATAGAATGTAATTTTTTTACTATAAGAAACTACGACTACATACCTTTTCATCTGCCGGTTAACAGTGAGCGACTGACTCTGAACCCCTCCGACGGCACACAGCACTAAGATAGCTCCGTCTAGGACCCTCAGAGCTCTCTCTACTTCTACAGTGAAGTCCACATGTCCTGGAGTGTCGATTATATTTATATTGTGTTCCTTCCACAAGGTGTACGTTGCGGCTGACTGGATGGTGATACCACGCTGTCGTTCGAGTTCCATAGAGTCCATGGTAGCCCCCACGTTGTCTTTCCCCCTCACTTCGTGCATGGACTCTATTCTTCCTGTGTAGAATAAAATACGTTCCGTAAGAGTGGTCTTGCCGGAGTCTATATGTGCGGATATTCCTATGTTCCTTATTTTGCTCAAGTCCTTGTGTTCCGCGTATTTTGCGTAGTTGGACATGTACTTACTACCGACCTACAAGTGTTTCTGTTAGAATTGAGATGTACTAATGATTGTGCGAACTTACCCTGAAAACGCGGTCCAAACGTCTGAAAATGTATTTGTTGTTGATTCTAAACATTTTTTTCTGGGTGTTATATAAGAATCGTGAGGAAACTTGGATTTTTATAAATTACTCTAAAAAAAAGGGGGTTACTTCGACTTATGCGGAATTCGAGGTTATTTTCCGCTTCTGTTTTTTTAATTATATGACAGAATTTGTTTTTTATTGGCTTCAAGTAGTGGAGGCAACTAGCCCTAGTGGAGGTAACTCCAAAGAAGTGTTACCCCATTAAAGTAAAGTTTCATGTTTCTAGACATTATTTGTTCAATATATGCAGAAACGAGTTGATATATACGAAAGCGTAGAAGGACCACAATAATCTATATTATTTTTCCACGATTCACAGTTATAACTGTGAGTTGTGGAATGTACACTCTATACTGTGAATGTTAAAACAGGTTACATTTATTGTAAACATATTTACTAGATGATTGTTGATGAAACAAACACCTGAAACCAAACCACAGATCACAAAAACTAAGTAAATTCACAAGCGTTTTACAGTTTTGGTGTTTGGGAAAACTATTTTTGTTAGATTCGTTATACACCACAGAGGTTCCAATTACACCTTCAAGTTTTTTTTAAATACTGTTGGAGAATATCAGTACAAATATATGATTGGCAAATTGAATAATATAAAGGTGATCGTTGTTTATTTGAAACAAAACAGATGTCGTATTTTCAATACAAAAGACAATACAAGGAGCGTACAATGTTATTTGTTGTCTCTATCAAGCCTATTAGTCGAACCAGTTCGTTTTGCATTAGTTTTCGATTTGCTAGGATCCTAGAAAAGACAATAATAGAAAACTAACTGTTGACCTCGAAAGGTCGCCCAAAATACTCACTCGTGATAAATCAGTGAAGAAAGGAGTGGTTTTGGTCCTCGAACTTGAAGAAAGATTCCGGTTGTTATCTTTCACGGGAGTCAAACCCGGAGAAGGCGATCTTCGTAACGCTTTTTCCTGCAGCTTCATTCGCAGCATCATTTCGTTGTTGAGAGTCTTTTCCAATTTTATTCGCATCGACTGAAAGTTAAAAGATGATTCTACTACACGAAATTATGAAGAAAAATTGAAATGTACCACTGCCACAAAAATGTTCGTTGTGTACTTAAAGTTTGATATCACATACCTCCAAACTCTCTGTGTCCTTCCTTTTATTTTGTCGTGCTCTGTCTCTCTCAGCTTCAAGCAAATTCTTCAGATGCTGCGTATTAGTTCTCTCTTTTTCTAGTTCTTCTTCCAAATTTCGATTTTTTGCGCGCTCTTCTTCAACGGCCACTCTGAAAGGACAGACTATGTTTGAACAGAATGAAACGTGGAAAGTGTAAGGGAGGTGAACGGGTTCCTTACAGAGGTACTGTTACGGTCAAGAATGAAAGAATACAAGTTTTCAGGACCGAAACTAGCCAGCGTTGAAGCTACTTTACGGATTTGTCACCTTCGGTAGACATCGTCAAAAGAGCGAGGCAGTGTTCCAACAAATCCGAAAAATAGCTTCGACGTGATCAAGAGATTATGCCACAATAAGTTTTTCTTTACACGTACATGTATTGTTCTAACTTTTGTTCGTGGTAAGACTTTTGACGCTGGATGATATCTCTTTCCTCTTGGATGGTAGAAACAACTTTGGACTGTGAGCCAATTTGATTCATTAGATCGCTGTTCTTCTGTTTTTCTGCCTCTAGACTTCTGCGTAATTCGCTGAGCCGTTCTTTCTCTAATTTAACGGCCACTTGCATGGCGATAACTGAGGATATAATGTAAAGTTATGACACTACTGACTGTTACACAATATAAGTGACAGTTTTCGAAATGGTGAGGAAAAATACGAAGCAGACAATTCTTCAGGTTATCACAGACTCATGTCTCACCTTTCTGTTGAGCATGCTTCTGTTTCTTCATAAGATCTCCTTCCAAAGCCGCGATCCTTCTCATCAAAGCCAACCTATCATTTTCATTGGGTTTCAGCACTCCGCTGTTTTGTCCTAATTTGGCAAGAACGTCAGCAGTAGCGTCGATTATTTTATTATGTAACAGTTGAAGCTCTTCGATGTTGAGCGCCTGAAAGTATAACCTCAAAAAATCTCGACTTATGAACAATAAACGACAATAATTGCTCATTTTTAGTAGCACCTTTTCATTGTCAATTAAAAATAAGAGGGAATGAGCAACATCCATATAGAATGTCACTTCTGTAGTATGTTTGTTGAAATTTATTGAATTCATTTTTATTACTATCATTTCGAATTTTATACCTCCAAACCATTTCTTGATAATTTATCCACGACATCAAACATATTAGGGACACAAGTACAAGTCTTTCTTCCAAAAAATTTCAATTCTTTTTCAGAAAGAGGCGTAGTTATGGCAATCACGTCAGGTAAAGAAACCGTTTTGAACGTTTCCATCTTCAGTGTTTCCACAGCTTTCTCTTTCGGTTGCACCTACAACAAAATCATATAACAATCAGTTTCCTAATGAACCCTCATCCAACGTGCAACCAACCGAGTCTCCTTTATCTTTTTCCTCTGTCGGCACAGGCAAATCGATAACTTCTTTTCTGAGGCTCTCTATATCTCTCGCGAGCGTCTCACTCTTTCGTTTCTCGTCTTCGAAACCTTGCTTCATGTTGAGCAAACTCCGTTCCAGATTATCTTTCTCCTTCTGTAGCTTGGAATTGTCTTTCGCCAATTGTTCGTTCTTCTTTTTCTCTTCCTCGAGCGCCCTCAACAAATCCGCGATTTTCTGCCCGTCTTCACTAGCTTTGGCTTCGAGGATCTCGCTCTTGCGTCTCTCTTCCTTGCTCTTCTTCCGCTCCTTCATTATTATGCTCTCCACTGCCTCCACCTTGTCCTTAATATCGAGACTTTTCCTTTTCTGTTCCTCTAGAATCTTCTTCAATCTGTCTCTCTCCACCTTCACAGCCTCAAGATCCAATTTAGCTTTGCGCAGAGCGTCTTGCAAGCTCATCATGTCTTCGTCGTGCGGCTCGTTGAGATTTCTAACGAAATCTTCGTGAGCTTGCTGCAGCTTTGCTATACTCTCTTCGTTCTGCTTCAAGAGATTCTTCATTTCTCTGTCGAATTGCTGTTTCATCGATGCTATTGTATCGGTGCATTCTTGCTTCTGTTTGGCCAGTTCATCTTGAAGTTGCTTAATCTTCTTTTCGTAATCTGAAAGAGGAATTTAATTGAGTAAACTTATTCACAATACGCTCCGTAGATGTCTGACCTATGATTGTATCCAAGTCTCCTGTCGTTGCTTTTCGCGGCTCCCCAGTAGCCTGGTCCGCCCTCTCTTTAGTCTCTTTCAAACTATCATTCACTTTTTTCAGTTGGTCCTCCAATTCTTTGGCGTTGGCAGCGGCTTTGTTATCTTTCTCATTGGCCTCTTTCAAGCTATCATTTAATTTCCCTAACTGGTCTTGTAACTCCTTGATTTTCTCTTTCAATTTTTCGTTTTCATCCCGAAGCTGAGCGATTTTAGTATCCTTCTCTTTGGCGGCCGAGTTAGCTTTATCTAATTTTTTCATTAGATCCTTAACCTGATTTTCTTTGTTGGCGAGCTCCAGCTTAAGCTTGGACACTTCATCAGCTAGATCGGATTTCTGCTCCAGTTGTTTTATCCTCGCTTTCAGCTTGTCGTTTTCGTCTTGTAGCTGCTCGATAACTGCGTCTTTAGCTTTGTTATCCGAAAGGGCCTGTTCCAGATTTTTCTTCATTTTTCCCAGCTGTTCGTCTTTTTGAGCAGCTTCCTGCTTCATCTTAACTAGTTTATCAGCGAGTTTTGTTGCCTGATCCTCCAACTCAAACACCTTTCCTTTGAGCTTTGCAATTTCGTCAGTAAGTTGACCAATTTTTGAGTTTTTATCACCAGTCTCAGCGAGGGCCTTATCCAAATCCTTTTTGAGGTCATTGATTTGGTTGTCTCTCTGCGCAATTCCTTGCTTCAGTTTTGCAATCTCATCTCTCAAATTTGAAGCGACGCCCGCGGCGTTTTTGGCATCCGAAATGGCAGCATCAAGATCTTTTTTCGTTTTAGAGCTATTGGTTTCTAATTCCGCGATTTTCTGTTTCAATTTCGCGTTTTCATCCTGAAGCCGTTGAATATCCGTAGCTTTGCTCTTAGCATCGTTGAGAGCAGAATCTAGATCTTTCCTCATCTTGGTGTTGTTATTCTCCAGATCTGCAATTTTTTGCTTGAGCTTCGCGTTCTCATCCTTCAGTCGCTGCACTTCCGTCGTTTTACTCTTCGCATCATTCAGAGCATTATCGAGTTCCTTTTTCAACTTTGTGTTCTCGTTCTCGACCTGCGCCAGTTTTTGCTTGACATTAGCATTCTCTTCTCTCAACTTGTTGAGGTCGCTCTTGCCGCTTCTAACATCTCCATGGGCCGAGTCAATCTCCTGCTTCAGCTGAGCGTTGTTAGTCTGTAGCTGAGCCAACAACTGCTTCATCGATGTCTCGTTGTCTCTAGCTTGGTTCAGCTCTGCGGCAGTTTTCTTCTGTTCCTCTAGCGCTTTGCTGAAATCCTTCTTCAGTTTGTCAAGTTCGCTTTCTAACTGCTTGATTTTCTGGTTCAACTTGGCATTTTCGTCAGATAGCTGCATACTATTGTTCGCGGCGACTTTGGCATCAGCCACAGCGCTGTCTAGATTTTTTTTCAGTGTAACGTTATCCTTTTCTAGTTGCGCGACTTTTTGCTTGAGCTTGGCATTCTCTTCTTGGAGGTTGGATTGTGCCGAAACTCCTTTCTTAGAATCGTTCACAGCAGACTCTAGATCCTGCTTCAACTTTGCGATTTCAGACTCAAGCTGCGAAATCGTTTGCTTCTGTTTGGAGTTCTCACCCCTCAGCTTGTTCACCGCATCAGTTCCTTCTCTAGCCTCCTTTGATGCAGCTTCGATATCACTTCTGAGCTTGGCGTTTTCTTTCTCCAGTTGCGACATTCTCTGCTTCAACTTGGCGTCATCAGCCTGCAATTTATTCAAACCAGAAGCACCCGTTTTAGCGTTCTCTAGCACGGTATTCAACTCCTGCTTCAGTCCCGCTATTTCCCCTTCGAGTTGAGAAATACGCTGTTTCAGTTTGTTGTTCTCATCTTTCAACTGAGTCGATGCGTTGCTTGTAGACATGGCATCGCTCAAAGCCTTGTCCAAGTCCTTTTTGAGCTTCGAGTTCTCCATTTCCAGTTTAGCCAGCTGCTGCTTCAATTTCAAATCTTCGTCTCTCATTTTCGTCAAGTCGGCGTTGCTTCTTTTCGCCTCGGCCAGGGCGTCCTGCAAGTTTGATTTCAGCTTCGTGTTCTCGTCTTCCAACTGAGCCAGCTTTTCTCTCAGCTTGGCGTCCTCGCTCCTAGCCAGATCGGCCCCAACAAGGCTTTTTTTCGCCTCGGCCGTAGCATTATCGAGCTCTTTTTTCAATTTAGCGTTCTCCGATTCCAGCGAGGCTACGCGTTGTTTCAGCTTCGCTTCGTCGTCTTTCAGTTGGGATAAGGAGGTTTGGGCTTTCTTCAAGTCATCCATGGAACTGTCCAAGTCTTTCTTCAGCTTCGCGTTTTCTGATTCGAGCTGAGCGAGCTTTTGTTTCAATTTATTCACCTCGTCTTTGGTTTGAGTCAAATTATCGGTAATCGTTTTCAGCTCGGCATTCAAAGCTAATACGTCTTTGTTCAACTTGTTGTTTTCGGATTGCAGTTGCGCGTTGAGTTGCTTGAGCTTGGCTTCGCTGTCTCTCAACTTTTCTATTTCGGAGTCACTCTTTTTCGCATCTCCTGCCGCGCCCTCGTACTTTGTTTTCCAGCTAGAAACATCTCTTTCGAGATCAGAGATTTTTTTCTTCAAGTTGTCGATCTCATTCTGAAGCTGGGCTATCGTTTTTGGGCACTTTATGTGCTCCTCTGAGGCGTCAGCAAGATCTTTTTTCAGCTTACTGTTCGCATCCTCCAGCTGCCCAACTTTTTGTTTCCATTTCTCCGAATCATCGACGAGTTTCTTATCCCCCGAAGCAGCTTCCAAATCTTTTTTCAACCTTCCATTCTCCTGTTCGAGCTGCTCGATTCTCTGCTGCAGTTTGTTGTTTTCATCCTTCAGAGCCAGGAAATTGGATAAGTTAGCCTTGCTGTTAGCTGAGGAGGTGTCCAAGTCTTTTTTCAATTTGGCGTTGTCTGTTTCCAACTGAGCTATTCGCTGTTTCAACGCGGATTCGTTGTCTCGCCCTTTCGACATTTCTGATGCTGCATTCCTAGCGTCGTCTAGCGCCTTGTTCACATCCTTCTTCAGCTTTTCGTTTTCGGACTCTAATTGCGCCAATTTTTGCTTCGTTTTGTTCTGTTCATCTTGCATTTGCGAAATCGTCGCGTTGGCTTTGCCGAGTTTATCCAAAGCAGCGTTCAGCTCTTTGCCCAATCTGGCGTTCTCTTCCTCCAACTTAGCCACCCTCTCTGCAAGTTTATTATCATCTGTTTTTGATTTATCGGTCCCGGCGGCCTTTTTAGCTTCGCCCTCCGCTTTTTCAATGTCTTTCTTAAGTTTCGAATTGTCATTTTCCAAATTAACCAGTTTCTGTTTCAGTTTCGCAGTCTCTTCCCGCAGATCCGATGCTTTCTTGGCTTCATCTAGAGCAGCGCTCAAATCTTTCTTGAGATTCGCATTTTCCGCTTCCAACTTCGCGAGTCGTTCCTTTAAATTGGCGTTGTCGTTTTGCTGCCGTGAGAGCTCTGCCGCTGCTTTCTTCGCCTCTGTATTCGCTGCATCTTGGTCTTTCTGCAGCTTCGACAGTTGAGATTCAGCATTGTTTTTAGCTTTCTTGAGTTTTTCCAACTCTTCTTCGAGTTTCTTCGATTTATCGGAGCTGCCACCTAAATTACGCTCTGCAGCATCTAATTTGGTCTTCAATCCATTATTTTCCTCTTCCAACTTTGATATTTTCTGTTTCAGTGCTGCCAGCTCGGCCTGCAAGTCGCCCACTTCGGAAGACGCTTTTTTGGCAGCGTTCAAAGCCGAATCCAGATCTTTTTTCGTCCTGGCCAACTCGTTTTCCAGATTTTGCATATCCTTTTGATATTTGGAGTTATCTCTCTCCATCTGTGCCATTCTTTCAAGGTCTTTTCTAGAGTTACTCGTCAAAGTTTCAAGATCTTTCTTCAGCTTGTCGTTGTCGCTTTTCAGTTTTGTCATTTCCTGCTTCAACTCGCCAATCTCATCTTGCAATTTGGATATTTTTTCGTAGGCGTTCTTTATCTCATTATCTTTCTGAGCGAGATCGTTTTTGAGTTCCGCTTTTTCTTTTTCGAGCCTTGTGACATCAGCCTTCAATTTGGAAACTTCATCTTTCAGCAATTCGTCGCCCGACAGGCCTGCCTTAAGCTTATCCACAGTCGCCTTCAAGTCGTCGTTCTCGTTTTGTAAACCAGAAATCTTTTTTTTCAGCTGGGCGTTTTCATCCACTACCTTTTTAGCCTCGTTCAAAGCATTATCAAGATCCTTCTTCAACTTGTCTGTATCGCTCTTTCCTTGAGTGACCAACTGCTTGAGATCGCCGTTTTCCTTCTCCAACTCATCTATATTTTCTTTCAGCCTCGCGATTTCTGCCTTCAACATGGCCGTAGGATCGCTAGCTTTCATGTTCTTCAGAGCTGTTTCGGCAGCATCAGCACGTTGTTGAGCATCTTCAAGTCGTTTCGTCAAGTCTTTAATAACGTTTTGCAACTCTTCAGATGGTGCGAGAGTCGGTAACTTTTCAGCGAGTGGTATTTTTTTCAGCTGGTTCTCCAAATCTTCGATAATTGACTGCAGGCCCTCTTTCTCTTTCTTTTCTCTCTCTAGTTGCGACGCAGTTATTTGGACGATCGGCGATGGTTTCTTCAGCTTCTCCAACAACTCGGATATCTCTCTAGCCTGTAACTCAACTTTCTTCAACAAATCATGATTTTCGGTCTTCAACTTATCCAGAAGATCGGCATCTGGCAGAGCTTTCTTGAGCTTCTCTATCTCGCTCCTGGCATTGTCCAAATCCTTTTTCACTTGTTCGCCTTCATTTTTACACGACGTGAGTCTGGCTGACAGATCTTTGTTCTCAGCCTCGAGCTGCTTCAGTCTATAAAGTTCGTCCTGGAGCTCTTTGTTTTTCTTGTTGACCAGGTCCAGCTCGTTTTCTAGCTTGGAACTTCTTCGAGAAGTGGTGACTACGTTACTAGTTAGCATCTTCTCAAACCCTTCCTTTTCCTGGTTCAGTTTCTCAATCTGCGATTTTAAATCCTCTTGATTTTGAAGCTGCTTCTGAAGATTGTTGATTTGGGCCAAACGGTCTTTCATATCAGTTCTTTCTTTGTCCAATTCTTTCCTTAGACGATCCACTTCGGAGGTATCTCCTGCCTTGGCTAGTTCCGAAATTATACCCTCTAACTCCTTGATTCTATCTTCGGCATTGCGCTGAAGGTTCTTGCTTGCTTCCAATTGGTTTCTGAGATCTGCATTTTCAGCTTCGAGTTTTTTCAACTGTTCTTGGTACATATTTTTTACGTCTACTTGATCAGCTGATAGTAGCTTCGACAACTGCTCCTCCAGCTGTTGGTTTTTGATGTCCTCCTGTTGCAACCTCCTATTCACTTCATCAAACTGAGAAAGCTGATTTTCCAAATCCAGTATTCGATTCTGTAGGTTTAGAAGTTGATCTTCGGCATTATGGCGGAGGTTTGTCTCCTGTTGTAATTTCTCCCTCAGCTCCATCATTTCTGATAGTTGTTTTTCCAGATTTAATATTTTATTCTGAAGGTCTTTGTTGATGGCTGGCAAATCTCTCAGTTCCAACAATTCTGAAAGTTGTTTCTCCAGCTCGAGTATTTTATTTTGAAGATCTTTGTTGACAGCTAGCAAATCTCTTAGTTTATCATCTTCCGGCACATCTTTGGACAGTTGGCTTTCTAAAACCTCCAGTCGCTTGTTGAGAGCAGCAACTTGATCTTCAGCATTCTGACGAAGGTTCTGTTCTTGCTGTAATTTCTTCTTCAGCTCCATCATTTCTGAAAGTTGCTTTTCCAGCTCAAGTATTTTATTTTGGAGGTCTCTGTTGGCAGCCAACAAATTTCCAAGTTCATCATCTCCGGAAACTTTTTTTTCCTGCAGTTGGTTTCGTAAATCCTCTAGTTGTTTCTGAAAATCAGCAAGTTGATCTTCAGCCTGACGATGTTGGTTCTGCTCTTGCTGCAATTTCGTCTTAAGTTCCATGAGTTCCTCCTTAGACCGATTGAGTTCAGCTGATTGTTTTTCCAGCTCCAGTATTCTATTTTGAAGATCTTTGTTGAGGGCAAGCAGATCTCTCAATTTATCGTCTTCCGAAACATCTTTCGATAACTGATTTTCTAAAACCTCCAGTCGTTTTTGAAGAGCAGCTTTTTCCGCAACACAGTTTTCCAACTCTTTCCTCATCTTCTCAGTATCCTCACCCCTACCAGCTTGCAACTCTTCAATCAGTTTCGAAAGTCTGTTCTTCTCTAGTTGCATGTCTGTTAGCTGACCTTTCAGTTTAGAATTGTCATCCTCTAAGATAGACAGTGCTTCCTTCGCTTTCTTCAAACGTTCAACGAGATCCTCTATCTGGTCTTTGGCTACCTCTTGCACTTCGGAGGAATGCCTCCGCAATGCCATGTTTTCGGCTCCCAACTTTTCAGTATCTGATAACCGATCCTTCAGCTTCAAGATGGTATCATTAGCCTGAGCGAGTTCTTGTTCCAGCGCCTCAATTCTCTCTTCCAGGTGTTTGCACTTACTATCAGTCGATCGGGCTGTGTGCATTTCCTCCTCTTGTTCTTCCTCTGGTTCCTCTTTTATAGACGGTCTGCAGTCCCATTTCCTCCAGTCAGGTTCGTATCTTGTCTCTGAAATTAGCGCTGCGATATTAAACTTACTTGATCAATGTAGTTAAGGGGGAAAAATACTCACCTTTATCTTTCCCTCGTTCCTTCTCACCCAATTGTTGTAGTTCTTCTGTGAGAGTACCGACACAAGTACATTGGCAAGGGACAGTTTCACTGGCTTTTGCGCTTTTTCTCACAACTGTCTCGTCTTCATCCTCATGATCTGTAGAAACACCAATATCCATGCAACTGCAGGGAATGTTATCAACCCCTCTATCCTCTTTCTTTCGTACTTTATCTGCACATGTGCATGTGCACGGTCTAATACCGGGCAAGCTCATGACCAATGCTCGCAGTTCATCGCTAACTTCATCATAAGGTTTTTTCTCGGTGCCCTTATCGAACTTTTCCGAACCTTCTTGCGGCCTGGTCATTTCGTAACCCCCCTCTGTAGAATCCGTAGTCGCAACCCCTCTACTAGCACAGGTACAAGTAATAGTAGCGACTGCCTTCTCTCGTTTGCAGTCCCACATGCTCGAGTCTCGTGTGCTAGTCCCAACAGGCCTCCGATCTGAGGGACTCCTATCTCTATTCTGTTTGCAATCCCACAATTTTGGATCTGTTGTAGCTATTCCTTTACTGACACACGTACAAGTACTTGTAGGAACTCCCTTGTCCCTTTTGCAGTCCCAAGTCTTTGGGTCACCAGAACTCTGTTCCCGTTTCTTCTTGCAATCCCACAAACTGGAGTCTTTTGTTTCAGCTCCAAATTGCATGCAGTTACAAGTCCGTTTAGGAGGTGATTTTGGTTTTTGCTCTCTGGTGCCTGTTCCAATGGTTAAACAGACGCAGCTTCTTTTATTTGTGCCCCTTTCTGTCTTCTTTGCTTTGCAATCCCACTCTTCGAAATGTTGAGTATCACCAGCTGGATCTTGCAGCGGTCTCGATTCTTTCACATCTTTATCCTTCTGATCGTCCTCCTCTATTTCCTTCAGCTTGTTTTTGATGCAGTCCCATTCTTCGTACTGCTTGCTCAACTCCATTGCGATTCTTTGCACAGCGCATTTGGACTGTTTTAACAACTCGTGAAGATGTTCATCTCCTGCGGCAGTTCCCATGTTGGAAAGCGTTTCTTGGAGTTTCTTATTTTCTTCCTTTGCCGCTTCCAGTTCATTTTGAATGGCGACTTTATCTTGTGGCACCTGATTCAGCATTACCTGCGCCTTCTCAAAATCGCTCAGAATGGGCTCATGGTCTTTGAGAACATCCTGTAAGGTTCTTATCGAGTTTTCTTTTTCTTGAAGCATTTTCATCAAATATTCATTGTCAGAAGTTAGATCCAAGATCTGTTTATCCAAGTAATCGTTTTCTTGCTTCAAATCAATCAGAGCCAACTCCAAGCGCTCTTTGTCCTTCTCCAAGTAAGCGTAGTCATCTTGCAGGCACTTGCATTCTATTTTCAGGTTGTTGTTGTCCTTCTGGAGATCGTTGAAACGTTTCTCCAGTTGTTCGTTTCTACTTTTGAGCTGCGCCGTTTCTGTACTGAGCCCGTGAATGGTGTGTCGCAAGTCGGCTTGCAAAGAAGCTAGTTTTTCTTCAGATGATTGGATTAGGTTATCCTTTTTCTCGAGTTCCGATCTCATTGAAGACAAGACGTCCTTCAGTTTCTCCTAAAAGCGACACAGTTCAAATTCAGATCGAAAATAAAAAGTTAGCAAAACCTATAAGTGGAGAGACACTTAGATATTGAATCTGTAACACACACTCACTTTCTATCATAGTTTCAAAACCTACCTGTTGCTCGTCTCTTCCTTTGGCTAGCACGTCAATGTGACATACCAATCTTCTGATCTCATTCTCTTGGTCCGCTATGCACTGTTCCAAATCTTCCACTTGATTTTCGAGAGCGTCCCTTTCTTTTTCTATAGTTTTAGCCTTCTGTACTTGCGCGCGTAGTATGTCGCATTCACATTCCAATCCAAGCAGGTTCTCGTACTTTGCCTTGAACATGTCCCTCTCGGCTTTCAAAACTTCCAGGCACTTCATCTGTAACGGTACAAAAACGAATAATTTTCACGCAGTCGTAACACTGTACTGTCCGAATCTCACCTGGGACCTCATGTGATCGAAGTCCTTCTCCATGCGGACTAGTTCGTCGAGGCTCCTCTTGAGATGGTCTCTCTCCTGTTTCGTCCTCTCCTTGTCTTTGCATAGACACTTCAGGCTTTCCACGTCGTGTTCTAGACAAGCGATTTTCGAACGCAGCGTGTCACTTTCAGTCTTCTCGTTGAACGCATCGATTTCGGCCATGGAACATCTGCACCGCAAATGATCCAGTTCTTCCTCCATTCGGGCCTTCTCCTTCTTGTAGGCGTCTAGAGCCTCCTGCAGTTCTTCAACCCGTGCTGATTTTTTCCGCAGGTTGTAAACTTCTTCGTCAATGCCTACGGAAAGTTGTCAATTAGCCACGATTCTGAAGTAGTCCTTAAAGTACATAACCTCACAATTGGGCAGCGGTGCCAACCATAAGCTGGTTGAATATGAAATTTTCATTTGAAACATGGTTTATATAAATTTCGGCAGATTTAGTAGTCTTGAAGGTGACTCGAATATAGAATTAGAGGATTTGAATCCAATGTGCAAGAAGGAACTTTCCAAAAGTTCCAGTGTGTTTTTTTAGAAAAAAATACGACTCAGATGTTCCGAGTTCCGATGTTTATAGTCAAATTCATTGTTTCTCGGGATGATTCGAAGGATTAACGGGAGAAATTTGGAATAAAATTGACTGAAAGCAAATATAAATCATCATCAACTAACAATGTTCACTTATATAAAAATACCCTATTCATAAATACCTCTAAGTTGCTCGACACGTTTACTTAAGCGATCTCTATCCTGCAGGACCTCTTCCAGAAGCAGCGACCTCTGCTTGAACACCTCAACATCCTCAGGAAGATCATTGTAGGCGTACAGATCCTTCTCGAGCTGGCGGCATCTGACTTTCAAGTTGTCTCTTTCCCTAACTGTGGCTTCCAAAGTACTCAACTTCTTCTTGAGATCTTCGATTTCCATTTCGTTCTTCTCTCCGACGCCTAGGCGACTCAGCTTGCTTTCGTATTGAGAGATTTGCGCTTTAAGTTGGTGGTTCTCCTTTTGTATCACAGACAGTTTCGAGCAGTATTTCTTCAGGACTTCGACTTCTTTGCGGATGACCTTGGCTTCGAGGTCTGGGGTCAGTTTGCCAGATCGCATGTCGCCTGACGAAGAAAGGGTGCAAATTTTCTACGCTACTGACTTACAACAAAATTTCATGAACAAATTTACCTATTTCTTTCTCCAAGGTGGCTATTTCTTCTTCGCATGCTACTGAGCTCCCTTCTATGAAAGGAACGTGGATTGATCTGTCCTCCTCTATGCCAAATGGCTTTCCCAGTGCGATATTTCTCTAGAGAAGGATACGAAGAGATGAGTTTTCACGCCAAACAAATAATTATATTGGGTAGACACATTTTTAAGCATGTTTTTAACCTTGTTCAACCCCTGAACTTCAAGTGGTAGTAGTGGTCATGTGATGCGTAGTTGAAAGACCATCAATTTTTGTTTTACCACTAATTACTTTTGAAATTAGATACAGTGGGTCTACCTTATCCATTATCAGTTGGATGAGAAAGAATTTCCAGTCAATTCTTTCTTTACTCATATGGAGAGGATATTTCCTCTGGAAAGCTCAAAGTAAATCAAACTATGTGTTCAGAACAATAATAATGGGAACTGCAGAGATTTCAGAATGTTCCAAGAAGGAATATAATAGTCTATGACTACAGTAAAGAAATTTCCTTACGATATCTTCTTATGATATCGACCTTTTTTGGTTTTTGCACAATCTGAATAACATAAAAATTGTAGCGTACATAGTTCTTTCTCCACTAAGATCTTTTGAATTTTTCGGGCAAACAAAAAAATCTTTAAAAATTGTCTCTTTTGTCTCTTTTCTTACTTTGAGTTGTTCCAGTTCATTTTGGGAGCTTTCCAACTTCTTTCTGAGGTCGTCCCGCTCCTCCGCAATGTTCTTGATGTTCTCCAACTGCTCCAAAGCAGCAGCGGCAATTTTCCGTTGTTCTGCGCAGAAGGATTCTTTGGCCTGTAATCGAAACAAATACATCGAATGAACTACCAACACCGAGGAACTACTTACAATTCCGGGGTTGAAAACGCTAGTCATCTTGACGTGTATGTGTTTACATGATATATGATTGTGATGGGGTACGATTTTGACAGTTAGTGTCACTTGTCTGAGTCTACAGGGCGTTATAATTCTAATGAATTGTATGTAGCAATGCTTAGAATGATCACAGATTATTCAGAACGACTTTATCGATGAAGAGTTTGTATATTGTACCACTAGTACTTGATACATACGAGAAAAATGTTGAAAAGGGACGGGACGTATCAAATGGTACTTCAATTGAAAGTTAAAGATACAATTCGGAATAATTTACTTTTAAAAAATTACTTACTGCTAAAGCATTCTTCAACGCTATGATCTCAGCATCTTTATGAATAATCAATGCTGGCAAGTCCTCTTCAGAGTCTTTTGCTGTTACAGACGTGATGCGCTTCTCCAACACCTCCTGATCTCTCTCAAAACGTAGCTCGATAATGGATTTTTCTCGCCTGAACCCAGCAGCTTTCTCGTAAACACTTTCGTCTCCTGTATTTTCCCCACTCCTTCTGGAACAGGGAGCCTTGCAGACCCTCCCAGGCTTTTTTTCTTCGTTCAAATCAGACTTCTCTTTCGATTCCTTAGGTATTCTTCGGCAAGGGCCTTTGCAAACATTGGTTTCTCGTCTTGTTTGCCCTCTGTCAAGTGTATCTTTCCAACATTCACAGATCAGACCGGTCTGAGGACATATTCTCATTGCATCAGCTTCGGTTCCTTTATCTTCACCGGCTCCATCTTCATCAGTTGCCGTATCTTTGTCCTGTATGATATTTCTTGGGGTTTGGGACTCGTTATCCTTCTGTGCACATCTGGCTTCACATACTGGGGTTCGTCTGCCGAAAAGTGACGGCAAAAAACCAGAAGCTGCGGCTGCGGCAGGAAGAACTGTGAAAGCAGGAGCTTGCGCAGCAACGGGAAGAGGAGATGATGCTGGAGGAATTGACGCTACTGTGATTATGGGAGCTGCAGTTGTAACTACGGGAATAGCGGCACCTGAAGCAGGTACCATATCGAGGGGCACCATCAAGACCGAACGTGGTACTATACCTTCTGAGACTTGAGATGACACTGATGACATTATTCGGGAAGAAGGACCTGTTCCTGCACTTTCTTGGGGAACTACGGCCTGAATACCTCTCTGGAATACTTCTGAAGTTGGTGGAGCAGCAAGGAACCATTCTGTTTCTGAAACGGTTGCTTCAGATAACACATAACACGAGTGATCCGGAGACTCTGGGACTCTTTCAATAATTTCATTGATTATCGAAGTTATTTCAGCTTCGGCAATCACTGAATCTGAAGGATTTATACCAAGTGTATCATCGGTGATCACCATCATCTCAGACTCAACAGGAACTGGAGTTGATGATGAGAATGTTGAGAAACCATAATCTACTTCCTCGAGAGATTCCACCATTTGTCCTCTTTCCATCGACTGACGAGCTACAGATCTAACAGCCTCACCGATGACTTCGTTGACACTTTTCCTTGCTTCTAGATATATTTCTCGGGGTACACGTTCCCCAACTCTATCTAGGGGCAAACGCAATTCCGACACATCTGCGTCATCTTCAACCAGATCTGTTTTCAATGAATCTTCGAGCTCAGAACTATCTACTCGGGCATCTTCGAAAACGTCTGTTTGAGATGTATCTATACCTTCAATGATGTCAACATCGGATTTTTTCTCTGGAACACCCAGCTCCAATGGAATTGCTGGTGCGTCGTCATTATCAATTGCCAATACTTCTTCAATCTCATAACTTGTTGCTTCTGACATAACCCTTTCTAAAATATCATCCAGCGTGTCGCTAACGATGGAGTCAACTTCTTTTTTGTCATCGGCTTCTTCTGGTGTAATTATTTCTCCCAACAATGATTCTGGAGAAGTTGCCTCTTCCAAGATGAATTCTGTTAATTCAGCAAAAATTGACCATTCGTCTTCTTCGGGAATTTCTTCCTTGAGAACTCTTACTTCTCCTGATAATGACTTGCTGAGTGGGTCAATAATATTCCTTTTCTCTTGGCCGTCTATTTGTGGCTGAGCAAGTTTAATTTCTTCTGAAGATGATTTTGATGAAACAGCGTCTTCCAAAATACTTTCTAGTAAGTCAGCAACAATATGTCCCCCTTCTTGGTCATCTTCATTTTGTTGGGCGAAATCTACTTCCACGGGCGGCACCTTCGAAGAAACGGCGTCTACCAAAATATTCTCTAGCAAGTCTTTGATGATAGATTCTTCCTTCTGGTCGTCAATTTCTTCCTGCATTGCATCTGCTTCTTCTGAAAGAGGTTGTGCCAAAATCTCAAATGAGATACCTCCTGATTTATCTCGAGTTTTTCCCTCACGTGAACTTTCTAACGCTTCCGAAGTTGAAGAGGTAGCAGCAGCATCTTTTTCTAGCTCTTCAACTTTATCACCTAGTGTTTCGGTATCAATGTCTGGGACAACTGTTTCCTCTAAAGCAGACACTTTTTCTACTGTTACGTCTTTTTTTCTCTCGGAAGATTTGTCTTGAATAGGTTTTTGTTCAGAAGGTTCAACGCTATCGGAAATTCTTGCGCAGGGTGCCCTGCATACCTTTCTACTGGCTGCTACTTTATCTTCGGGTACAATTTTCATCAAAATCTGTTCAGAATCACTTGCATAACTTCGTTTTGGTTTTTTGGTATCGCTCGGTTTTTTGTCCACAGATTTCTCAGATAACCGTCGTTGCAATATTTCACCTGATAACGTTTTAGGTGTAGGCATACTAACCCCTGCCAAAGGAACCTTAGGAGTTCCTAATCCTGAAGTATCGCCAGATAGTACTCTCGACAAACGGCCCCCAATGTGGGCTTCACTAGAGACTCTATGAGCCGGCGCATCGCTGGGAAAACCTGTTGGGTCAGAGTCGGTTTCCTCCCAAGTGAGTATCAGTTTAGGAACGAACTTTTTGAGAGGTGCTACTCTTGAGGAAGAGTCCTCATCGCTTTCTTTGGCTTTCTTGAGAATTTCACCAGTAGCTTTGGCCGCTTCTTCTTCCTCAATAGGTGTTTCTTCCTTAACCATTTCACTTTCAACAAGTTCTCCTTCCTTGAGCTCTTGTTTTTCTTCTCTGGAAACGGCTTCTTCTTCTTCGGTGGGTTTGGCTGCTTCCTTGGCTTCTACCTTAGTAAACCTTGGAGTCAGTAATCTCCTCAAGGCCGCTTCTTCTTCCGATAGCACTTCTTCCCCAATTGGTTTTTCTTCCTTAACCGTTTCAATTCCAATAGGTTCTCCATCCTTGGGCGCTTCCCTTTCAACAGGCTCTCCTTCTTTGAACAGTTCTCTCGAAACGGCTTCTTCTTCAGTGGGTTTGGCTTCTTCCTTGGCTTCTACCTTACTGAACCTTGGAGTCAGTAATCTCCTCAAGGCCGCTTCTTGTTCCGATAGCACTTCTTCCTCAATAGGTTTTTCTTCCTTAACCATTTCACTTTCGAAAGGTTCTCCTTCCTTGAGCTCATGTACTCCAGTGGGTTTTTCTTCCTTGAAATCTTCTCTTTCTTTGAAAAGTTCTTTCAAAGCGTCTTCTTCTTTGGGTCCTTTTTTCCCAACAGATTCCCCTTTCGTGAGCATCTCTCTCCCAGCGGGTGTTTCACTCACTACTTTCCTTGAAGTTTCAGGGTGTGAACATGCTGCTCTACATCTTTTCTCTTTCTCACTAACTTTAGTCCAATCAGGAAAAGGTAATTCCTGAGGAGGTAGAAATTCCGGCGGAACTTCACCCGGACTCTCTTGTGTCCCAACGGGTTTTTCTTCTTTGGAAACTTCTCTTTCAGTAGGTTCTCCTTCTACGGGTGCTTCTCTTCCAACAGGCTGGCCTTCTCTGAACAGCTTTCTCGAAACGACTTCGTCTTCTTCCTTGGGCACTTCTTTAAATTTCGACGGAACTCCACCAGGACTCTCTTGTGTCCCAACGGGTTTTTCTTCTTTGAAAATTTCTCTTTCAATTGGTTCTCCTTCTACGGGTGCTTCTCTTCCAACAGGCTGGCCTTCTTTGAACAGCTTTCTCGAAACGACTTCGTCTTCTTCCTTGGGCACTTCTTTCGTAACAGGTTCCTCTCTCGTGAGCGCCTCTGTCTCAACGGGTTTTCCACTCACTACTTTCCCCAACGATTCAGGGTGTGAACATGCTGCTCCACATGATGTCATGCCCCCTTTCTCACTAACTTTAGTCCATTCAGGAACTTGTAACTTCTGAGGGGGTAAAAATTTCGGTAGAACTTCACCTGGAAGATATCCACGAGGAATCAAATCACGGTCTTTGGATCTTGTATCTGGCATAACTACTATTCCTCCACTTCTAGCAGCTAAAGCGGCGCTCAGCTCTTGGGCTTGACGTATCATAGCTGCGCATCTATGCTCTAGTTTCGGTGGTTCAGGCTGTTTTTCTTTCAACAATTGTTTCTGGTCCTCGTCTGATTCTTCCAGCTCTCCTAGAAGGCTTTCCAGTCTCTCAGGTTTTTCCTTTGCAGTTTCAGAAGGTTCTTCTTTTTCCCTTTCAGGCTCCGCTTTTGCAGCAATTAGTTCTTGATCAGCCTTAGCTTCAACGGGAAGGTATATTTCTTCAATTTCTTCAAGTTTTGGGGCTTCCATTTCCAGAGGTATTACATCCAGTTCATCATGAGACATAGCGGGTTCGCCAATTGGGGTTGAATATTCTTCCATTGTTTCAACTTCTGATGCTTTCGGCTCAAATTTTAGAATTTCTTTTGCAGGTACAGTTTCAATCTCCTCGGTTGGTTTTTTCTCTTCTGCCATCTTCACTTCAACCGAAGGTACTTTTTCTTCTGGTTTTTCTTTTTTGACTTCTGCAAGTTGTGGTTTTTCCTTCGGTGACTTTTTTCGTATCAACCTTTTGAGTGCCAGCGTTTCTTCTGACTCTTCACCTTTTTCAGGTTTCAGAGGTTCTGAAATTTCTCTCTTTGGTCTTTCAGTAGGTGGTTCCTCTTTTTTAACTACAATAATTTCTTTTTCGCGGGGAGCTTTTTCGGGTATCAACTTAACTGAGTCTTTTGATTTTGCTTTCACTATTTCATCAAGTTTTTCACCTTCCTCTTCACCTTTGGCCAGTTCTACTTCTTCACGAATTTCTTTTTTCTCAACTTTCTTCGGGGCCATCATCCGTCGAAGTGCCTCGACCTCTACTGACTCTTTAGTCTCTTCTGGCTCTTCTACTTTCTTAGGCAGTTTCTCCTCTGTAAGTTCATCTTTTTTTATAGCTTTTTCGGGACTGATTTTTTCAATGGGCGTTTTTGGTTCTGCTTCAGTTTCTATCAATTCAACCTCTTTTTCAGGTTTCTTTTCCCTAGGTATATCTTCCTTTTTCTTAGGTTCTTCTTCCTTAGGTTTCTCTTCTTCCTTAGGTTTCTCTTCTTCCTTAGGCTTCTCTTCTTCAGGAAGAGATTCGGCAACTCGTTTAGGAAACATCAGTCTTTGAGGAGCTTCAACTTCTGACAACTTTTTTATTTCATCAGAAACTTCTTCAGGTTTAACAGGCACTTCCTTCTCACCTTTTTGAGGAATTACTTCCTTTTCAACTTCTTTGGGTTCAATATCATCTTCAACGGGTTTTTCTTTTTTTACTGTTGGAATCATCAGTCTTTCAAGAGCTTCTGCCTCTGATAACCTTTTGATCTTCTCAGGAACTTCTTCAGGTTTCGGAGGAACTATTTTTTCAATTTTTTTGGAAATATCTTCTTTTGCAACTTCCTCAGGAATTATATCTTTTGCAGCAGGAACTTTTTCTTTCAGCTTTTGTTCCTCAGTAACTTCTTCAGGTATAGCTTTCTTGGGAATTTCTTCTGGAGTTTTTTTGGGACTGATCATCCTTTGAAGAGCTTCAGCTTCTGCTGATGTAGTGATCTCTTCAATAACTTGTTTAGGTTTCACTGGTACTTTTGTCGGTATATCTTTCTTTGCAGCTTTTTCGGGGACAACTTTCTCAATGATTTTTTCTTTGGGGGCCGTCAGTTTTTCAAGAGCTTCAGCCTCAGACACTTTTTGTTCCTCCTCAGGAAGTTCTTGGGGTTTCAGAGGCACTTTCTCCGTCACTTTTTTGGGAATATCCATCTTGACTGTTTCTTTGGAAATATCCTTCTCCACAATTTTTTTGGGAACTTCTTCCTTCAGAACTTCTTTGGGAGTAGTCATTCTTCGAAGAGCTTCAGCCTCTGACTGTTTTCTTTCTTCAGGAACTGCCTCAGGTTTATGAGGCTCTACCTTGGTTACTTTTTTGATACCTTCTTTCTTTACAGGTTCCTTGGGAATGATATCTTTTTTAACTGGCAATTTCTGTTCAGGTTTGATATCTGTCACCTCTTCTTTTACAAACATTTCTTCGGGTTTTGAGTGTTTCTCCTCTAAAGTTTTCTTAGGAGCTTCTTCTTTAACATCTTTGGAAGTAATGGGAGGAACTTCCTCTCTCACAACTTCTTTAGGAGTAATTATCCTTCGGAGAGCTTCAGCTTCTGATGTTTTTCTTTCTTCGGAAACTTCTACGGGTTTTACTGCTTCTTTTTTGGGGATATCTTTTTTAACAGGTTTCTCAACAGGTAGTTTTTCTTCAGATTTGACACCTGCCGGCTCTTGTTTCCTAGAAACTTCTTTGTGTTTTGGGGGTTCCTCCTCTTTAGGTTTTTTAGGAACTTCCTCTTTGGGAGTAATCATTTTTTGAAGTGTTTCAACTTCTGACTTTTTTCTCTCTCCAGAAACTTCTACAGGTTTCGCATATTCTATATCGGCTGCTTTTTCTGGAACTTTTTTTGCAATAGGTTCTTTGGCAATATCTTTTCCAACTGGTGGTATTTTTGCCAATTCTTTTTTTCTAGAAACTTCTTTGGGTTTCGGAGGTTCTTCCCCCACAGTTTTTTCAGGAACTCTTTCTCCCACAACTTCTTTAGGAGTAATCATCCTTCGAAGAGCTTCTTCTTCAAAACCTGTCTCAGATTTAACAGGCTCTACCCCAGATACTTTTTCAGGAACATCTTTTTTAATAGTTTCCTTGGGATGAATTTCTTTTATAATAGGTGGTTTTTCTATAGGTTTAATATCTGTCAAATCTTCTTTTTTCACTGGCTCCTTCTCAACCTTTTTCTTAGGTTCTTTCTGTTTCTTTGCATCCACTTCTTCAGTTGGTTTCACTTCCTCAATCACCCACACTTCTTCAGGTTTCTCTGCCACTTTTTTGGAGACATCTTTTTTGACGGGTGATTTTTTTGCAGATTTAGCATCTGGCCACTCTTTTTTGTCAGTAACTTCTTTGGGTTTTGGAAGCTTCTCATCTACAGGTTTTGTAGGCATATCTTCTTTCACAACTTCTTTGGGAGTTATCGTTTTTCGAAGTGCTTCGGACTCTGGTTTTTTCCTTTCCCCATAGACATCTTTTTGCTTCACAGGAACTTCTTCTGGAACTGTTTTGGGGGTATCCTCTTTTAAAGCTTCCTTAGGAATATCTTTCTTGATAGGGGGTTTTTCTGCAGATTTAGATTTTGGCAATTTTTTGTCTTCAATTATTTCAGATTTCGGTTGCTTTTCCTTAATTTTTTCAGGAACGTCTTCTTTGAGTTTCACAGGTGTTTTGTCTGTACTTTTTGGAAGAACCTCTTTTTTTTCAGCTTTTTCAGGAAAAGTATCTTCTTTAACGGGTTCTTTCGCTTTAGTGTCTACGGGTTTTCCATCTCCAATGATTTTTTTAGTTTTCGGACGCTTTTCATCCATCGGAACATCTGTGGTAACCCCTTTTGGAGTCATCATTCTTCGAAGAGCTTCATCATCGGGTGGCTTCGTCGACTCTTCTGGTTTTTTAGTCAAATCTTCCGTAACTTTTGTAGGTTCATACTTCTTCTCAACTTCTTTTGGAGTTCGAGGCTGCATTTGCTTTTCAATCGGCTTTTTCGTATCCTCGAGTTTCGAAGGTTTTGCTTCAACTAATCTCTCAGGTGGTTCAGTTTCTCCTAAGCTTTCTTCATCTTTTCTAGGTTTCTCACCATGGTCTTTTTTTAAGAGCTTTTCTTTCTTCGCCTCCTCTAATTTTTTAGGCTTCTCAGGAGTTGACTTTCCATCCCCCGTTTCACTTTCCCTGTCATCTTGAAAAGATATTTTCTTCGTCTTTGGAGATTTTTCTCTTATTCTTTTTTGTGCAGGAGCCTCTATATCACTCTCGATTGGTTTTTTATCAGGAACAGTTTTGAGTATTGTTTTCTTGGGTTTCACTGGTTGTTTCTCCTTTTTACTTTCTTCCATGGGTTTTTCAGATTTTTTCACAGGCTGCTTTTCGACTTTTTCCTTCGGTTCTTTATCCTTTTTTGTGTCCAACTCTTCAGGTGTCTTAGTATCAGGTTTAATTTCCTCAATTAACCATTCATCTTCAGGTTTCCTTTTCTTTCTTCTACCTTTGTCCTCCCCAACAAGTTTGCTCTTATCGGGTTCTTTCTTTTCAAGTTCCGCTACTTCTTTTGTCGGTTCTCTTTTCACTTGGGGCTTATCTGCTTTTGGTACCTTTCTTTCGATAGGTTTTTCTTCTGAAGGTTCTGCACTTTTGGAAATTCTTTTTACAATCGGTTCTTTTTTCACATCAGCCTCTCGTTTCTCATCAGGTTTTTTTTTCTCTGCCACTTTTCTTCTTTTTGTGTCTTCACCAACTTCTTCAACTGGTTTGAGCACCTCCTTTCTTTTCATTGGAGGCTTTGGAATTTCCTCCCCAGTCGGTTCTTTTTCCGTTTGAGGCTTTTCTTCTGGCTTTAGTTTCTCTTCTTTTATTTCTGGTGGTGTTTCACTTTCAGTAAGTGGAGATTTTGTTACAGGTTTGGCTTTCTGTTTTCTCACTTCTTGAGGTTTTACTGTTTCAACTTGAGGTTCCCGTCTTTCTGCTACCTTTTCCTTTGTAGGTTCAGAGGGAACATCATCAAGTTTTCCAGTTCTCACATCTTTCTCTGAAGTCTGGTCCTTTTTCACTAAAGGTTTTACGTCCTTAGGAGTTTTGTCAACTTGTATTTTGGTCGGTTCACGTTTCATTTGAGGTTTGGCTACTTTCTTGGGTTCCTCTTGGATTATTTGTTGCTTTTCTTCTGGTTTGCCAGTTTCATCGCCTTGTCTTTTCTGTTCGGGCTCGACTCGAGAATCTGGTTTTACTTCTTTGATTGGTTCCGGTTTAGGCGTTTTGTCAAATTTCTCTCTGGTTGGTTCTTTTTTCACCAGAGGTTTTTCAGTTTTCGCTAATCGTTTCTCAGTTGGTTCTCTCTTCACTCGAGGTTTAGCAGTTTCAACAGTTGGTTCTTCAGATGGTTTCTCTTCAACTTGTACTTTCTCGTCAGATTTCTTCACTCGGGGTTGTATTTTCCTTTCCTTTCTCGGAGTTTCTGCTGAAGAAGGCCTTCCTTTGCCATCGTCAGACTTCTTTATCGGTTCCTTCTCGGCTGGTCTTTTCCGTGGAGATTTCAAGTCTCGTTTGTCTTCAATTGGACTGGTTTCTGTCGTCGCCTGTGGAAGTTTTTCCTCCACGGTGTCTTTTGGCGTTGTTGAAGGTTGTTTACGGTCCTCAACTTCTTTGGATTTCTCAACAGGTGGTTTTTCTTTTGGAGGTGGCGTTATTTTCTTTGGGGTCGGTCCTCCAACGACTTTAGCTTTTTTCTTCGGAATAGACGATTCTGGTTTTGATTCATCTTCAATTGGACTGCTTTCTGTCGTCGCCTGTGGAAGTTTTTTCTCCACGGTGTCTTCTGGCGCTGTTGAAGGTTTTTTACTGATTCGTTTTAGGCTCTGACGAAGATCTTTTTCCCCTGTATCTTTTTGCTGCTGGAACCTCTTCTTCACCTGAAGATGGTGGTATTTCTTTGGCAGGAGTTCTGATTTTTTTCTTTCGCTGAATGCGTTTTTCTTCGGGTTCCTCCTCTTCCTTCTGCTTCGACGGCTTCCTGGAATCCTAATTGAATCAAATTGCAAATCAAAAGAAATACAACAGTCAACTCCCTTACTTTCTTTCCAATTTTCTTGGGTTTACTTGTAGGATGTTCTTCGCCCTTTCTTTTTCTTCTCTCGTAGATGGTTTCTAATTCGTCTTTGTCGCTCCTCAAAGAATCCAATTCGGCTTGAGCTTTTTCCAATTGATTTTTCTGAAACACAGTTACATGCAAAAGAAACCATAAATTACATAATTTTCCAATCGAAGTTGAAAACCAACACACAATAAGGCAGTGATTTCAAATAAAACGATAGACATAAACTTTCTTTCCTACGCTTTCCTGTGCTTTGCTTTGCTGTGGAAAATGCAAATCGGAAACAACTTCTCTACCTTCTAGCAGTAGTTTTATTAAAACTTCAACCTCCGATGGCGAATCTTTATGGACAATTTATCGCAGACATTTGAGGCGGCTGCGGAAAATGGATGGAAAATGAGGAGAAAGCAATAGCTTCTATACAGACACTAGGAGGAAAGGCCTCCAAAATCCTGCAAAATATTCCAGTTAATAAGCAGAAGGATTCTGAAGGTCAGATATGGTAGTGAGCACCTTCAACAAGTCAACCAAGGTCAACTGAAGGTGAAAACTCAAAGTCCACTCGGGAGTTTGTAGGAGTTTAGAGCTGAAGTCGAAAGCCTGATGAAACTCGCCTACCCAGAAGCACCACCATAGTTTCGGCGACAGGGTTCGTGACACGGAGCTGCAGCAGTCGCTGAGGATGTCACGTCATAAAAAATTGAATGACCAACATTCATGCCCTAGAATTTGAAGCTGCTTCGCGACAACAACGAAAAGTTCTAGTGAGGGCCTTCAACGAAAAGGAAGACGAAGAAACATGTCGACTCATGATAGATCTGGAGGAACTCTTAAGGAAATATTTCATGGATGCTATAACTGCGCCAGAGAGCGACATTTAAGGCAGAGCGCCACACACATGAATCACCTCGTACTTTGGAACGAAAACACTTTATTGCACTCGTAATACATTCGATTTGGAACAAGATAACCTATTCAGAATCAGAGCTCTCATAATACTCATCCAATCCGTTTTCTTTTACCAATTCATCGAATTGCTTCTTCTGATCCTCCGTCAAATCGAGCTGTGAATAAATATCCAACAATCTTTCCAAGTACGCTATCCGTTTCTCCAGCTTCCGGATCTGCATGTTTTTGTTGGCAACTATGGCGTTGATGAGCACGTCGAGAGGGATGATCTTCTCCAAACATGGGCCCTGAAATCAAGCGAAAAAAAATCTGTGAAAACTTTCATAAAAAGAAATGGAAGCACTGGAGTTCTTTATCCGGTAGATCACCAGAAATGCAATACTCTTTTCGACGCGCGTCGATTAGTTGCTGCAGGAGCACATCTAGCACTTCTGACTGCTCTTGTGGAGCAGTTATTTATTTGGAGAAGAACATGATATTCGAATACCTTGTTTTTCGCCTGGTATTCCAAAATATGCTGGCGTCTTTCCTCGACATTATCACTCCAAGCTCTCGCGTCAGTAGCTGAAGGATAATCCTTCATGCGGCCTTCCGATCTCACGTGGATAACTTCTGCGTCTTCAGGTAGTTGTCTGAACACCCTGGTTTTTTTGTTCACGTACGACATGGTGAGTGCATTCAACTATTCTTATCGCTGCGCTTTTAGCCGTAATGGGGATGGATAATGATATTTTTGGATTGAATCCTACATCGGGAGATTTGCTTGACTTTGTCACGAATGGAGGGTTCGACGAACTGACAGATGACAGGTGATTCAATTTTGAAAAACACAGAGTGTTTGAGGATTCACTATCAGCTTGGTGGAACATTCACGACTTCGTTAGAAATAAATGGGGGAATGATAATAATAATGATAAAAATGAACCTTCATTCGCAACATGTGTTTCGCTATACAATAGTATTGTCATACTTCAGCCTCAATAAAAAAGTCATAACTTTTTAGTTGTAACTCGCTTATTCTGAGTGGCGTGATGAAGATCGCTCCATATTGTCCGAAACTTTCGAACGTGTCAGGCGCAAACTAGATGTATTTCTGTTGTTGAAGCTCTAAGTACGTCAGAATCCTCCAAGACTGGCACGGACGAAGCATTGCTACTAATTTAATTCCCACAAAACTCGATATCGATTAAGTTTCTTCTTCTCTTTCTTTATGTACAGTTCAAAACGAAAAATTTCTCAAGGACTTATATTAAATAAAACCACAAATCACACTAAGTCAGAATTTTATTAAGTTTCTGCTCGAGAGCCCTCCTTCTCTCGACCTCGTTCCGCAGCTGATCCTGCAACCTCTCGTTCTCCATCTTGATCGACACCAACTCCTTCTGCGGCCCATCCGAGTTCTGGATCTGTTTCACGATACTCTCCAGCTTCTCTTTCTCCCTCTGGATGTCTCGAAGTTCCTCCTTCAGCTTTTCGTCTGTGCTCTCAAAGTCCGAGCCGTCATCGAACTGCGCCCCCTTGTACGAGGCCTCTCTCGGGAGTGACCGATGCTTCTGGCGGCGACTGCGCATGTTGTCCCACTCGCGGTACTGCTTGCCAAGCTCTTCCACAACTCTACGAACTGCGCATTCAGACTGTCTCAGCATTTTTTGGACGTGTTCGTCACCTACATCACAGAACATCGATTAGTACAACGGGATGGCGAGGAATTACGAGGAAATGTCCATCTCACCCGTCAAGGTGACCATCTTCTTGGCGATCTCCTGCAGCTTGTTATTCTCTGCCTTGGCTGCGTCCAGCTCCCTCCTCATGACGCCCACTGTTTCATACTCGGACTTGTTCGTCCTCCGTGCTCCCCGCAAGATCTCCTCCTTCTCCGTGAGCTGCCTCTCGAGCTTCCCGATACGACATCTCGCGCTGCACAGCTCCCTCTCCAGCTCCTCGATGCGCGTCTTGTAGCAAAGCGTCTCGCACGAAACGCCCTGGATGGAACTCTTCAGCTGCGTCTGAACGGCGGCCAGTTTTTCTTCCGAAGCGGCGATCAGCTGGTCCTTTTTCTCGACCTCGGCTCGCATGTTACTCAAAGCCTCGCGCATGCGCGACTGAAAGAGGAAAATGAAATATCTATTTACAAATCGCCATCTATGAAATCTACAGAAGACTCAAAGTCAGTGGCAAAACGATCGACTGCCGATGAGATTCGTTCTGTTTCACAGCAACTTCCACTGCCAGGTACCTGATTGAAAAACAGAGCCCAAACACATTATAGGCCGCAAATGCGTTACTGGACTAGAACAAGCCTGAGAAAACAAGAACGACGACATTGTCATCCATGGTATCGACTATTGATTACCTGTGTTTCATCCTTATTTCTCACGAGGCTATCGATCTGGTTAACCAGTCTCTTGATCTCCTCCTCTTGCTCCCTGATGCACGACTCCAAGTCCATAACCTGGAAAAACAAAAACGAAAAGATATATTTCCCGAAAAACATCAGTCACCAATCAATCTCCTTCTCCATCTACCTGCTTCACCAAAGCGTCCCTTTCCCTCGCCATGTTCCTGGACTCCTCGATCTGCAACTTCATCATCTCGCACTGGCACTCCATACCCAAAATCTCCTCGTACTTCAGCTTGTAGGCGTCCCTCTCCAAGACGGCGTTCTCCAAGCACTTGCACTTCAGCATCAAGTTTTCGTTGTGGACCTGGACGTGGGATAGCTCGTTCAGTTTGATCTGCAGCCTGTCCCTTTCCAGCTTCAGCATCTCAGCTTCCTTGGCCTTGGATCGCAGAGACTCTAGCTCGTTGTTCATCGCCTCGATTCGTTTGCACATTGAATCTCTTTCGCATCTAGAGAAGAATACAGGAGAATAAAGAATATAGGAGGGATGTTTCAAGAGGATTTGATCTGTTGAAAAAAAGTTCATGCTCTATTTAGCTGTCCGAGCTTTTGCTCAAGTGCTCTCTTGAGACTGTTATGGTCATTTGAGACCATTATGGTATCTGGGACTGTTGTGAATAATTGAGTCGTTGACTAAAGTCGACGATATCTCCCCTTGCGAATAACTCAAAGATTAACGTGGCTCCCCATGTCGGGCAGTTGCAAAGTCAAGTTTCGACATCGACCTCCAGCAAACTTCTTCCTCTGCCTTCCACTGCAAGGCAAGTAGTCTTCGGCGGTCGATGTTTAGGCTTGGCTTGGTAACTGGTTTGGCAACTGCCAACCTAGTTGCCAAGCCAAGCTGAGTTCTCTGCCGATCCCACAGATGGCGTTTTCGTAGGGGGAATGCCCTTGACCTGATGGCGAAAGCCTAAACTCTTCTCAATGAAAAGTACTGAAATGATGGCTTTTCACGTGAACTATGTGCGAAGTTGATTTTTTTTCCAATTAAAAGTCAAGTGGAAGACTTTTGATGACTGCTCTATATGAGAGAAGGGTTAATGACTTACAACGAAAACATCCCAACTACCTCAAATTTTGTTGTTCCTTTTCCAAACAAATGCACTTGGATTGGGTCCTCTTCAACTCGTAGTCAGTATTCCGATCGTTCTTGTTGTAGTACTTGAGCGTTTTTTCCAGCTCATCTGTTCTTTCGGCTTTCTCTCTCAACTCCTCGAGCTGCATTTCCAACTGTTTCATCTTATCCACTTTCTTCTGCATTTCATCCCTCTCCGCTAAGGCTTTGTCCAGCATATCGGATCGATTCTTGTAGATTTCGTAATCTTCTGGAACCTCCATCTTCTCTTTGGCTTCTTGTTCGAGAATTTCCAGTTTGTGAGCCAACTCGTCTCTCTCCCTCTCCAGCTGCTCGATTCTTGCTACCGCTGTTGGTTCGTTGTCACCGGACGGAAGAGATCTCGTTGATTTGAGTATCTCGTTCTCTTCTTCGATGGCTTTCAATTTCAGGCAGTACCTTTTCAGCATCTCGACTTCTTTTTTTATCATTTCCGCTTCCTGTTCTGGAGACAGATTTCCGCTGCGCATTATGAGCATTTCTTGTTCCAGAGCTTCTATTTCTTCTTTGCAGGATGTCGGCACTCCCAGGTCGCCGACATTGTTGAATTTCTGGAACATGAGATGAAAGAAAAGAAGGTTTTCAAGTTCATAAAAAGGTTTACCCAACCAACGGCTCAAAGTCGTGTGGAAACATTAAATAACTGGATTCTGAGGAGAAACACAGAGAGAAGAGATAGCGGTAGCTTTTTGAAAAATATCACTGTATGGGAAAGTAGACAATCTATGAAGCATATGTTTCAAGTTTGAAGACACTGCGTTGTTTAGTATTTGTTTGGCAGCCATCAATAGATTAATTTGTGAAAATGGAGAAAATTGGACATCGTTGTATGGTCCTCAAATCCTTGTCCTAGATAACTTCAGGTTGACCAGGCTCATCTTCGAGGTTAAATTATCCGGAACGAAATTTCGCAAACCATGTAATCTGTTTCTGCGAAGTTCTTTGGTATCAATAGAAAAATATTGTTGTTTCAAACGCGTTTAACTTAATACTACTTTCAAAGAATAATTTTGAAACAGAATTTATGTGAACCAAAAATAAAACTGGACCCAAAATGGACCCTTGTAGAACTCCGCAAGTGATAATTCTCAATGAACCGGCATTTTCGCTAGCCACAGAAACTGTTTTCTGTCACACAAATACTTCAGTGTGATATCTTGGTCAACAATCTTTTTCTGTTCCTAGAGCTAAACCATGGATATGGTCAAACGAGCAAAAACATCTCCGGTTGGTTCATGATAGTGTAATCCATGTTCTGATTGTAGTTGAAATTATGAAAATTTCAGTTGCCATCAACAAATGGAAACGGCCAAGACTGAAGAAACAATGGAAGTAATAAGTGAGATCTATTTAGAAAAATTGACGATGATGATGATGTTGATGTTGACGATGAAGAAGGCAACTTTTTTAAAGTTGTAGACAGTGAGTTGCAGTTGAGAAGAGTCATTGTTCATACATACTTTCAATGCATCGAGTTCTTCTAAACAATCTTGTATCCTTTTATTGAGATCGTCTCGTTCGTTTCTCAAGTTGTTAATGCTGTTTTGCTGTTCATCACATAGAGCATCTCTGGCCTACAAATTACCAAATAACAGTTATTTATTGGAGACTATTCAAGATTTTTGCGAGTCTTTTGTATTTTTGGTACCATAAGTCAATAAACTTATGCACCTTGCGTTGTACTGAATCAGCTGTGAAATCAGCTGTGAAATCGTTGTTAAGAGACATTACTATTATTATCATCATATTTTAATTACCGCTAACTGATCCTGTAGTTTTTGTAACTCATCTGGCATATTATCGGCCTTTTCCTCATCGTCGGACGACTTTTCCTCGCCTACTGGCGTTTTACCTGACCCATCACGTTCAGTTTTTATATCGACTCCGTTTATTTGTTCATCATCAGCAGGCTGCCCTTCATCTGCAGATCTCCTAGGAGCCTCCAAGTCACTCTCTTTTTTGGCAGATATCCAATCAGGACTTTCGTCCTCTGCTGGACTGGATCTGGTAGGCTCTTCTTCTAGTTGTTCCTCCTTCACCTTTGGGAAGGTGCTTTTGTTTCTGCTGTTAGTTTGAGCTTTTACCTTGATACTACCAACTGGCGACTGTGCTCCTTTCAGTCCTTTTAATTTGGAGCTTATTCTGACAGGTCCGTTGGCTTTGACAAAGTAACTGCTGGAAACCTCAGATCCTGGGATTGCGCGGGTTAGAGCTTCAATCTCGGCTTGTTCTCTAGAGTGACGTTCTTTAGCTGGGCACTCGCTGGATATCGAACTCTTTCTTCGGTCGGATTCATCTTCTGGTATAGGTTGTGACGTGGAACTCTTCCTTCGGTCGGATTTCTCTTCTGGTGTAGGTTGCGACGTGGAACTCTTTCTTCTTTCAGATTCCTCTTCTGGTGTAGGTTGTGACGTGGAACTTTTTCTTTGGTCGGATTCCTCTTCTAGTGGAGGTTGTGATATGGAACTTTTTCTTCGGGTCGATTCAGCTTCAAGTTTAGGCTGGGAAGTCTTCGATCGGGACTGGCTGGTGACTGATTTGGTCTTGCTGGTGACTGATTGGGTTTTGCTGGGAACGGATTTAGCCCCTCGGGATACTGGTCGAGCCTCGAAAGTAAAAAAAAATGTGTAGATTGCATATTACGTAATGCAGAGCAAAGGTTACTAGGAAGGAAAAAATTATTCGTATAGTTGACAGCTATTCACTCAAAAATGTTCCAATAGAGTCAGTTGTTATCATCTTCAGTTAAAGTGTCCGCAAGGACACTATATAATTGAATTACATAATGGTTTTTCTATTTACTTTGAAAAGAAAGCAGCAATGTCACTGAAATTTTGCAAAAATATCCAAGGTCCATACCAAGGTCCATATTTCATAAGAAATATATTTTTTCCCGAAACTAGTACACTGTAGTTTGAAGGTTAGGTTAGGTTAGGTTAGGTTAGGTTAGACATATGTTCATATACAGTTTTTTTCTCAATAGATCCAGAAATAACCTCAAAAATGCATTTTATTATAAAATAGACAAACAGAACGAACATTTTTCACATGAATAAGTCAAGATAACACTCATTTTAAACCTGATAACTGCATGTATTAAATTAAATTCTTACCTCTATAACATCTTCACGATAAGCTTCGTCGTATCCCATCTGAAAAATTGATTATATTTTTTGTAAGGATCATATTTGCTGATTGAAGGCATAGGGAAATCAATGATATATTTTCTTTATCTTTGGTATCGCCGTACTGTGAAAAAGATATAACTAACATTATTTTTTGATTATTCTAAAAGATCGATGCAGAATTTTATTCACGAATTACATGAAATTTATTGAGTTTTAAAACCTGGTCTACTGCACCATAAGGGAAGCAAAGACCATAAAAAAAAGAAGAAGAAGAGTTTGAAATCGTGAAATTGGACTATGCTGGAAAGTACACATAAATATATACGAGTACATTTAAAATTAACAATGAGAATAATAAGCTAATATTCTGGAAATAAAAAAATCAATACTTCAAATATAAGTTGATTTTTTCCTACTCACCGATCTAAGTTGAGCATCGGATCCGATCTGAAAGAAACATGAATGTTATTTCTGTAACAACTAGCATAATTTGCCTTCTTACATATTGGGCCCCATCCAGACAAATCTTGGTCATTTGTTTCTTCTGTAAATTAAAATATTGATAACTTTCTTTCATCTACACAAAATATTTCTTAAGAAGATTGATTAAAACCGTTTCCAATTGTATTGATTCATTTTCCAGTCATATTGTGACTGTTGCGCTATTATTTCTTCTCAAGCATTATTTGTAAATAAAGCATTAACCCAATGGAAACCCCAATACAATTTCAGAAAACGTTTTCCGTAATCGCCGCTTATCACTCCTGATATGAATACCATAGATTTTTTGATAGGAGCCAAGTGATGAAAAACAAAACTCGTAAATCAACATGAAATATTCGTTTGTATATAGAATATATTATTGTAACTGGAATTGAAACTTTCACCAAGGACATTACTTTGTTCACAGCCAATTCCAGTTTTCTTATACACTACAGTGGATCATTAGAAATGACAGAGATACTTACTAGTTCTATCAATTTTCGTCTGTCTTCGTTTCTCAACTTGCAACCTCCCAAAAAATTCCACAGCTGTGATAAACATCTTTTGAGCTCTTTTATACTCGTGTTTTTATCGGCCATAAGAGTACTGATTATAACATCTACAGGAACAAACTTGCCAAAACACTGGAGGAAAAGAACAATCAAAAACTTTATGTATTTGGTAGATTGGAAGTGATATTGAGACAGGTTCAAAGAGCCAAAGTTTGCAGACACTACAAGCTGCTTGAAACCGTCTCTATGCAATCTTGCTAAGAATGATTTCGAGACTGAACAGACTGAAGAAACAATGGAAGTAATAAGTGAGATCATATATTTTCAAGATTCAGAAAGAAAATCTGCAGAGGGCCACCATAAATCTACAAAGGGCCATCATAGATGTTCTCAGTGTCACCATAGAGGTTCTTAGTACCATCATAGATGTTCTCAGAGCAATATCTAGTGTAAAAACTTTTCAAGATTCAGAAAGAAAATCCGCAGAGGGCTAGAAAATCTACAAAGGGCTAAAATAGATGTTCTCAGTGCCACAATAGATGATTCAATGCAGTATCTGATGTAACAACTTATATATTTTTTCAAGCTTCAGAAAGAAAATCTACCAAGGGCCACCATAGATCTACAAAGGGCCACCATAGATGTTCTCAGTGCATTATCTGCTGTAAAAACGTATATTTTCAGGATTCAGAAAGAAAATCTGAAGAAGGCCACCATAAATCTACAAAGGGACACCATAGATGCTCTCAGTGCCACCATAAAAGTCCTCAGTGCCACCATAAAAATTCTCAGTGCAATATCAGCTGTAAGAACTTATACTTTCAAGCTTTGGAAAGAAAATCTACGAAGAGCCACCATAGATGTACTCACTCTCTCAGTTTCGAGCTGAATCAACTCCAAAATATGCTGCCTCCTGTCCTCCACTCTGCCACACCATGCCCTCAGATCCACTGCAGAGGGGTACGTCTTCAGTCTGGCTTCGGACCTTCGCCTGACCGGTCTGAGGTCTCCTCTGTCCATAAACACTCTGGCTCTCTTGTTGACGAAAGACATGTTTATGATCGCGACCGATATTTGTTACTCTTCAATTTTGGTTATGCGATGAAATAGGAAGAATCCGAAGATTAACATCCCGATGATCTGAAGTTGATGAGAAGTTTGATGTTTCGGATGACGTCTCGATGACGCAAGGTTGACGCAGGTTAGGTTATTGCTTGTAACTATTAGGAATTTTGATTGAGGATGCGGTTTCACTATAGCCGCTAATTTACCCCATGAATACAAAGTGATGTCTAGCATAGGTACAAGTAATTTTGTAATCGACTCTGTACAGAACCTCTTGATTCCCACATTGTATAAAATATTCCAAAGGATTTTATGACTTGATTTTAGATCTTGCAGACTTGCAAGTTTTTCGAGTGTGAAAACCGTGGATTTTTGTAATTTCTTCCTGACGTTTCGCTGGCGCGAATGGCTAGCTTCTTCAGAGTTTAAACCATCATGGCTTGCTGTCCGGACAGAAGCTAGCCACTCTCGCCAACGAAACGTCAGGAAGAAATTCCAAAAATCCACGGCTTTCAAACTCGAAAAACAAGGACACTGAAAACCTCAGCCGCGAAAGTCTAAACCATTTTGTCGCTGTCATTATATTTTTATTATCATTGTTCGTCGTCTCTCGCCCGTTGCATAACCATATCCATAAAAATTCCTCTCCGCCAATATATCTTCCTCGAAGAACACTCGCATCTAGAATTCGCAAATATAACACCTCTGCAGGGACATTTCGGCAAAGGAAGTCAATCCTGAATTTCTCGCCGATCAATATTTGGCGCATGCTTCTGTTTCCGCGTTTCAGCGTTTCAGCGGAGAGACAGTGTGATTTCAGTTCTCACGCTGAAAATAGTCTCGGCCTGTTTCTTCTTTTCTCACGAACTTTCTGACTCTGCAACTGTCTTTCTGGCTTCTTTCACCTGCACTCCTTGATATGGCAGTTAAAAAAGTTGTGAAATCTCTTCTTAAGTACTTTCGCAGATTGCGTAGAAGTGACAGCATCGAATATATCGAAATTTAAAGCGAACTGTGAAGATTATCGAGTACTTTACCACAACACTGGCGTTGCTTAATGAGGATTGATTATTGAGGTGAGTTGTTTTGTTTTTAAAGGCCTCCTGAGCGTCTTTATCGCTAATGCTCGGCCTGATTTTATACATTGTTTGCTCTTCAGATGTCTTACTAGTGTTGAATTATTGTTGAATCGACATTCAAGTGTTTATGTCATGATAGTTCTGGTTCGTGACAGAAAAATCAAAGACAAAAAATCAGTTTCTGAATAATTCAATTATAACCTTCAGTAATGAAATCACGGAATCTCAAAATGATACATTTTTTGTTTGAAAGTGAATGACGATGTTTTATGGTGAATTTTTTTCGTTCGGACTTCCATTGTCTAATATGATTCGAAATCTAAGACAGAACCAATAAAATTAGAATGAATACTTGAAATTCAATAATATTAAGCAATAAACGAAACAGTATCTGAATCACAAACCAACCACCATAATACGAAGGAAGGAAGAATACAAGAATTGCATTCACAGGATATTTTGTGAGTGCGGCAAATCCTATATCGGTGAAACTAAGAGAACATTGAAAGTCCGTATTGCCGAGCACAGCAAATCGGGGATATCAGAGCATGTTTTGCTCATCAACGTTACATCAAGTGGTCCCAAGCTGAGATCATCCACAGGAAGGAACACTGCTTCAAGAGGAAGTTTGAAGAAGCTGCATATATGTTGTCCAACGACTCATTCAACCAGTACCTACATTTCAAGTACCTGAGTTTTACCCAGCCAAATAATATTAAATGTTTGCCTGAGTTTGTAATGAATGAGGTGTTTAGGTCAACACTGAGACAATTAAAACAGAAAATAATAATAAATATAGCAGGAACAAATCGTTTGGCTAACAATATTGTGAAACTGCAACAAGAATCATATTTGGTTAACGGAAAAACATATTTTAAACATATTTAAACATAATAAGATTAACAACCAACATTCTCTTCGTATGTTTTATAATTATATACAACTATAACTATGTCAAAAATTGCTTGGTCCTGATTGGCGAAGGAAGAAAAGTTTGTCAATGTCCTATGACTCTCATTATCATCTCTTGTTTTCGTAGTTTGTTGAAAATAATAACTACTTTACAAGCGATGTTGACAGCAAAGAGTTTTCCGTTTCAATATGAGCATCTGAAAATATTCTGTATAAAATTTGGTTGCACGACCATAACCTAGAAAATTTTTAAAAACAACAACACCTTCATCAATGAAAAATATTTGTTTCGTTGTGACTGAGTTAGCAACAACCTTCGTATTTACATAAGTTAGTTTCAGACTCAGTCAAGCTCAACTAAACGTTGAAGCAAAAAAACATTCAGAACAAACACTTCGGCGAGATTGATAAATAGTTCAGGTGCATTAAGAAAAACTAGAAACCTTCGACAAAATGGCCGTGACTGCGTTTTCCTACCTGATGAAATTAGTCTTCACAGTGCTAATAAACAAATGTCACGGGTACACGTAAATGAGTAAACTTGTTATCTCGAATTTATACTTTCAGTTTTGCATGGTAGTTTTCTAGTTGGTGTTGGGAATCGGCAGGGTTCGCTTGTTTCCACCGTTGGCAGGCCTGATCAAAAGGCGTACCAAACATCCCGTCAAGGTTAACTTTGTTTACGCGTCTCTATGAATTGAGTCGGCGTGTTTCTTAGAAGGCCGGCCTAAAGGGTAGGAGCTGAGTTGCCAAAAATATTTCGGTGAGTTTGAGCTGTTCAAAATAAAAATGTAGACTTCGGGGAACGTTTAGATTTCATGCAGGAACCCAAACAGTTATTACTCATGTCATGTTGAGATTTTGGCCAATTGATGGTTTACAACCATTCGAAAGAGGGGTAAAAACTTGTGTTACAAAATCTGAATATTTGATTTGATTAAGAAAAAATTGAATCTAATAATAACTTCTAAGAAAATGGTGTACTCGTATATTTGTTGAAAAAATTCATTCTGCTAGCTAATAGAAGTACATAAAAGCCTTGAAATTAACAAAGGAATAGCAAAAAACTCCAAAAGCCAGCACAAAAGCAAATAATGTTGAGTAAATGTTCAAGTGATATATTATTGCTACGTTTTGTAATTACACAAAATACACAATAATGAACTCTTCTGACAATTATATAAAAAAAAATGTCATGGAATGGATTTGTCACATTGGATATAAGTAATCAGAGATAAAATCTGACAACACTGCTAGTACATGTCAAAGTTTTCGTTCAAAAAATGTTACCTTCGAAAGCAAATGAAGCAAGGTTAAATCAATCAAAATGCCAACATTGATGATAGTAAACATATAATTACGTATAACAAGCGTAAGACATCTGAAATATCTAATTAAAAAAAATAATTTCATGACAAAAACAATGAAATAAGGATTTTTTTTTGAAAATGCAACACAATTTCAATCTAGTTTTAATTTTAGGTAAATGGAAAACTATTCCACTGCCTAGATTACTTTTCTATACGAAACTTTACACTGCAGTTCGTCAAATATTGACAAGGCAATAAATTAAAGAGTCAAATAACAATAGTAATTAATGGAGCGAGTTAATGAACTGATATTAGTTATCTATGCAACGTTAGGCCCGCCGTTCTGTAAACCCCAAGAAGGAAAACGTGACGTCCTGTAGCATACCAGAAAAAAACATACAAATTAACAGTCCCATACCCCCCAAATCTAGGGGGGTACATATCCCATACCCCAATTTAGTTATTAAACAACTTTATGTGATGAATGTTTCTAAGAAACAAACACCCTGATTTAGTGCAAGGAACTCAGTTTTGTTCAAATATTTATTTCAGAATCAAATTTTGTAACTATATACATTGTTCAGTTCGCAACTTTGTTGCAAGTTGATAATCTAAACAAACCTATACACTGTGATAATAGTCGGTAATTAGGCACGACAATAAACATACTAATTGTTGATAAAGCTGATTTTTTTTTGGAAAAGTATGTACGTAGATTACTTTCTCAGACTAGACAGGGTTCTTTTCTAGGAACTTATGACTCTGAGTGCGAACTATTGTATATGGCATTGTACTTAGATCTATCCACTTCGGTAGTCCTTTGGAGTCATCTCTGTAGATGCTGTTTCACTTGGATCAATGTTTGCCTTCGAGCTCCATCCAGAAGTCATGTTGAAAGTTGGGAATCCGTGAATCGATATTAGTCACTTTCATTCCCACCTACAGGAACATCGAGTCAATATATCGATTCCGATAGTCCTTTGAAGTCAATTCTGTGGATGATGTTCTCTGATTTGAGCTATTAGAACAATTATATTTCCATTGTTGATAATTTATAAAACCCTACCTCGTATTTAGTTGTTTGGGAAAATGTACCCAAGTATATTTTTAAAAAGATCACAAATATATAGGTATATCTTTAAGACTGTTATAAAACCACTAAGAATGGTTAAATACATATAAAATCAGATGGGTATCATAAATATTTCGACGTAAGTTATGAATACGAGAGGATATTGATAAGTAATAATACCTACGACAAATATTAGGTTGTTGGATGGAATATTTGTGTGTCATATTCACATCATTCCGAATTGATATCACTACCAATAATTGATCATTGGGATTTCTCATTTTTTTCAGAATTGGTGAAATGGATCCACAAGTTACTGACGAAGCTCCCAAAGATCCTGGAGCTGATCACAGAATCAAACTTCCATTCGATGAAAGAGATTTCGAAGGTAAGATTATGTATTAAGCTTGATACTATTCAAATCATTCTTTGCTTCCTGTATCAATTAAAGATATATGACTCCAAACAAGAATCGTTGTTCGTCACCGATTCTGAGTATAATTTTCCATTTCTTAATTGGTTTTAGATTTTAGGGCAAGCTGTAAGCAGACACATGCTCTAATACATAATTATCACCCTATCTCACTGTATTTTATAATTCTTGTCATTATCAAAAACTGACTCTACATTTTTGTTAAAGAACATTACAACAAATATCAATATATACTTGAATGTTTGTGAATGGCGCTGTCAATGTTTTCCCTGAGTTTGACGTTCTAATTATGAAACCTAGATGTCGCTAACTCCAAGCATTTCGAATTGTGATGTTCAGAAAATCAGTCTTTGTACGGAACTTCTGAGAACTTCTCTTATAAAAAATTCACAAATTCGACATCTCAGTAAGGCTTTTACATAACGCTGTCGGTTCAACAAAATCGATACAGAGGCCCTCCGTTGACATTTCAATCCAGAAAGAAATAATTTGATTTTCCTGAAACTAGGCCATCGATTCGTTCATCTGAAACTAATTTCCAATGATTATCTAATTTCCCTCATTTTCGTTTTTTCCGTTCGATCAAAAGACCACTATTAATAATCGCGGTAATCTCTACAGCTTCTAATTGAATTTGGAAAGACCGAAAGCGACCTTTTGGAAGGGCAATTGAATAACCGGGAAAATGGTTACTTCACGAATTTGAAATTTTACTCTTTTGCCACCGCATTCGTCTTATTCATGAGATAAGCTTCATTAGCCTCAAAAATTGAGTTGAACAGTGCTTTTAACTAACTAACTAAAATCGTATCTACTTTTTTTTCTGTTAGAGTTGGTACATATAAAGTTTCTTTCCCACTTTATTCTTTATTCACGAGCTAGAGCTGTAACTAATCAACAAATTTCAAACGAGGGTTTCATATATGCAGTCCAATCACATTTAAAATCAATCGAGTTTCAGGCAAACTGCTGCTTGTTTTGGATCTTTCCTGCACTGACAGGGGGTATTACCCCAAAACCTATCTGTGGGTGATCTATAATCGATTGTTTTCAGCGTGGTCTTTCTGCTGGATGAACGAGAAATCTGCAAGACTAACCTCTGTGGGGTATCTACTACATTATGTTGTAGTATCACTTTCATTCCGAAATATTTTTCTCAGTTGTGAGCAAACATGTACATTAATATAATTATTCAATGATTGGTTTGAAATGAATCAATAAATTTTGACTTCTGCCAGGCCACAGAGCTCACAACGTGTTTATCGGGGTCCACGTGCCTCCCCCAAGGCGGCATTCCCACCGCCGCCATAAGCACCACCACCGCAGCGCCCAGGAAAATGGTGGTGCTCAACAGGAAGATAATAAACCCAGTAAGTTAGTTGTACGATGGATGGTAGACGTTGTTCGCTTTGTGTTTAGTTTGTGGCAGTATGCATGCTATCCAACGTGAATCATCGCTTTCGCAAAGGCACGGCTCTCAGATCTTCTTGAGGAATTTTCTGTAGTGCTCCATAAAAAAGGAGCACTGTAGAAAATTCCTATATTTTTTCTAAAATATGTAATAAATGCATAGTGGTTCAAACAAACGATTTAAAAATGTGTCTGTTCAGGAGAAATGGTTCTATTGTTTGGTTGCCACCAAATTCCCAGATTTGACTCTCTGCGATTTCTACCTATGATTGAAATTGAAAAAATGATCTAGGTACTCAGGTAATGTTAGAAAACAAATGAAGAAACGTATTCATTAAAAAGGGCAGTGTTTTGAGAAAAGTTAGTCGCTTACCAAATGATTTCCAGACTCCCCTGGAAGAAAGAAAGACCAATCCTCAGTTAGAAATGAGATTGATAGTACTGATTAAACTCACTATTAGCATTATCGCATGCGCTTGTTGAAGTTTTCACATAAATGTTTCAACTCTGAAGGTAAAAACGACAATAGTCCCAAAATGAAAATCCCTATGACCAGTATGTTCGTATACGTTCGACTGAAATTAATATTTCAATACTGAAACCGAAGTTAATCAAGAACTCTCTCTCTCTCTCTCTCTCTCTCTTTTGTGTTTCCATATCATCCTGTTCTCTTTATTTCTCGAAAGGGTTCAACTTTTTTATTCTTATTCAGTTGTTGAATGTACCGCCTTCAATTCACTGGTCTTTTCTCAGTGAATACTGTTTTTAAGTTTCTTATTTCTCTCTTATGTGTGTCTTCATCAATAAGTTTTTCTTCAACTCTGCCGGAGCATTTTGCTTTTTCACTTTGCACTATTGATTTCTATATTGCTTGACATGTACGTAACTTTTTTATTGTAGTTTCATTTCCTTCTTTTCATTTTTCTAATTCCTGTTTCTAGATATTTGTTTAAAGTTGATAATGTGTTTGGTTTCCATTATAAATATATTTAATTTGTATTTTTCGATGACCATCTTACGTCATCTTCATTTTTGAAATTCTATACCTTCATGTTCTTATTCAGGTCCTCTTTCTTTCTTTCACTCAGCAGTACATCTTCAACAGTTGCTCACTTTTTATACTAGATGTAGATGTTTGTTTGAATTGAAGAGGTTATATTTTTGGGAGTGATTAATTTTTGGGAAAGTTTTTGGCTTTCTATGAGATTCCCTCATTCTTTTTTGTGTATCAAGATTGAGTAGTAGAAAGCCAAAACCTTTCTTTCCCAATAATTAATCACTCCCAAAAATATAACCCCTTCAATTCAAATAAGATTCCTCTTGGCTGGGATTAAATCAAATAGGTGAATGAATGACATTACGATGTCATCGATGACATAAGCAGATCAAGCTTATTCCGTGACATTAAAAATCGTAATTCATGAATGAATGGTGTGTATTTTCTATGATGTTATTCAATTTGGTACTGAAGAGCCTTAGGGCAAGTGTCTTAAGGCGAAACATCGATGTATACCAGTGAGGATGACAGTGTTCCATGTAAGTACAAATTATTACCATTCACAGAAAGTAGAACTCATGTGAATGATATCTGATTTTTATTCCACAACGAATGTTTGAAATGTAGTAGAAAGCCAAAAACTTCCTTTTCCAAAAAATAGATGTTTGTCTTTTTCACCAAGACATCATTTCTGAAGGTTTCTTAATCTCTATTTTGTCAGCAACTTTCACAAAACTTTATTATTCTTCAACTTTCACATACTCTTTCACAAATTACCCATTCATGCTTATAGTTTCTTTCTTTATTCATGACCAGTTTTTTTTGTTTTTGCTTTTATTTCTCAATAACTTATTCCGAGTTTTATCGATGTTTTTACCTCCCTGTAAATGAATGAATGTAATGTAGTTAATACACTCTAATCTAATCTATCTCCCTTCACTTAATAAATAACGAGTCAGATTTCCACGGTATTCATTACCACCATAAAATCTCTCATGTCGGTGTCTAATTTCCATTGTGACCTTCGGGATTCTTTCTTCAGACGAAGGTCTAATGTCAATTTAATACTGCTCGTTACCTCAATTAGATCAAGTGACAAGTTAATCAACTTGATTTGCTGAACTTCAAGCAAAGACCTGTATCAACAAAGTGGATTAGATACAGTAAACACGATACATACTGATCGATCTCTGTGGGGATGAAGACAAATTAGATGACGTGATTTGACAGGAGTGCTTTTTGATTTGAGAAAGGCTCGATTTTATTGAAGAGTGTTTTCTTGAGTAACACCTTGTGGGTTACGGTAAAGATATGTAATACACGCAAAATTCCCAATCTCAATCAGATTAGTTACCGTACTCGTCTTTTCTGAGGATGCTTCCATTGTCTCCTCCTTCACAGAAGTCACATACAAAACTATTCGTTATTCGCAGGCACTCCTCCTTCCCAACGCGTGCAATTCATCCTCGGCGAAGACATAAACGACGAGAAGCATGAAAGCCATCCCCTCTTCTCAGAGATGGAGGAACTCATCATCGACGGCGAGGATATGGAGTGGAGAGAAACCGCCAGGTGGATAAAATTCGAGGAAGACGTCGAAGAAGGCGGAAATCGCTGGTCCAAACCACACGTCGCTACTCTTTCGCTACACTCCCTCTTCGAACTGAGAAGCCTCATACTCAACGGAAGCGTCATCCTAGACATGGAGGCTGTTTCCATGGACCAGATCGCGGACCTGGTTCTGGAGAACATGATCAACAACAACAGTTTGTCGCTGGAGAAGAAGGACAAAGTGAGGGGGGTGTTGCTGAAGAGGCACAGACACCAGCATCAAAGGAAGCATCACGGACTTCCATTCATAAGGTCCTTCAATGAGATGAGGAATCATTCGACTTCGAAAAGTATGTACAATTTTCTCTCTTTTAATATCGTGCATTTGGTTCAGTGCGCCAAGTCGGTATGATCTTGGAGTTCGAAAGAAGCATTAGTCCACCTCGGATTCCAAAATAATCAGAACAGCTACTACAAAGTGGGGTAAATTTTCGTTATGTGGACACCCGGCGATTTTGAAAAAATTTTTGACTGTACTTACGTATTTTGATGCGTAGATTACGAATCCGAAAGAAAAAAGCGGCGCTCTCCCTTATTTAAAAAGTTACGGCCCTTCAAAGTTCAGAAAAATTTATTTAGTGAAAAAGAAGGCTGAAAAGTTGCCCTTTTCTGAACTTTGGAGGGCCGTAACTTTTTAAATAAGGGAGAGCGCCGCTTTTTTCTTTCGGATTCGTAATCTACGCATCAAAATACGTAAGTACAGTCAAAAATTTTTTCAAAATCGCCGGGTGTCCACATAAAGAAAATTTACCCGATTCTGATCTCAATGGTTCCTTACATTATTATTGCATCAGTAGCTGTTTTGAAATGTGATTCAGTGTAAACTTATCTTGACATAAAAATGATTATGTTGACAGTTCTCCTCGACTACTTCATGCTAAAATACAGTAACTGACATGGAAACAAAAAATGGGTTCTGAACACATTTTCACATACGATTTGTTTCATTGAAAGGAACAGAATGGTTTAACGAAAGCTGTAACCTTCAAAAAAGCTCAGATACGGAAAAAATATCACCACTGAAATCTTTCTCTAATATCTTTTGAGATAAATATAATGTAAATTCAGATCTGGAGTGCATGTTTCAGATAGGCATTGCTTTAGCTGCGCCAACTTTTCTCCAAACGGCAGAAGATATAAAGAATCAGCAGATGAGAGGAATCATAAAAAAGAAAATGGTTGCCATCTTGCAGGTTAGAACTTGTTGAAACGAAGTAACTAACAAGGATAGGGATCGTAAATGGTTAAAAAAAGTTAGCACGTATCTAACTCTTGTAAAATTAAACTTCATCATTCACTTTCTAATCTTGCTCTGGTGGCAAATCTAACAAAAATCCGCTAGTAATCCAAATTAATCACTTTAGAAAGCCTACAGCAGATTCCACTTCATCATCTTCTTGTACCTCATCGCCATCTCTTTGTTATTTTCAGTCGAGGAACAATTTTATTCTGAACACGCTTCTGGAAAGTCGCCAGATTCTGGAAAGTTTCTCGCCGTTCCTGGACACGGTAAACATATATCATTTGTTTTGTGTGTTGTACGATGTTGATTATTTTTTTGTCCCACGAGGAATCATGCATGAACAGCAAACCAGGTTTCAGCTTTTAGCCTTTGATTTTATTTTTGAATCTCACATCTATCATTATTGTTATGGAATAAAGAGAGTTGAAGGTTGAATTTGAATAGGATATCAAAAAGAAACATCCAATTAATTTTTTTAAACTTTAATGATTAATATTTGTCCAAGATTCGTGTTCAAAAAACTCCATATTCAGTTTGTATTTATTTCAGTTTCATTATTTCTGTATCATGTATTTCTGCTTCAGCATGCTCATTTTATTTCGCGGTTTGCCTTATCTTGGGAGAGCTAAAAAATTCAAAGCTCTAAAGTTTATTAAACTATTGTTCTATCAAAAACAAAGACAAAAATGTCCTATACTGGGTGACTGAATCATTGCATAATTGTTGTAAGAATAGAAATGTATTATTTTGAGTAAAGATATGGACTTACATTTTCAACAATGAAGCAATTAAATATTTTTTCCAGTTAACAAGAAATTTTGTCACGATTTTTAAATCAAACCCTGTTTAGGTTAGGTTAGATTCTACACCATTCAATGGAACATGAAATTCTCTTGTCAAAATGTTGACACAGACTTATTTTCCAAAATTCAATGTGACGGTGCCATTACGTCATCTACGTCAAACAATTTGGTGGCGTTTGGAACAAAATCGAGGTTTAACAAGTTTTCGACAAAGACTTCAAGAATATGAACTGCCACATCCACTTCAATTTTCTCTAAAATCTTATTGAAAATGGTATTTTTTCAACTTCAATATCATAGTTCATCTCTTTTTCTATAAGTCATTTCAAAAATACATGTGAAAAATGTATGTGAGCTGGTGGAAAATTTTGGTTTTGGAAGTTTTGCCGAGGAAAGAGGTGTATCTTCTGAAAGAGAGTTTCATGTTCTATCGATTGGAATAAAAAAATATACGTTTTATTTAAAATTCATGACGTGAATCCACTTTCGGCACAACCAGAAAAGATATTAATTCCTTAAACTGTGGAAAATATCGGCATCAGTGGACTGTAACTTCTATTGCACAATAATATTTTTGTCAACCTCACACATACACTCTACAAGCTGAAATTCAAAACAAATCAACTTAGGTACAGAATCAATGAGAAAAAGTGCGAGCTACGCCTCCATCAGTAGAAACCAAAGCGGAAGCGATCTGGGAAGCGACCAGCACAACTTGGCGTTCATGAGAAAAATTCCCCCAGGCGCAGAAACAAGCAATATTCTGGTGGGAGAGATTGATTTCATCGACAAGACCCTGTCAGCCTTCATCAGGCTCAACACGGCCGTCCATCTGGGAGATTTGACAGAAGTCCCAGTGCCAACACGATTCCTGTTCATTCTTCTCGGGCCAACTTCCCCAACAGCAGGTATGAAATAACGTTTCCAAGTTTTAATTCCCTCAAAACGATATGCTTCTAGGCTACCATGAAATTGGCCGGGCAATGGCTACCTTGATGTCAGACGAGGTGTTCCACGAGGTGGCATACAGAGCGCGCAATAGGAGCCATCTTCTAGCGGGAGTGGACGAATTCCTGGACGCAGTTACAGTGCTACCGCCCGGAGAGTGGGATCCTGCAATACGTATTGAACCGCCGGCGGCCATTCCATCACAAGACCCGCGCAAAAGACCACCAGAGAAACCTACCGAAGAGATCGACGAAGTAGAAGAAGAGCAGAAGCTGAGAGAAGAATCCGGTCTCGCTAGAACAGGAGTGAGCACTGTTACACTCCACTATAATTCGCTTTTATACAATCAATTTTCTCTAAGGTGCTCTTTGGAGGTCTCGTGAACGATCTGAAGCGGAAAGCCCCGTGGTACTGGTCCGACTTCAAAGACGCCTTCGCCATGCAGTGTATAGCCTCCTGGATCTTCTTATACTTTGCTTGCCTGTCCCCTATTATCACTTTCGGAGGACTGCTTTCCGAAGCGACTGGGAAAAATATGGCGGCCATGGAGTCCCTGGTATCCGGGTTCGTCTGCGGTATGGGCTACGGATTTTTTTCCGGGCAGCCTCTGACTATTTTGGGCTCTACGGGTCCGGTGCTGGTGTTCGAAACCATCGTTTACGAATTCTGTCAAAGCATGGGGTGGGATTATTTGTCTTTCAGGTTTTGGATCGGTACCTGGACGGCCGTGATTCTCATGGTTCTGGTGGCTATCGACGCCAGTGCTTTCGTTTGTTACATCACCAGGTTCACGGAAGAGAACTTCGCGACGCTGATCGCTTTCATCTTCATAATTAAGGTCAGTGGTATGATAATAGCCTTAGAAATAGGTACGTGTGTACGAACATATCAGGTAAATGTACCGTGTTTTTAGGCTTTTGAAAATGTGATAGCCATAGGAAAGAAGTACCCGATCAATACGACGGGATCTTTGAATTTCTCGACTGACTGCTCCTGTTACTTAAATGAGTCCGTTGCAGCCAGCTATCCGGACATATCAAGCTACTCCACTCTCAACCAAACAATATGCCTTGTGAGTGTGCCTTCATGGTGTAGAAAAATTCAAAACCATTCACTTCAAATATGTTTCCAGGAACTGAACGGAACTCTTTCTCCAGGATGCTTCACTCCACCATATGCTTCTGACGTATTCCTCATGTCAATTCTACTGTTTTTAGGAACGTATCTCATCTCCACTCACCTGAAGGACTTTAAGAACGCGCTCTTCTTCCCTTCTAAGGTACGTAAAAGCGGTTTTTAAAAGAACATCCTTCAAAACGTGTTTGTGAAGATCATTCAGCTTGACCAACATTTGCTTCTGACTTTAAGGTTCGTCAATTCATCAGCGACTTCGCTGTTATTATAGCAATTCTCTCCATGACAATGCTGGACTACAAAGTTGGCATTCCGACTCCTAAATTGGAGGTACCCCACGAATTCAAACCAACCCTTCCCAACAGAGGCTGGATCGTATCGCCGTTCAATAACAACCCCATCTGGTCGGTATTCTTCGCATTACCCCCAGCACTCTTAGGAACGATCCTCATATTCATGGATCAGCAAATTACTGCTGTTATAGTCAACAGGAAGGAGTTCAAACTGAAGAAAGGTAAAAGGGAGTAGGTTAATCTTACCCGGCGAACTTTCATCATCCATTACATGGAGGTAACAAGTCAAACATCTTATAAATGTTTATGTTCCAGGATGTGGCTACCATCTGGATCTCTTCGTCCTGTCAATTCTAATCGAAATTTGCTCCATCATGGGCCTGCCTTGGTTCGTCGCCGCTACAGTTCTTTCGATAACCCACGTGCACTCCCTAAAACTAGAATCTGAATGTGCTGCCCCCGGAGATAAGCCTAAATTCTTGGGGGTCCGAGAACAGAGGGTCACGCATATTCTGATCTTCTTGGCCATCGGCTGCTCGGTGTTTCTGACTCCGATGCTGAGCCACATCCCCATGCCGGTATTGTTCGGGGTGTTTCTGTATATGGGAATGGCGTCTTTGAAGGGGCTGCAGTTCTTCGACAGGATCCTCATCATGTTTATGCCGAACAAATATCAGCCGGACTATATGTTCCTGAGGAAGGTAAAGATCAGTTAGGGAAATATATACATATGGACAACAAAAACAATAATTCAGAAGTGAATCGAAAGTCCTTCAAAACTAACACCATCAACCTTTCCAGGTGCCAATCAAAAAGGTCCATTTGTTCACCATCATCCAACTGACGTGCCTGTTCTGCCTGTGGATGATAAAATCCTTCAATCAAACGTCAATCCTGTTCCCCCTCATGTTGGTGGTGATGATTGGGCTGAGGAAGTCGTTAGACTGCGTCTTCACCAGACGGGAACTTCAAATTTTGGACGATGTGATGCCCGAAACGTCGAAGAGAACCCAACTGGAGAGCGAAGAGGCCCAGGTGGGGTGCTGTAGTAATATTCGCAGGTGGATTTTGGGTCCGAAGTTAGTTAGGAATAGGCAATATGTGATTTGCAGTCAGACCATGAAATAATGATAAGAGTAATATGCAGGAGAACATCCGGGTGTTGCAGATGTTGTGGTAGCGCTTTTGGGTTTTTATCGTCGATATGTTTTTTAGAAGTCAGTAACGTAAATATTCATTTCAGAGAATGCAAGTCTCATGAAATTCATCGCTGCCGTACCGGCTTACCTCGAGGTGTTGACTTTATGTATGAAAATTTATGATGAAATGTATTATTTTTGAATTGGGCACCCTTATATTTTCAATAATCTCTCTGATTTCTGAACAAGACTGAAGTTGATCCATTCTCATTACTTCTCAAAGATTTCATCCCGAATCAATTTTATTAAGTCAATTTTCATCGAGAGCTTGATTGAATATGTATCCTTCAAAAAAAAATATATAGACTGAATTTGTTTATCCAGTTGCCAAAAAGTATTTTTGTCATAGTATCAAAAATATTTTCAATGTGAACAGATATATCTTGTGCCTTTTGAATATCACTATCTAACTGGACTAGGCCGATATCTGCATTGATATTTGAACAAAGTTGACTCAGATAGGCTGTTAGAATAAAAACAATTGTTTATTCTAAATGAGCCTTGATAGTGAATTAATTTTGATAAAACACTAACGATGATCTAGGCTTGCAGTTGAGTCAGTAGGATGAACCATAACGCCACCTGTAGTGGTGCACAGTCAACATCTCTGTTGATATGTACTGCAAAGTTAAAATACAGTTTATTTCAATTTAGGTCTCTCATTTGTCAAAATGTATCGAAAACTACCAAAAAATGCATTTCAACTGTCATACTTACATCAGCATCACCGATTATTTTCATCTTCTCATTTATTTCAAAGATTAGCTTTATGTTTTCCAGTGATCCAAACTACCTCAACAATCATTCGTGACGATCTCTGAATGGATCTTTGAATGCCCGATTTAATTTTTTTTTCAACATATTACTCTATTTAGATTTCTCATCTACATCAACCATTGGCCTTGTATGAACTCTTTGAACGTTCAGAGAGAGCATTGCACCATTATAACCGCCCGATATTAGTGGAGGAATCTCAAATTTTCTCTTTGGTAGTCTCCAATTTGTAAAGTGATCTCCTTACTTAAACGTAAGTTAGTTGTATATTATACTGTTCATGTCACATTCCATCTGCTTGTTATCATTGTTGCTGTTTACCTAGTTATATACATTCATATTATGTTTTATAATTTTTATAGTTATGTTTCTTTGAATAAATTACTATTACATTACCAATTTATTTTATTTTTTTATTTTTTCTTGTTCATTTGCATACATCTGTGAGTTTCTACGATTGGCCTGAGTATGGAACAAAACTTTTCGTCCAGACTGCAAGATTTATTTCCCATGGTCAATCTCAGAAGAGGTATGGCACGAAACGCCTTCAGCACTGTTTGATTATGAGGTTTTATGAGATTTTGTGTTTCATCAGGACAAAACAGAAGGAAATCCCCTAGAACTAGGGAACAAAGCTGGAAATTTGAAAATTCCTCTGGCCAATGGAAACGTCATGAATATACCACTGTCCGCCATTAACATATCTGAAGAGGTCGATAAAACTGGAATCTGGCAGCACGTCAATGAAAACCAGAAAGAGAAGGAGAAAAAGAAGAGCCCCAAAGGAAAAAAGTGAGTATTGACCAAAGAGAAATTGATTTTATACTATCTACCCTCTGATTTGTATCCTTTATAATGTCACACGACTAATTTCACCCGACTACATTTTTACATTTCCTATAATATAGAAAAGTAACAAATCTTGATGGTCTCAAATGATTCATATTATAATGAATTATACGGCAAATAGTTTTCAAGATATTGTCTTTCAAAAGTACCTGTAGCTTCGCGCAGTTGTCAGTCACAGAACTCATAAACTTATATCTTATGTCTAAATTTATGAGTTCTGTACTGACAGCTTATTATCCACGAAACGAAAAGTTTGGGAATGTTTGGATCTGTGTGTTAATCTAGAGTGTGGATCTACACACCTCTAGAGTATGGATCTAGAGGTGTCTACATCCCATTGTGAGGCCTCTCCGATCTCCAAATATACAACCACTGGCTTACATTGACTTTTGAGCCATCTTTTCATGAAGTTGTGTCTTAATAATACTAATCTGGACCAATCATTTCCAGCCGTTTCAAGAAAAAAAAACAACTGAAGAAGGACGAGAAGAAGGAGAACAAATTGGAAAAGAGACTTTCTACGTGCGCTGAAGAGGATGATGAAGGGATCACAATTAAGGTGACAGATACTTCACTACATATTTAAACCACACCACCTACACAAACACAGTAGGGAATGCGTAAGTACTTTGTCAGTATGTTGAAGAAGGAATAACTGGATATGCCTGAATATTTCAGTTATTAAAAAAGTAGGGAACACTTTCTGATATAAGCAGTCTTTAGGGACACTTTGTTTCAAAAACACACCCTGTACAGAGTTCTTGATACATGGACGTATTCTTTTGAGGATTAAAATTGTCTGGGCAGCAGTTATTCATTTAATTCTCTAGATGAAATTGAAATCTTGGAGAAAGAAGCTCTGAAAATAATTGACATAGATGATAACATTGACAACTGACACATTATCACTTGGAACTATCCACAGAACTAATAGTTCTGTGGAACTATCGAATACTCTTATGTGTTCTTCACAGGATTTCTTAACAGTATTTCTAACTATAAATCGAACTATTAATTCACATTTGTGAGTGTGAATTCGTAAAACAGTGAATTATGATCATCTTCTGTAGACAACAAATTGCTAACACGTACATCTTACACGCAGCATAATAGATGTCATCATTATATATTCATCCCAAATTTATTCAGTACATAATTCGATCCATGATAATAATTTTAAAATTGCCACAGTAATTTTATTTAAAACGCGATTTGCTAAGCGGCAGCTTCATCAAATACTAGTATATCAAACTACAATGTCATTTATATAGCACTAGGTAATGACAACACATCTCTGTTAATCATTGGAGAAATCATATAGTTATTAATTATTATCATTGACATTAATTTCCATCAAGCAATGGATCGAAGTATTCATAATCAGATTAACTTTTCAAATTTTTTTCAGGCTCCTCAAAACCAAACTCGACAACTAAATGAATACTAAATGTTGCCAAGCAAGGATCCAGTTGAATTGATTCCAAAGTATAGTACTTTGAAAGTCTATCGGAAACCGCCAAGTTTGATAAGTCATTTTTTATACACGAAATGATATATTTTGTTACAATGCTGGCTTACACTTGTCTTACACTTGAAGAAAAATAGTGTATGATTATTGTTATCTTACGATATCTTTTTGAATGAAACAATTTGACTTGAAGTATCGAGGTCATTGAGAACTGAAATATACATGAAATTTCAGAAGTACACTGAAAAACTTAGTTTGTATGAAATATTATTGTCAGTTGTTCAAATTGATATAGCATTCATAACAAATTGGTTTCAAGCATAATTTTATATTAAATCAATAATTTGTAGTCTTACCACACAGTGGTAATAATTGTACCCAAATTGAAAATACTGAACAATTTTTGAGGCGAAAACTATTCACAAATTAGAAAAAAATTATAATATGGATCATTTATTCGAAAATAATGCAAGGTGTCGGACCTGATGTTTTCATTTCAACGAATATTTCCTTCAAAGCAAAAAAATGAAGGTTAGACAGCCAGTACAGCAACAAAACGCTTCTTCTGAAGAGAGTATCGTTCAGAAGCGACATCTAACGGACATGTTAAAACTAGACCAGATGGTAAAACAAAAACAAGGTCTTGTTACTGGTTAGCTGTTTGAGTAACGCCATCTTCGGTAGAAATTTTTTGCTATAAAACTGACAACCTTAAAATAAAGATTCATGTGTCATTAACTGATTCCATTTGATTCTTATATCGATGCTTCCAGCTGATAATATTTCAGGAATAAATCTTTGCGAATACCACTCGATCCAGAAGTTTTCTCAGATAAATGTTAATTTCATGACTCAATTTTATCGCTGTCAATTTCATGACTGATCGGAAGAAGAAGAAGCGTTTTATTGGTTTTATCACTGTGGCCTGGCGGTCAATTTTTTCATTTCATCGCATTGAAGGAAATTGTCAACAAAAATTATACTATGGATAAACTTCTCAGATTGTCAGTTACATGAGTTGTTTAGAAACAGTTTTAATATGGTGAAACACTTGCCTACTATTTATTCATCCTCGCTATCTATTACTGGGTGATAGATTTCAACTTGCCAGGATTTAGGGAATGCTGATGAAAAAATGTCAAATATGTCATATATTGATCAAATTTATCTCAGAGTTTTTAGTACGATGAGCATACATCGGCTAAGATTTGGTACAGCTGAAAAGTTTGAGAAACCATTCAAAAAATGTATCAATATGATTCTTCCATTATGTTCTGTAAAGAATAATTTTCATTGAATAAGTTTTACGCGTCACCAGGCTTTTGTTAGCCTTTTCAATAATTGTTACGTTGAAGTGATAGTTTTGATGTGAACCTAATCATGGTTTAATAAAATATTGTATATCGTCAACTTTAACTTTGAGAATGGATATTCTCGATTTGTGTGGCCCTTACGTAGACAGTTTTATGTAATGCATTACAGAAATTTTGTATTATAAAGGAACATAATTACATTTTAGTTTCATTTCAACTACTTCCCCGGCTAAAGGTGGGGAATGGAAAGGACAAATAGTAGCCCAGTAGCGGTGCATAGTTTCCGCGTCAAGTCGATTACCTACTCCTTAAAAAAGTGCATTAGAGCCATCGTATTTTACCGTGAAGATACACAGTTACTGCATTTAAATATATGCTGGTAAAAAATGAAAATAAGTAAATAGTCGGCATTTTTATATCACATGATAGAATACCGGTATGAAAACAATTTAAAAATTCCAAACAAAAGGAGGGGCTGCAGCTTCCTTAGTCCCCTCCGAATCCGCCAATGGTATAGACTATTCATAGACCAAAGAATACAAAGACCATAGAAGCTCATATGTTCGATTTTAGTGTATCATGATCTATATAGTACCTAACCTGACCACCAGATAGTGATGGCAGTTCGATATCGGTATTCAAACAACCAGAACAAACATATCGCTGACAATCAGTCGGATCATATGAAAGTCTGGATATACTCCAAAATTAAATTGAAATGCCGGCTAGTTGTTACCGACTGCTACCCAATTCTGTTGTTAACCACATTGAATACCAACATCTTTGTTTACAAAGCCGACATTGTACTGCCATCGCCCTCTGGTGGGTAGAGTAGATACTATAAATTTAAGGATACAGTAAAACCGTTCTAAGGGCTTTGTATTCTTTGCTCAAACAGAAATCAAGTATCTAGGATCTTGAATTGTATCTGATCAGTAAGGGATCATTCGAAAAAGAATACAAAATATTGACAGACATCTAATAGAAGATGGATTAACCACAAAAGTCTTTTCATTGGCTGCATTTTCCCAACTTAGAACTTGCTACATCAAAAGTGATACTTCATAGAATGAAAAAGCCAGGAAAACTCAAAAAATATATTTGAATATCGTAAATAAATATATCAACAATTCGCTATGAGAATTTATTACTATATCACAAGCTCATTTGAAGAATTTGTCAAAAGGAAATCGTGAACCAGAAGGTTCCTCAGTTATAAGATTACTGCCGCTGGGCTTGGAAAATATATCTTTCTCACTTTCATCCATATTGACAAAGTGTTCAGTCACCTCTTCCTTCCCACTTTTGTCTCTCTTCCTTACGATACAATATTCCTTGTCTCCGATTCTACGACATACACTCATTTCTTCGTTTCCGTCGTTGTCCCTCACATTTGAATGAGTTTCGGTAGACTGAAAACACAGAAAATTCAATATGAATCAAAATAAATCTAAAGACTATATCGAGAAGAGGTACATACACATAAGAAAATTAATATTTCGAAATGGAATAACGAGCCAGTAGGTCTGGTAAATGCATACTGGAAAACAACTACTTTCCCGGCTAATGCCGGGCTGGACATTGAAGTATATCCGACAGACGTTTTTGCAAGATATCTCACAGAAGATAGTGTTGCAGATACTTCTGTTTCGTGCAGCAGTAGGACCAGGCGGGAGCCAATCTATCAGAACAACTACAGACCAGTTTTGAGGTATTACCTCACATCAGTGCAGGAAAGATCGACACAAACAGCAGTGTGTCTGAAAGAGTTGAATGTCTCAAGATTCCATTTCGAAACATTTATTTGCTTATAGAGAATTCAATACTACATGACGGTTGATAACATTGTTGAAATCATCTTACCCCATCTGGATTAACCACAGTTTTCATGGTCTGGCTCTTTCCGTAAAAAAAATTTTGTGGCGTTTGCCTTTCATATGGCGTCATTGTTCCGTAATGAAAATTCTCTGAGGTTTTTTTATCATAGGGTGTAATTTCTTTCTCCAAACCACTCCCAAACACTGAACCCAAATCTCCAGAGAGAATTCTGAAAAAGATCCAATTAAATCCGACTTAAAGCTGAGCTGTCACTTTGTAATCCTTGAGAAGTTCTATACAAAAAAACAAATCTCATTACTTGTTATCCAAATCCTTGTCTTCTTTGTCAGTGTTGCTCTGTGTGGGTTTCTCATAACCACTCTTGAGAAACTGATCCCTGACGTTGGGAGAATTACGAGGCTCCAAATCTTCCAAAGCGGGCGGGTTGGGNGTACTCATGAGCATTTATTGGCTTTGTATTAGTTGCTTGAACAGAAATCAAGACCCTTGGATCAATGAGGGATCATTTAGAATAATTCTAATAATATTGACAGTGACATTTAGCAAAAGATGGATCAAGTACAATCAAGTCCCTTCAGTGGCTCCATCTAGTCAATTTTGACTTAAATGCATAAAAATTAGTTCTTGGGAGTATAAATAAAAAGCCGGGATTACTCAAAAATATATTGAAATATCAAAAATATGTATAAAAATCAAAAATATATATAAATATCATAAACAAATATATCAACAATTCAATATGAGAATGTATTCCTATATCACAAGATTATAGTCCCTACGGTTGGAAAATATAATTCTCACTTTCATCTATATTGATATAAGTGTATATTCATATCTTCATACCCATTTTTGTATCTATTCCCTATCAAACAACATTCCTTGTCACCGATTCTACGGCAAAAGCCTATTTCTTGGTTTCCCTCGTTGTCCCTCACAGTCGAACAAGTTTCGATAGACTGGGAAACAGAAAATTCAATATAAATTAAAAAAAATCCAAAGACTAACGAGAAAAAGTACATACACAAAAGAAAATGAATATTTCGAAATGATATCTCAAACTTTTACAATGGAGAAGGAAGTCCACAACGAATTGCCTTTCTTTGACGTATTGGTGAAGAGGACCGATACTGAATGGGAAACATCTGTATATCGAAAACCCACTCACATGGGACAGTATCTGAACCAGAAATCCAACCACCATCAATCGACTAAGAGAGGAATCATCAAGACTCCACTAGACCTTACTTTCAGGCTCTGTAATACAAAGAAAGGTCTTGAAAGGAAACTAAGCATCATCAAAAATGACCTTCAACGGAATGGTTACTCCAGAGTAATGGTAGAACAGGCCTTAGCTAGAAGACAGCAAGAACTCCACAAGGAAGGGAAGCCGCCACAACCAGTACTTGTACTTTCCTACATCAAAGGATTATCGGAAAGGATAAGAAGGATTAGGTCCAAGCATAACATCAGGACCTGCTTCTCTATTCGCAGATGATACAACTGAAGAGTAAGATCTTCTCAGGATGTTATGCAGTTAGAGTGGTTTCAAATGAGTTGGGTTTCCATGTCGCAAAGACTTATTGAATCTCGACTACGTTATGGAACACCTTTTTGGGGAGCATGCAACTCATCCTTTCTCTCTTCTGTATTGATATTACAGAAGAGGGCACTAAGATGTCTCTGTAAGTTAAACCCAGAGAATTCAATCAATTTATATTATATTAGATAATGGAAGTCCGAACTGAAAAAATTACACTATTATATGATGGTTAATAACATCGTTTAAATCGTCTTACTCCATCTGGATTGACCACAGTTTCCACCATAAGTGTCGTTCTATAATAGGAATTTTGTGGCATTTTCCTTTTGTTTGGTATCATTATTCCATGAAAACATTTCTCTTGGATTTGTTTATCACGAGGTATAATTTTTTTCTTCAAAGCACCCTTAAACACTGGATCTAAATCTCCAGGAATAGCTCTGAAAGAAAATTCAATCAAACCCTGCTTGAAGAAGAGCAGATAAAGATAATATACGATGACAAAAAAAAAGGTGAATGTTCATATTTGGCGGGCAACGAATATTCCACTCGCGATTTTATTTTTTATGTTGGTAAACTTGTCTCGAACATATGTTCCCAATTTCAGCTGTTTAGCACGTTTAGTTTGTTGACCTGGCTAATACCACGAAAGGCGTTGGATTATATCCGACAGGCGTCAGTGCAGGAATCTTCACAGGAAATTTTCTGCACTGACGCCTGTCGGATATAATCCAACGCCCTCCGTGGTATTAGCCAGAGGAGTAGTTGCTTTCTGATAGGCGTCAGTCCATTCAAGCTACTGTGTAGGTATATTCGAGACTGGCTTGGACATTTGAAGTTAATTTCTTTAGATCTAACCATATTATTGGATAGTCTTGGTAATCTGAGCTCTTTTTTGCAGTAAAAAAACATTTTCATGAAGGTAAGAGCAGCATGCTCCCCAAAAAAAGTGTTTCAAAAGCTAGCCCAACCTGTTGAAAGGAACATTCACCCACTTGAGTCGGGGGAAGTTCTGAACAAACAAAAAACAAATCTCATTACTTGTCATCCAAATCCTTATCAGCTTTGTCAGCTTTGCTCTGTGAGTGTTTCTTATAACCACTTTTGGGAGGTTCCAAATCTTCCGAAGCGGGCGAATTAGGGATGCCAGCTAAAACAGACTGATGCTGAGTTTGCCAAAGACTATCGAATTGAAAACTCACATGAGGATTTCATCAAGTTCTGCCACCCGAACGACTGCAGCGCTTTGTTAAACTCCTCTTCGTAATACTCATACATTTTAAGTGGATCCGAGAAAGCGTTGGAGCCTCCTCTTGAAAACGGCTCGCCCAGGGCTCTGGGCCTGTTGGAGATGTCTTCATCATTCTTCACAGGGATTCTTCGTGAACTTGATATCATCGAAAATCAAACAATAAATAAGTGATATACCAGAGACACTTTTCCCGTACCAGAACAAAAGCATGAAACAAAATGGTTTTCAGTTCAATAATGAGGAATCCGGTGTCCTTCTTCATGGCTGATCTGTTCATGAGCAGATTTAAAATGGTAGCTACTAGACTTTTAGTTAACCCTAACCTTCAAAAGAAGGTACATAATAATCGAATAGAACTGGCCGATACTTGATGAAAATCCATATTAAAACTAATTAATTCAGTTTATTGTGTGGTATTCGCTATAAAGGGTTTTACAAAAACCGAGACACGTGTTTCGCTATACAATAGCTTCCTCATACGTAAACTGAGTTTACAATACTTGTAGTGAAAATAATTTGTTAGTTATGGATTTTCATCGTGTATAGGCCAATTCCATCATATAAACCAGAGAAGTGTGTGAACAGTAACAAAGGTAAATAACAAGTGCATAACAGATGATCAATAACATAAAAATTGGAAATAACCAAGATATTATTACAAATCAACATTTAATGAACCTGATTTGATAACCATCATTACCTGAGGTATATAAAAACAGTCCCGGTATGTAAAATTCAGTTTTTATTGTCTCCTGATGATGCTGTCTTGGTTAGCGAAACAAGCATCGAGATACAGTGTTTTTGTCCTGGTGTTGGAAAAGTGTTTTCTTTAGATTCTTTACACCAGAGGTTCCAATTCTACCTATAAAGTGAATTGATATTGCAGCATTTATCTCTTACCAACGCTGGTCTTGTTGACTATTACCGAATATAAATCTTCTAACGAAATCCATTTTGAATTATGAAGAATTTTAATTTGATGACAGTGATGCCAACTGCTCAAAATCTTTTCCCCTAAGCCTATTTTAGAAACTTTTCCTGGAGATTAATTACTCTAACACCAAACTGATATTTTTTGCACTCGACGCGCGTTTCGCTAAAAAGGTAAGCATCTTCAGAAGAACAAAATGTATACTGTATCAATTGATATTTCAATCAGCGGTACGGCAGCCCAATAACAGACTGGATAACTGAAGCTACCGCCACAATACAACGAGAATAAACATCACAGATGTCACAGATACTCAGACCAATGATATCAAGACCTTACACCCCACTGGAGGCTAGCCTCTTCTAACGCTGTGATTTCTGCAACTAAAATTACAAATCGGGACGTATGTCGCTGGTTGGATCGGTCTCGCGGAGCTTGTGTTTTTTAAAGCGGTCGGAGGCTTGGCTCCCTTGCAACGTATGGCATTATGGCATTTATTATTTCGAGTTGATGGTTTCTTCGTTATTCGTTCGTGGGCGTTGCGTTTGAGGTTTGTTGATGCAAGATACAGTGCGGTACGTACTACGTAGTGAGTGATAGTGTTTTTCGGGAATATTATGTATTTATATTGAAAATTAATGGTAAAGTAATGATACCCGAGCATTTTTAGAAAAAAATAATCATAATTATTTGTCAATATCTTTCAATTTATTGCGATGAATAGTTTCAAATTTTAATGGGAGGCTAAGCTTCCCTTGCCTCCTCTGACGAGCCGCCGCTGTTTTAATGTATCAACCCACTAGAAAAAAAAGTGATGTAGCATAAGGAAAAAACAGATAAAACAGAAATAAATACTTTTCTTAGCGATTATAGGCTAGGAGAGTACTAAAAATGGACCAAATTTTTGGACTGAAACTTTGAATGTATAAAACACCAATAAACCTATCTATTTAAGAAATAAAACGATGTATGTTTTACTTTACTAAATGATGTATATATATTTACAATATCAAATAATATTTACAAAATAACGTAATCTCATTTACATCATACTATACATTAAGCTAGAATATACAGTGATAATTATCCAAAATAAATATACTGAATAGAAAAACAATTAAAACCTTTGGTTCTCAGTTGAGGCCTTGCGATCATCGTGTTCACGAGAAAAAAATTAGTCAGGAATGTCGGTATATTTTCAGAAAATAAATACATCTCCGTAAATATTGTATATGTGCTATATTTTCTACTGTTACTTCAATATTTACACGGACTAATCTACACACGAGAAATAATAGGCCCACGTATTACTACATATCACATTCAAATACAAATTCCTTCTTAACAGCATCAACCAAATACTGTGAAATACTACAAAACCGAATGGGGTATGCCTCATTTTAGGAATAAAAATTGTTACATATAAGAATCGTACCATCAACAAACAAAAATGTATAATCGATGTAGAATAGAACCCACGTTTCATACAGGCGATTTTTCGTTTCATGTTTTACTATACCTCTCAGATATGTACCTACAAACGCCATTGAACATTTGTGTCATGAACCCTTTCCCAGTGAAATTATGAAAGAAGGAAATCTCCAGCGAAACTCGACCACAAAAACAACAGACTCGAAGGGTTTCATCAATATAGAGGGAAACTTCAAGGTACAGCTTGTCGAATCTAGGAAGACTTGACAGTTCTTTCTCTCTCGCTCTCATAGTCTTCTAAACAAACGCACATCTAGTGGGCGGGCCAATAACGGAATTCAGAAAGCTCTTCCTACATACGACAAGTTGTACCTCCCGGACTCAACAAGACCAGTGATATTTTTTAAATTTTATTTCACGTTTAATGAAGTTTATCGTTTTCCGATAAATTATTGCATGTAATCCTCCAAAAATGTGCATTGTATTTGATAGATAGTTCAGTCAAAGAAACGCCTGAAAAAACTAAAACCACACCGTTTCGAATACGGGCCGTTCAAGTATTACATGAGCACTATAGGGGGGTGGGGGGTCTAGATGATGATTAAGTCAGCAGCAGTTGAGTAAGAGCTTTGCTTACTTTTGCTGACAATGGAGGTGGGGTAAATAATTGTAATAAATATGCTTACATAATGCTTGAACAGCCCCCAAATCAGCAGAAAAATAGTCGACACAAATATCGTTCTGACGATACTAAAAAAATTCAATACTTTTTCTTTGAAACTCACACCTCTGATAGATGAATCAGCAATAACAAAATCTTTCATAAACTGAGAAAAAAATTAGTTGATTCCTGAAAATGAGAAAGAAAATTGTAGAAACTTAAATATTATCTATATTTTAAATTACATATGGACAGTGCGAGCCTCTGAAACCTGCAGTAAAATGATTATGATCTCTGGGAAAATTGACAGTAGACGATAATTTTTGACTGCACCAGCAAAAGTTCATCGAAAGTGTATTGATTTCATTGTATATTATTTTCATTGTGGCCTGCCACCTGTATGTGCTTCCTTCCTACATAACCAGTGTTAGAAAGCTGCTATTCATAATAGTTTTCAAATTTAACTTTCTAGAACTTTTAATTTCTTCAACTACTTTTCTCATTAAATGACCGATTTCATAGACATTAAAGTCGAGTTTCAACTGAACTAAGCTCGATTATAAGACTTCATCTAAAATGATATTTGGTGTTATCAATTTAGACCATTATAATATTGAAGAGTTCATTCCATCTTTCCACTATAGATAACATGTGTGACAGCTGAAGTTTTTCATAGGTGTTACTTTGTCGAATGACAGGAACATATGACTATCAATTTTTATGAACTCTCGCATCAAAACTGATTGATGGTTTCATCTACCTTGGAATGAACTAAATGGACCTTAAATACGCCAATTTGCTATCGACATATCCCTTTCGAATACATGCCTTTCCTGCTCCACCACCTGAATCATCCAATCAAAACAGAGCCCTAGACTACGCCCTAGAAAGAAACTCTTTCATCGAAAGAATACAGACTTATATGTTGGAATCAGGTACATATACAAATACAAAAAATCGTGTTCACTCTTGCCCGAAAGTATCGGTCTCCTCGATGGCGTACGTCAGTTTCTCTACCAACTGTTCGTAGCTCTTATAGGGCGGCAAATCCAGCCTGTTGAAGCAGGTGTGCGATCGCGGTAACCAGGATTCCTTGCCTACCTTTTCTATGCAGAAGCGCTGTGGTCCGTTCGATCCCATTAGCTCGGCGAATCCTCCGACCGGCACGCGGCAGGTGCCAGTGACGAACTGCAGGAGCCTAGCCCTCTTTTCATTGTCGGACTGCTTGACAAACTGAAAAAGAACATCGTTCATCTGGGGATAACAAGTTCAAAAAATTGGCGCAGTCGGAAGGATCTAACTACACAACACTCACCTGCCAAAACCACACCACTGGTTTGCTGTTCCTCGTATAGTGCCGATAGATGGTGTGCCTCTGCCAATCCTCTACGTCGATTTCCTGCATCCCGCACAGCAGAAGTTCCAACTCGCGCTCATCGAAGTACTTCAGCCACTCGATCGGCACGACCTCGTTGAATCCGTCGAGGAAAGCCTGAGTCTGTTGCTCGATGCCTCGTGTCATCCTCCAATCGGTCATCAAAGTCAAGTACTCCTCCTTGTTCTCTTCGGTTACGCGTTCCTTGTCGCCGTTCTTGATCAGTTCGTGGTGCACGACTTGGCCAAGCACCTCGAAATCGACGCTGTGGTACAGTTCTAAGCCGCATTCGTCGATGTCGTTCTCTTTGATCCAAACCAGCGAGTTATAGAATTCGGGATCGATCGTCTCGATGTCCTTCATGACCAACTTCTTGCCGAGCATTCTTTTGTAAAAGGGCATCGTGAAACCGGAATATATGAATCTGCCGTGGTAGAGCGCCATCGCTATGAACCGGCCTGGAAAGGTGAAGAAACTAATGATTGGTCCATCATCTGCTGGCACCCAACGCGGGGTGCCACACATTTTTTATTACACAATCAAACTATTTAGGCATTTTGAAAGGCACAAACACAATCCTTTCATCGTCAATTGATAAATGACCGAATGCTTAACCTCAAACCACAATTGCATTTCAGTGAATAAGAGGCTGTAAATGTATCAGTCCGGCGCCCAACGTGGGGCGCCGAAAAAAAAACAAAAAATAATACATTTCAACAACCAATAGAGCGTGACTCGTTCTTGTAATTGAAATAGTTACCTATGAATTTGAAGTATGTCAAATGCTCCGGATTAACATATGAAGCGGGATTTATCTGCAGACTGTAGTTGTTCTTGTTGGCATACTCGAAGAGGCAGTACATGGGGTTGAGAGCTTCGTGAGAGACCAGGAAAAACCATTCTCGACTCACGCCACCGTAATCTAGTCCTTCTTCGCCTTTGAGAATGATGTACAGCCTGCGACGTAGCTCGTAAGCAGGTAGGCGCATGATCGTGTGGAAAGAGTCTTCGAACAAGGTTTGTCTCGTCACCTGTATTTTGATGTGACTTGGCAGGGCGTTACTTTGACACAGGAATCTGCGGAGTAATATTAAAATAATACAAAAGTAGCAAACCAACTTCCTTTTCAATAAATGAAGCATCTTCGAGGGAATAAATCAATAGGGGCTAGATTGGCGAGTTCTATCGGCCATTACACAAATAGAAAGTGTTAGCGTTGAAACAATGCATACCTGAACTGACTGATTTTCCATTTGAAAGACCTCTCGTAGGCTCTCGGCACCCCATAAACTCCTTTGGGGCCTTTAGGAGCGCCGGGACGGGGATCGTCAAAAGTGGTGGTCTTCGTGTTGTGGTCTACAAAATATCGTTTTTGGTCTTCAGTGTATCTAATTTCCCACCCAGGCGGTAAGGCTACTTCCTCCACTTCGCTTATTTCTTGGCCTTGGGTTCTTGGGTCCTCCCATTGCGTCGTGCGGTTTTTGTGGTTGACAAAATATACGCGACCTGTAATGATAAGTTATGTGAAGACGGGAATCGATGAGGACATGGAAAGTTGATCTAAAAAAAGTTCCCACACACCAGAAAAGTAATAGTACTTTTCTCAACGCCTGGAGTAGTTCAAATCGACAATAATAGGAGGTAATGTAATTTCTAATTAGTTGCGCCGGTGTGGCAGTTTTGCCGAAGCTCCAAAACTGCGCAGGGGGCGTCGGCATCATCAACCACGAACCACTCCTTACACCAAGTGGCAAGTGATCCATTGGATCCGAGGATCATTGCTCTGAGAAGACACAAGATGACAATCTACTGCATTTGTCAGATCTTGAGGTTCGAGATTAGGGAAGATATCAATCCACCAATGACACAAAAACAGTAACTACCATTTCAACGGGGTAGTCTGTGAATTTCAAAGTTTACGTCTCAATATTCCATTAATTTTTCTTCCCCTTTTCTGACGATATTCGTGTCAGCCTGAGCTGAAAATTCCAAGACGAATATCCCCTTACTTTGATGGTCGAGGAAGGTTGTATCAACCTGTATGAACGGTGGCAACGAATTGTTTTGTCCTTGAAAAAAAAGGGAGCTTCCCACCCAAACTTCAATCGAGGATTCGTCCATTCTAACCTCAAACTTCAGCTTGTAATAACATTAACCCTAATCCTAGAGAAAAGTGATCTGGAACGCTCGGAAAAGTATTTTTCTTGGATCTTAAAGAAAAATCAAAATAAATACCTTCTGGCTGTACTCTCTTTTCCCATCCCGCAGGCAGGGCACCCAATCCGTCATCCTCATCTGACACGGCAGACGGTCCAGGAGCGGGAGCGGGTCCAGTTGGTTGATGTTGAGAGTACAAGAACCGCTGGTTACCTAAAATAATCAACAATAATGCCCCATTCGATTCAGTCCTTCAGAAAGTACAGATACCTTGTTGGACTATATGCTGTCTCTGTCCTTGCCATTGCTGGAAGTGCTGCAGTCGTTCAGAGTTCGGTCTCTGCCATGTCGTCGTACGGGAATTGTGATCAACGTAGTAGACGCGACCTCTAGGATCGCGGCGCATTTCCCATCCAGTGGGCAGGGGCTGCGGCCTCTCCCAAGAAGTCGACCTGAAATATGACACCATTGAGTTAAATTTCTGTGGGTTCCACAAAACTCATAAATACTACAACAAAAACTATATTGTTGCATATATATTTGAAGGAAAGGTTTTACCGAGTGTTATGATCGACATAATATCGTCTTCCGTAAGTATCAAATCGCATCTCCCAGCCAGGCGGTAGAGGTTCAGAGTCTGTTCTGTTTTCTTCCGGTTCGCTCTGCGCAATGTTGCCGTTTGGCACTGTTATAGGTGGACCAATACTACCTGAAACCCCCAAGAAGAGAATTAAAACCAAGTCCATATCTGTTTCTTTTCAACTGAAAAGAACAGAGATAGACAACTAAGTACAGACAAAAGCCAGGCAAGCATCTGCCCGCGAATAGATCAAGCAATAATGTAGATATATCAAGGTTACATACAGCGCCATCTGCCCGCGAATAAATCAAGCAATAATGTAGATATATCAAGGAAGTCACATACAGCGCCATCTGCCCGCGAATAGATCAAGCAATAACGTCAATATATCAAGGAGGTTATGTACAGATTAAAATACACGGCCTTCAAACCGGAAAAATTGTGACTCTCACGTCCTTCTCACAAAAATCACATACCATTGGGAATGCTGTTGGTGCTGGGCGACATTGCGAGGGGCACGACGGACATGGAGGGGCGCCTCTCGGCACTCTCCAAGCTGTTTCTGGAGAAGCTCGGCACGACATTTTCGGCCCCAGTCGTCCTCAGCTTGGCTCTGATTCCGTTCAAGACGCTGCGGTGCGAAGAATCGCTACTGTTGCCTGCGTTCTGAGTCAAAGGAGTGGTGCTAGAACGAGCGTAGTTCGACATATCAACGATCAGACCTTTGAAAGTGCACATCAGTTCGCCGACTTTCGTGGCGGTTTCGATTTGTTTGCTGTCGTTCATCAAATCCAGGGTTAGGTCGAGATTGTCGCATCTGGAAGGGGTTACAATTGAGTAAAAAAAAATATGTTATTACTGCATTACAAATAAGGAAGTACTTCTTTGATGGACATTCAAATGTCGTGTCATCGTATTATACTACAAAAATAGTTCATAGGTTTTCAATCGACAACATGAATTGATAGAAAAGTTACATAAAAATGTTTTTCCTAAATATAATGTACTTCTCAACCCTGATATTGGTATAACCGCAAAGGTGGAAACTGTAACGTTAATACGAGGGGGTCTGCACAGTTTATGACCTCAACATGAAGATGTCAGTACTCGTTAACAAAAAATATAGTGAATTTCGTTGTTCATCTGTTGATAGTTACTCACCAAAGTTTCAGCCATTCATTTTGGATGCGCAGGAACCTTGCGACGTCACTAACGATTGATATGAACTTGGCAACACTGCATAACTTACTCATACTGCAGTATTTAATTTTCTTCTTCTTATTTTTTGTTGTTCATGTGTGCGACATTGCCAACTTGCTTTTGAGGCCGATTCGATAGTTAGTTCCGAAATGAGTTTTTCAAATTCACTTCGAAAAGTATTCAAATTGATGTTTCAAATGTTGGGTTTTAATTTTTAAAGGGATATTCTAGGTATTCTATTTAAAAAAAAAGGAAAATCATCTTTATAAATCAACAATTAAGGCAAAATATAAATTATAGTTCAATACCATTAACACAAGCCACATAAACAACAGTTGTTTTGTTATTTATTTATATAGAGGTGCACAAAATGTCATATGTCACAGAATGTCTCGGAACTTAAGTAAACAGAACAGCACGCCTCTGAAATATGTCATCATTGTTTGTCTCATACAGGTAACAGATTCATTGTCCTTTACTAGCTATAACCGATGTTGTCAAATGGTGAAATAGAAACGAATCCCTTTTAAGAAGCATTTCATATTACGGAACAAAGATTTAATATTTGGAATTTTGTTAAAGAGGATATTTCCTTGACTTTCTTATGATTCACAAAATTATACACAATTTGGAACGTGGTTTGAAAGGGGGGGGTGAGTCTCAATGGTAGAATCATCACAAGCATTTTTTGAACTTCGATTTTACTTTAAAATGGAGAACTAACGAATAATATCGACTTTACCATTTCATTTCAGAAAATGTAAGGTCTATTTCGATATAAACCTGCTTTATAATCACAATGATGAAGTACAAGTTCTACAAAGACAGTTGAGAAATAAAATCAGTTCCAATTTGTTCAATAGAGTGATAAAAATCGATAATTCAATACTGAATCACGCAAAACGAATAATTACCTGCCGTTAAAATGGAACAGCAGCAAATACAACTCGACCTTCTTCTCCCCAATGGTGGTATCCTTGCGTAAATTATTGTGGTCTTTGACGACGAAGTTAATCTTGGACTGCGGCGTAACAAGCACCTTGAACGTTTCATCCCATTTCGGTTGGAGCGTCGTCTTGACAGTCTCCGTCTTCACTGGAGTTTTGTCGTCGACGGATATTTCGACGTAGGGCGTCGGTTTGAGGAGGAAGTTGGTCGGTTTCAGGTGGGCACATTCCACTGAGCATATTAAATGTTGATTATAAACTTGGAAAAACACTTCCGGTATATGTCAGTAGACAAGTAACATTCCAATCTAATTTGACTGTTTATAAAACAATAATCCTACCACACTTTGATTACTGTGCTAATCTGATATCATCACTAGACGGTAATTCTATCTCTACAAAAGTTACAAAACAGAGGAATGCACTCGTTATCAAAATGCCGTAAGTGTATTCATATATTATCGATGACAGTAAAAGATAGATTACAATATTTTCATTTTTTTAATACTCACTGTAAAAGCACCACATTACTTCAATGAATTCATTACATATAACCATCAGATTCACAAGAGAAAGAGATGACTTGGTTGTCTCACCAACTAACCTTGCAAGAACAATGAACTCTACTTTCAACAGAGGACTCTTGGACTATAACAAGCTTCCTAATGAAATTAAACAAAGTAACACCCTCCAACTCTTCAAATGCTCCTTATCTCAATATCTACGAGCACACTATTATTCCAACTGAGTTGTTCATCATTCTTCTCTCTAATAATCTCTTCATCATCAACTACTGCTACTCTTTTACACACTTTATTTTACTGTATAGGTCTTATATACTTTATTTTGTTCAATAACTTATATATTCGTATAATATTTATGTACATTAAGACATCTATTTCTAATAAATCTACCTATTAATGATTCAAATATTTCGACAATGGTTACTGTCATCATCAGGAAACTGTAAGATGATTATTTTGGATGAAATTCAAAAGAAATTGTCAGAACTGTTAACAATTAGCCACCAATCTCATTGATGGAAAATTATTAATATAATATAATATTGTTAATTGTTAATAAGTTTTCTTCAATCATTCATTTGAGCAATAAGCTATCGGACAAGTAGTCCTTCCTCTCTTCAGATTTCAATTATTTGGTGTGAATTTTCATTGACTTTTCATCCAAGTTTAACCTCAAAAATGCTTTTCTTGTAATCAGCTATCTATATATTTGTTTAAAGAATAGAATAAAGACGCAAAAAATATATAAAAACACCTGATTGTACTCAGTATTGTTCTCAAATAATCCTCTTCAAGATATCTTATCTATCGGATACCTTCAATAACTTATGGTTCACCCATGTTCAAGTGTGAATAAAAAAATAAATAAGATTGTACAAGATGGTCTTTTGTACAACAAAAGACTCATCAAAGTATTGTGGCAAGGAAACATTGTTTTGTACATTGTTGGAATATAACTTTCTATAAAGCTTGATAAGACAAAAACTGCAGGAAATAAGATAGACTTCACATAAACAAATCAACATTAACATTGCAATCAGGTGCCAGAGAGATATATGTCCAATCAGCCGGCAATTTTTCCGTATCATCAACATAATTTATCTCTGAGATAGATGTGTTTTCAAGGCCAGAAAATTCACTTTACGAATTACTTATCAAAAGCTGATACCATTGTTACTTATCTTCACATGACTAACTGTTGAAATGACCTTTGAAGTCTGTGAAACTCCCACCAAAATAATTCTACTCAAATTGACATCAAAATCAGCCAGTGGGAATTCCCAAGAGCTTCGTTAATATGCTGAAAGGCACCTGTTATGGTAAATTTAAATATTCACCAACCTGTAATCTTCAGCTCATGCCAGCCAGGAACATTTGCCTGTGCTTGATCCATTTCATGGAATGCAACTGAACATCTAGAATGGGAAACAAACAATCATTTCATGCAATAACACAAACTAGGAGTTGGCGAAGAAATCATGAAATTGTGTAATTGTTTCGTACACCCGTTTTCTAATTACCCCACTAACAAATATTATGGTATTCCCTGATGTTTCACAACAAAGTAAGGACACGCGATTGTCTCGATCGCCCTCTATTAGTTACCAACGAACTGATAAGACGGAGTGAAAATATGCAAATATTGTAAAATTTATCGAGGCAGCAGTTTGTACGGCTTCATTATCGGTAACAAAATTATAATAAAAAATACTTACCAAACGCTGACGTAAGGAAACATTACACAATGTAAAAAACGCTTTTTAGAGACGAATTGATGCAAAATCGAACAGTTCTTGCATAGCACAATGAAAACTCTTTTAATTTAAACTCTTCAGCAACTTACGAAGGAAAAAATTACACAATTGAGAACTATTTACCGAATTTCCACTGACAACAGTGACAACACTAAAATCTACTCCATTATCTTTCGCGAGAGCAGAGTTGTCATCTGTCAAACTCTTCAGTGACACTGACAGCTGTGACAAGTGTAAAACTCAGAACCACAAAACTCAAGTCTAGCTGCATTCGAGTTGTCGCTCTGTTTGCTCGGTGTGGATCCCGAACGACCATAAACATTATTTCAAGTCAGGGTTTGTTCGACAGAAATTAGAAATGGAACGTTTCCGGAAAAAACTTACAACTTGCTCGATTATGCATTCATATTTTACTAAAAATTGGAAATGAAAACGCTACCGGCATATTAGCCATATTTGCCCCCCCCCCCACTCTATCTTTCTTCGTGGGTCAATGCTCTCTGTCTAATGGTCAGATTGCGCAGTCCTTAGGCGCAGTCCAACTTTTCATATGGTCTTTTAGCATTCTTCTATGTCTATGCGATATATGTGAACATAACCTCTAACCTCAGCATTTTCATAGAAACAAGCAATAGAAGAACAGACAGGCTTTTGTGGTGGCTAGAATTGTATTATTTTCTCACAATGGGCCCTGAAAAACATGTGGGTTGCTTGGTAGTGGACACAACCGCGTTCATACAAAACGCTCAGCTTCAGGTATGTCTTAAGAAAAATCTCCAAAGTTACAAATAGCATGCTCGTTTTTTTTTACAGAATGTAGCAGAAACCATTATAACTTGCCCTGAAGTGGTAGCAGAAATAAAAAACAAGCGGCAACTTAAACGACTAGTAGTCCTCCCCTACGATTTAATTGTCAAAGAGGCTTTTCCTGAAAACATACATGTAGTAAGCGAGTTTGCTAAAAAAACTGGTGATTATCCCAGTCTTTCCGCAACGGACATCAAAGTTATGGCGCTCACATACCAATTAGAGAAAGAAAAAGTCGGGACAGATCACATCAGACTTGTGCCACTCATGCGAAAAGCTGAGATTACTACAGAAAATAAGCCAGCAGGTATTTATTATTAATATATTATTTTGATATGTAGCCTCATATTTATAGGAAAGGTCACAAGTATTCAAATCACGTCTGTCTCATTAGGAGTTCCTTGAAATATTTATTTTATTAATACATTGGTATCTCTCTTAAACATGCTTATCAGACTCATTTTGATTTCTGTTAGATATCAGTTCGAACGAACCAGGTTTCTACTTACCCAGTAAAACGAAGAAAAACCAGACTGAGAATGATGTTGAAGAAGAGTCAAAGGAACAGCAAACTGGAGAATCTGAATTGATTGAGGACAATACCGAAGTAAAGCAAGATATCACAATTGAGAAACAATCACCTACAGAAGATCATGGCTCTGAGAGCGATGAATACGAGACAGCATCGGAATCTGATGAACACGACAGCTTAGCGGACGTTTTGGTTCCAGTGCTCAGCAATTATGAAGAGGAATCTGAAGAAAGCGATGAGGAAGATGATGAGGATGACGGCACAGGTTGGATAACACCTTCCAACATCAAACAATTCAAAAAAACCTCTGAACTGGCTGTAGAAAAAAAAGTTGAGGTAGCTTGCATGACAACAGACTTTGCGATGCAGAACGTGCTTCGCCAAATGAACTTGAACGTCAGCGCCTTAGACGGACGCCTCATCAAACACCTGAGGACCTACATCCTCCGCTGCTACGCCTGTTTCAAGACTACGAGTGTAATGACTAAGAAGTTCTGTCCAAAGTGTGGGAACGACACCCTGAAGAAGGTAGCCGTGTCTTTGGACGAGAATGGGAAACTTCAGATACATATTAATGCCAAAAGGCCGCTCACTGCACGAGGAAAGAAGTTCAGTTTGCCTCGGATCAGAGGAGGAAAGCATCCTAATAATCCTATTTTAGTTGAGGATCAGCCGATGCCTCATAACATGCCGTCGAGGTTGGCAAGAATGAAAAACAACCCCATGGAAGAGGACTACGTTGCAGGTAAAATTATTTTTCATTGATCAAAGCAAACTTGAGAAATCAATTGTTATTCATATTCTATCCCTGTCATAAACATTCTTGTTTCTTGGAATTAATACAGATTATCATTATTATTCTTTAAGGTTTACCCCTTGGCAAATATTTTTATTCCCTAAGATTTAGAGATAACGTGAACTTGAAGCATTTCTTTTTCCAGGAGTCTCGCCTTTCGTCATGAGAGACATCAGTTCTAAATCCGCACAGCTCTGCATCAGACCTGGCCAAGAGTTCAAATACTGGATGAGAAAGAATCCCAATGAAGCTCGAAGAAAAAGAAAATGAAATTATATTGTTAGAAAATATATAAGTTTATTTCAAAGTTACTTCGGTTGGATTTTATTCTTTGAGATTGAAAAAACACTACTCAATGGTTTACAAAAATTTATTTGTATCTTTTTCTGGAACATTTCTGAGAGCAAATCACACCTCTGGCATTGTTAAAAATAATCAGGTTCGCATTGTCTCCATTGGTGAAATAGTGCTGCTCCTCGTTACCCCAAGCTACAGGGCAATCGTCAAAACCCTGAACGTAGACCGACGTCCAAGTTGTCGCCAACGGATTACAACCAAACCTAAAAACAAAATATTTATCGTAACACAATGACCTCTCGATGGGAAAAACAACTGTTCAACTCACATTACCCCTTCAATCAGCCTGCTGACGTCGCTGCTTGTGAAAAATCCCCTCCACTGTAAGCATTTGATCGTTTCGGTCCTCCCGCTCACAGATGGCGCCACGTAGCTTGACAGATAGTCATCTAGGTCAGGGCTTAGACTGCCACCTAGAGACACCATTCCCAACCACTCTGCAAACTCCGAGGCTTCATTCCTGTCAATGCTGGACAGATCAATCGATGGAATTTCACAGGTGACTGTCTTTTCGTTAAATGCCGGCCTGCATTCTTTCACCTTGTAACCAGAGTCCGCGAGGTACTTTGCTATCGACGAAGGACATACGTCTTCTGTTGGTGGTTGCCAGGATACGAGTACGGTGAAATTCTCAAAGCTTTGTAAACGGGATTTCAGCTTGGCGAGTTTTTTTTTGTTGTGGAGTAGTTTATCTTCTGCCAAGTCTATGGTAACGACTGGAAAGCGAGGAATTGGATTATCGACACTGTTTAATGCATTACAATCACAACAGCACTTACCTAAAGAGCAACACGTTCATTAGATGAGTGTTGCTTTTAGAAAGTGAGAGGAAAGAATGTTTGGGAGTGTTATGATTGTAATGCAGATAGAGTTGATGTGAAAAACGTATATGCAAATGCAACATATCCAGAAAGTCTGTTCCGTAATATCCGGAGGTTGATTTTTACAGCGTTCATTAAATTTGAACAGGTCAATTTGTATACCCGAGAATTCAGTAGAGTCACAGTTAATTCAATAGTTTGAGGCTATCATTACAGTATTTCATTCACATCTGAAGTTCACAAACTAACCCTATGATGAGAATTTTATCAATTTTCTGGCTATGAATTTTATAAAGACATGTTTTGCTACACAGTAGTTTCAGCAGTTTGGCTGATACATCAAACTATTCTACAATGTATTTTATACAACAGTAGGTAATTATAAAATTTAATTGATTAGTTTAATTCTGGTAAAACAGGTAATTTATAAATATATTGATTACTGAAATATTACGTTTGGGAAAACAGGTAATTTATAAATGTTAATTATTGGCATTCCATGCAAAAACTTAATTGGATCAATTATTAATTCTGGTAAAACAGGTAATTCATTAATATGTTGATTACTGACATGTTAAGTCAAAACTTGATTAGATAAATGATTAATTCTGGTGAAACAGGAAATTTATAAATATGTTGATTGTTGTAATTTTAAGCCAAAACTTAATTAGATAAATGATTAATTCTGGTAAAACAGAAAGATTTGGAAAACAAACAATATAATATTACGTTTGGGAAAACAGGTAATTCATAAATATGTTATTTATTGGCATTTCATGCAAAAACTTAATTGGATCAATTATTAATTCTGGTAAAACAGGTAATTCATTAATATGTTGATTACTGACATGTTAAGTCAAAACTTGATTAGATAAATGATTAATTCTGGCGAAACAGTTACATGTTAATATAATATAATATTACGTTTGGGAAAACAGGTAATTCATAAATATGTTATTTATTGGCATTTCATGCAAAACTTAATTAGATCAATTATTAATTCTGGTAAAACAGGTAATTAATGAATATGCTGATTACTGAAATTATAAGTCAAAACTTAATTAGATAATTGATTAATTCTGGCGAAACAGGTAATTTATAAATATGTTGATTATTGTAAATTTATGCCAAAACCTAATTAGATAAATGATTAATTCTGGTAAAATTGGAAGATTCGGAAACCAAACAATGAATTATTATGTTTGGAAAAACAGGTAATTCATAGATGTTAATTATTGGCATTTCATGCAAAAACTTAATTAGATCAATTATTAATTTTGGTAAAACAGGTAATTCATTAATATGTTGATTACTGAAATTATAAGTCAAAACTCAATTAGATAAATGATTAATTCTGGTGAAACAGGAAAATTCGGAAAACAAACAATAAAGTATCACGTTTGAGAAAACAGGTAATTTATAAATATGTTAATTATTGGAATTTCATGCAAAAACTCAATTAGATAAATGTAATTCATGAACATGTTGATTACTGTAAATTTATGCCAAAGCTTAATTAGATAAATGATTAATTTTGGTAAAAGAGGTGATTTATAAATGTGTCGATCATTGTAATTCCACACCAAAACTAGTTATCAAAGACACGTCTGAATAAGCTATAGTATAGCGAAAATCTCGCAATATACTGTTTCTTGATTCATCACATGCCTCATCAGTGTTCTTGTGTTTGTAAAATTCAAATTGACTTTCAGTCTGTACATTGACATAATGGCAGCTCCAATAATTGATTGATCGATTTTATGTGAGAATGAACTTTTTCATTTTCTTGGTTGCTTATTTATCAAACTGTAAATGAAGACTGATACGAGATTCAATAAAGGAAACTTACTGTTCCCGAAACTTGGACCTGAAGATGAAGTCAAGATGACTCGAAACTTTTGTGATGCAGCACCAGTTTTTTTTTTATAAATTGATTTCACAACAAAAATGTGGAATAAATCGTTGAGTTCCTATATTGATTTATCACACTTTATTGCCAATATCGGTCTAACAACCATTTCTTAAAAAAAAACAAACATGAAAAAATATGCAATTTACAGATATATGATAATAAAAAGTAGCAAAGGTAAATAAAATGAAAATTTGCAATCTAAAATAATGCTAAAAACAATCTCAAAGACTTTTTATAACAACTTTCAACCCAAGACCATTTATTTGAGTAAAGTTCATGAGCCACACGTCACACCTATATCAAAAATAACACTATTATCACATCAACCCTAACTCAACTAGTAAAAGACAAAGTAGGTCGTATATCCAAATCAAAATTATGCGAACGGATGTATTCCTTGAAAGTTTTCAATTCTTCCATCTGAATCCCTTGCCAACTTTCCAACTCGGATAGAACTCTCAGGTTCTTGCTGCTCGCCAGGAGCAGTTCCACGGTCCGCATATTCATGTCGCTGCTGTAGAGCACGCGGAACTCCTCTAGCTTCCTCAGGGGGTTCACGGAGAGCACATTCACGACAGAAGAATGCGTGATGCCCGTCGATGACCCTAAGTGGACGTAGCGGATGTTGACTGCGTGACTCAGCACGAATTCTAGGTGGCTTACGGCCCCGTCCACCACCCAGAAGATCCTCTCCAGGTTCAAAAACGGGCGCACTTTGAAGCTGTTAGATATCAGCGGGCTGCTTCGGAAATCGCAGTTGTAGAGCACCAGGTTCTTCAGCTTGGGGCAGCTTTGGCTTATATCAACCAATACCTTAAAGTCGATCTCCTCCACGTGCTCAAGATGAAGGCTAGTTATATTCCCGCCCCTCACTTCCAGTAGCTGCTTCAAGTAGTCCCCGTAAAAGGCGCAGGAGAGCAGTTTAAGATCTCGCAGGTTGTCTAGGGATATCAGAACCGTCAAGTCCGAGATCTGCTCGTCATGGAAGAGACTCACGTATTCGATTTTAGGAAACATGTCTACAAACAGTCTCAGGTTTTCTGTAGAAATATCGCGAGACTGGATCTTGCGCAGCCCGAAAGGGCCTGAGCTAGAGTACTTCTGGTGAAGGCACTTTATCACAGGCCCAAACTCGTCACACCGTCCGATGTCCTGCAGTTTGGGCAGGCCTATGATGAGCTGTGCCAGTCCGTCAGTCGTAACCGAAGTCCTGTGTAGTTGCAGTTCCCGCAGGTTCCGGCATTTGAGCAAATGGGGGATACTTCGGTCCGTAACCGATCTGGAGGACGTCAGATCCAAGCACTGCATGGAGGGACAGTAATCGCCGACGGTTTGTACGATGATATCAGTACAGTCGAAGCAGAGGCAGAGGGACTTGAGGTTCTTCATCCTAGATATGCTATTTAGTAGATATTTGTTGAATTCTGCTGTCTGCCAACCCCCTGAGCAGGAGCCTAGGTTGAGGATTTCTAGTCCGGTTAGGTTGTGCAAGTTCTTGTAGAGGACATAGCGCATGATTTTGGGCCACTGAGAGAAATCGATGCTCCTCAGCTGGGGATTAACGACGACTTCAGTAAGACTAACCACGATGTGCATCTCTGTCACGAAGGAGGACATCAAAGAGTTCGGAAAATATGTCTTTTTCGTTTTTTCTATCACCAGTTTCACAGCTTTGAGTACTTCCACAGCCATATCATTGTATAGATGATGAGGGACGTGCGACGTCAAGAGCTTGTTCAGCCAGTCGACGTTTTGTTGGAGACTAGAAATTATTTTCTGAAGGTCTTTATGTACACGTACGTTAGATATTATCTCAGGCGTGATGTAGACAACAAGGGAGCCTATGCTCCTCAGGGATAGAGTCTGCAGAGAAGGAACGTCTCGATATTTTGGCATAGTCTGAAAAAATTTATGGTGTTAATGTTGGGCACCATAATTTTTTCTGGGTAAATATTAGTTTTGTCTTCACATTATAATGGACCAAAACAATCTAGTCCAATTCAAGATATTTCAAAAACCAACGCGAGCCATTCAAACGAATATTTACCTCTTATGATTTGGTTATACGACTACTTGTGTTTGGGAATGTTTTTCAAAGGACAGACTTACTGTATCGGCTCTTCAGCTTCTGTACAAAATGAGAGACGGTGCCGTCTATTCCCAGAGATTCATAGGTTTCTTTAGTCAGGTTTAGGTGGAGTTGACCATTTGGGGTTAAGCCAATGCAATTATCACAGTCGATTCGTTTATCCAAACTCAAAAGAGTCAATTTTCCTATAAACGAGAGGATTAAGCTCATTTTAAGCTTTCAAAGTAATAACAAACATACCACTTCTTACAAAACTACTGATAAATCTAACGTCAACCAAGTCTGATAAGCTCAGATCGTAAATTTTGTAGTACACAGAGTTTTCTTCAAAATTTTCAAGTTTTCCAAAATTTCCCGAAGATTCCGGAAATATCAAAGTTACCTAAAAAAATTAAACATTGATTCAAGGATTATTTATGTTTCTCACTCACTCACCAGGTGACTGTAATGAAAGTTGTTGATATTATTATTGGTCAAGGGCACCTTTCCTTCGAATTTTTCTACTTGAAATTGCGATTCCGGTGCAGGAAAATTGAAAACTTCAGGGCTGAGCATTCTATAAATCCTTTTTTGTAGAACGCCTGACTCATTTACATCTCTCCCGACAAAAATTCAACTACTGCGTTACAAAACATTTTCCCAAGACGTAGTTCATTATGTTCAATCACTAATAAAAATACAACTTAACCTCAAAATGTAAACATCAAAATACAATGTAGCCAACAAAACATTTTTGAAGTGGCCAAAGCTGTCAAAGCAATCGTCCCTGATTCAAAACTATTTATACTTTCCATATTTTTTTCTATTGTTCCTATTAAGATTGTTTCTAACAAATGTTTGGTGAAATATTCATTCTGAATACCGAAAGACCTTTTTTTTCTGATTTTATTAATCAAACTATTTCAAACAGCAATTTAACTTAAGCATTTGTTGAGCAGACAAAAATAACTATGTATTGTCTGAAACTACTGTCTCTGTTAATAAGGTTATTGATCATTCATTAGTTTTCAATGTTAGATTAAGTATTTATACACTTAATTACAATGTATCATAATCACCAACAAGCTATACATTTCTATGGCTTCTGTGATTATCTTGTTTATTTTCGATAGCACTCTATGTAATGTATATCAGTGTATGCGATAAACATATATTATATTATTATTCAGTTGTTCAGTTAAAAAACGCATCTGAAAATTCAAAAGGTTTCGTGATTGTGTGCAAACACTATTCTTAAAAACACCAACCATAACCATAATACTTTGTAAAGGCCTTTGCGAATCACAGTTCAATCTTAGACTATAAGTACAGTTGATGTCATCTACCCCTACGGAAACGCCATCTATGGGATCGACAGAAGACTCAATCTCTGAAAATCAAGGATAAATCTGAACAAGAATAAACTTTTGTCTTCGAATTTTCACATTTATAATCATTATATACTTGTTTAAAATATTCATGTTGACAGCACTTGTGTGAACACCAATTAATTGTTCCTTTTAAACTCAAAAAGAGCTGTCAAAGTTTCCATTTTTGTTTTATTCATGAAGGAACATGATCTAACTCATATAATCATTAGAGAAACCTTGACCTAGTTGTGGCTGTGATGTAACAATGAAATGTAACACACAGAAAAAAAACTACAAAATCAAATCAGAGAATAAAAAACTCAACTTTATTGGATCAGTAACTAACATTAGCTCTTTAAAGGAGGTAATCCGAATAATTCCAAAGGAGCTTCTTCTAGCCTGTTTATTTTGATAGGAGCCTCAATGAGCATCTCGGCAGGTACGTTTTCATCAGGTATCATAACAACCTGCATACCAGCCTTCAAAGCGGCAGCAACTCCATTGGGGGCATCTTCGAATACTAGACACTTTTCAGCAAGTGGTTTATCTTTGAACCTAAAAAATAGTCCATTATATTCAAGTGTACTCGTGAATCCCCCATTTTGTATCAAGTGAATTATTGATATAAAGGAGTTGATGTGACATCAACATTCTACTGTTTTAGTCTCCCAAACATGTATGTGTTTTATTTCTCACCTTTCTGCACATACTAAGAATATGTCTGGACAGGGTTTTCCTTTTCTCACTTCAGGATCACTTCCTCCACAAACTATGTGGTTAAATAAAGCAAAAAAGGCTTTGTGCTTTGCCGTTTTTAGTTCAAAACTGGCTAGCGATGAAGACGTAGCCACTGCAATTGGTATTTTATGTTCATAAAGATGTTTTACTAATTGTTCAGCTCCTGGAAATTAGTTTGTTAGAGGAATACGTAAAATGAAGAATCCTTAGTAGGAACTATATAGTGACAATTAAAGTATGAAGTTTCTAGAACTTTTGAAACAAAATATGAAACAATTGCTTGAAAATGAAAAATTGTTGATTTTTGACACGTTGAACTGAAGTTATTTCAAAAACACGATTATATAAAACATCAGTTCATATTGCAATCATAAGTGCCTACTGCAATTTAACCATTCTTTCACAACTATATGATTAAACTAGTCTTTCACTGGTTTTACCTGGCATCATTGCTACATTGTGCATTTGCTGATGTGCTGTAGTTCTGAATTCAATTTGAAATTTATCAACAGATATTGGAAGTTTCATCATTTCCACTGCAATTCTTGAAGACTCTCTTTCAACAGTACCTATCACTTTACCCTGTATTTGGGGAGTGTACATTTTTCCAAATCTGCCGGCTATACTCTGTATTGCCTTTTTGTAAATGATTTCTGTATCTGTAAAGAATAAAAATGGTATAACTATTTACCTGGCATCAACTGCGTATCTGGCATTATGATATTGTATTCATCATGGGCCAGTTTATAATACTCTTCCGGTGTTATTGGCAGATCTAACATCTCAACGATTTTTTCAGCCACTTCTGTGCCTTTCAGTCCCATCATCTGAGCTTTAATCGACCAGTCATAAGTCTTGCCATACTTTCCCACAACATTTTGGGTTGCTTTCGAGTACAATTTCTCCGTATCTAAAAATCCATCTATTCACAGCTACTGTTTCAGAAGTTTTGAAATTTGAAAGATAAAGTTTAATGGAAAGTAACTACTGTAACGTTACCTGGCGCTTAGACACATTCTATGACCGATTCAACTAGCGTTGCCAAATTTACGTTAATAATAGTTTCATCAGCATTATTGCATCGAGTTGCATTGATACCGGCAACGTAGTCACTTCCAATTTTTTGACAGGCATCAATTTTTAAAAACGAACATTACAAATTTACATTAAAGTAATACAGACTGTGGTAATATACCTCAGTTTTCAAAATTATCGATGGGACAAACTTAAACGCGTAATAATTTACAGATAATTAACCTACAAAATGAAGGTGAAATGTAGGTCATGAAGATTATTTAAATCTACTTATACAATCGGCTGTTTCGTCATGACTAATTTATAATAATATAGTTACCCAGCAAGACTCCATCCATATCGAAAATGACATGGCTAACTTTTTTAATTTGCTTCAAGGCACTCATAACCAATAACAAAATTTTTCAAACGATTAATCTATGATAAACAGTAATCTTCACACGACTATTATTAGCCAGCGTGTACCTAATCTCTCTTTTGTCGTGGTTTCCCAAATCTTCTAAGTAAAAATGGCAACAATGCTAAGCCAAAGTATCCATTAACAATTTTGTATAGTCAATATTTCACAACCAAACACCTTGTCATTCATTGGTACTAGTTAGGTGCTGTCAGAATATTGAAAAATATATGAAGTCAAATCATAAAAAGAAAAACTAATTCAAATTTTAAAAAGATAGAGAGTGGAGGTTTTATCAGTCCATATTCACATATGAAGTGAACATGTATCGATTGGCGATCTACTTTAATAGTGTTTAGAGACAGACATCATCTTGGACTGTCGAACTTATGACAGTTCTGTTGTCATCACAGAACTCATATTTCTTATCTCATCTTTTCCAATTAACAAAAGTATAACTACAATATTTTATAAATATTACAAAATTGACACCTTTTATTATGGGGGCCTTATTTTAAAATCAAGTGAACTCTCCCATTGAGAGAAAGTCGGATCGTCTCTCTGATTTGTAGGTGAAACTGAAAGAGATATCCAATTTCTCCTACGTTGTGATATTTCACAGTAACATCTGTGAAGATATTACTGTAGGGGATGAAACTTTCGTTGCTTAAAAATCATGACTTTTTTTATAATTTGAAATTTCGAGATGATTGATTATCGAGAAGCAACACTGTTTCGAAAATATTTATGTCTTGTCATTGTCATGTGTCACATGTCATCGTTACTGTGACGGTGGTGTTATGGAAGTTATCACAAATATTTTGAAAAAATAAAAAAATGGAAGAATTTTCATGTGACATTTGTGGAGGACCACCCTTTTCTAAAAAGTCCAATCTGATGGCTCATTTGAAGAGATTTCATTCAGGTAAGATCAAAATTATTGAATATTTGGAATAGATATTTCAAATATTCACCTCTACCAATCTTCTTACACGGTAGGAACAGGCATATGCAGATCGAATAACAACTACTACCGTGGCTAATATCATCACGGATATTGGATTATATCTGCCAGACGTTTGTGTACAAGTTTCTTCACTGGGGGAATGTTTGCAAATTCCTCTCGTTCAGTACTGAATAATTCATCTAAGCTATAGAAAAATAGATTGTAGAGTTACAATAAAGTGTTGATCTACTAGAATTTTCAAACCTTTGATTCGTGGTGAAAAGCTGTTGTAGGTTTCCAACCTACAGTTGTTGCGTGAAATAATCTTTACTTCATTTTTTAGATAGGTTGGAGGAATTGAGTCCACCAAAAAAGCCTTACAGGGTAGGAGCTATATGCAACATATGCGAAAGATCTTATACAAAATACTCTAGTTTGAAAGCCCATGTAGAAACATTTCATCCAGGTAAGTTCTTCCATTTATATATATATACAATGTATGGAATGTGAAAGAGAGGCTCATAGTCATATCACCTAGTATTTTTCTTTAAAGAATTCCTGAAGAATATTTCATATCGAATCTTGGGTTTTGAGAGTAGTATCAAAGTATCACTTAGTGAAATTTTCTCTCGACAGTTTTCAAATACGGAACACGTGAGTTTGATACTATCATTAACTTAGAGTACGATGTATTTTAGAACAAGTGTTGATTGCTTTTCTGAATTATGCGGGGCTTTCTATACATTTAACGTACTTTTTCAGGTGAACTACGTTAAAGTAGTATAAAAGTATGAAGAATCACTCTTCAGGTGTTTGTTTATAATGTATAATGTATGTTTATCTAAGTATGTTGTTATATCGAATTGAAAAATTGAATTGGGTGTTGAGTCCTAAGAATTTAGAAGACAATTTCATCTCGAGAATGTTGTTATTCAAACTAAGCTGCGGGAGTTCACATTTGATGGTGAGGATATGGATTTTATTGACAAAACTAACAAAGCAGAAATTTTAAATGATAATTTCTTAAAAAAAAGCTTTGATGTAGCTAGGTACGCAATATTAAATTTAATTAACACATCACTTAGAATCGGTGTGTTTCCAGATCAATTTAAGATTTCCACTGTTGTTCCTGTACCGAAAATTAACTCAATTAAAGCTGAACCATTAAATATACTACCAACTCTTGAAAAAGTGTTAGAAATGTCTGTATATAACCAATTAATTCAGTACTTTAATACCAATAAATTGTTTATAGGCAACCAATCAGGTTTTAGAGCTAGACACTCCTGTGAAACGTCTCTACAATTTTTAATAACTGAATGGAAAAATACAATTGATAGAAATCAGTACATTGTTGCGACATTTCTCGACCTTAAAAGGGCATTTGAAACAATTGACCGAAATATTCTACTTGAAAAATTAAAATATTATGGGATATCAGGGATTGTTTTCGATTGGATTCAAAGTTACTTATTCAACTGAAGACAAAAAACTAAATTTGGAAAAGAATTGTCAGATGAACTTATAATTGAGAGTGGCATACCCCAGGGTAGTGTGTTAGGTCCACTGCTTTTTATTATTTACCTAAATGATATTAATCACATATCTGGATCACACTGTATAAATCTTTTTGCAGATGATACATTGGTTTATTGTACACATGAAAATTTGGATCAGGCAATTGTTGAAATGAATAGGTCTTTATATAGCATTGAAACATATTTATTTATCAATAAACTGAAACTAAATGTCAGTAAAACAAAAAGTATGATTTCGACATCATCCTATAAGTATGATCAAATTGTTTGGGCTAATGTTAGCATTGAAATTGTGACTGAAATAAAATATTTGGGTTTTATAATTGATATAAATTTAAAACTAAATAGTCATGCTGATTTTATTTGTAAAAAAATATCTCAAAAACTTTTTTTTCTCTCTCGTATAAGTTAAAAAAGTGTCTATGTATGCTAGGTTGACTCTTTTTAAAAGCCTAATACAACCTCATTTTGATTATTGTACAACATTACTTTTTCTACTTGGTAAAAATAAAATAGCGCAATTGCAAAAGCTTTGAAATCGGGGCATGTGATTAATATTGGGATGTAGCCATTACTTGCCTACTTAATAAATAAATACAAATACAATACCCTGTATGCATATTTATCAAACGCACAGATTCAAGTATAAATAATGCAGTTACCGTTAGAATATTATTTTTTTTGGGGGGGAAAGAATATTATGTTTTTTGAAGAAGGTTCTACAGGAGTCTCTTGGTTTAAGGTTCCCCATATACATTATTGCCCTTTTCTGTAAAATTAGTAGACTAGCAGCAAATTCCATCAAATACTACTGTTGCAATTGTTTCAGATAAAATTGACGATTTGCCAAAAAAATTACGTTATCCTTACAAGTGTTCTCAATGTCCAAAGCAATTTTCGAAATTGAAAAGTTTTGAAGCTCACAAAAGAGTGCACGAGAGGCAGAGGACCATTCCGCGTTATAAACAAAAACAACTGAAGTGCCCTTTATGCGAATACGAAGACAAATCCAAAACAGGATTGCATCGACATTTCGGAGAGTCCCACGAAATATCAATCAAGCCCGAGAGTATAAAATTCAATGGCACGGCTGATTTCTTCCTCTGGAAAAAAGAAGAAGAAGAAAAAACAAGGTCGTTATTCATAAAGAATCGCGGCTCGCAGATCCATTCGAACCGTAAAAAGTACGTGTACGCGTGCCACAGGTCTGGAAAATATGTTCCCAAAGGAAAAGGTCAGAGGCGGTTGAAGTCCCAAGGCTCGAACAAAATAAACGCCTTCTGCCCGGCCAGTATCGTCCTCACTCAAGAGGCGGATGATACAGTGCGCGTGGAATATATCTCGACGCATGTCGGGCACGGGAGCGATTTGGCTCATTTGTTACTAGACGAGGAAGCGAAGCAAGAGCTTGCCAAGAAAATTGCTGCGAAGGTTCCGTTGTCTAATATTCTAGAAGAGATTCAAGACTCTGTTACTAACACAAACTTCAAAAGAATACATCTCTTGACTAGGAAAGACTTGTACAATATCGAAAACGCGTACAATCTGAACTCCACTTCCATCAGGCAAAAGTCTGATGAGTCCGTAAACGAGCACGACTGGATAGAAGAGCTGCAGAAGAGTAATTGCGTACTTTTCCACAAACCTCAGGGTTATGTATCGGAAGAGTATCAGTTTTTGAAAGGAGACGACTTTGTTTTGATTCTAATGACGGAGGGCCAGAAGGATATCCTTGGAAAATTCGGGAATGACTGCGTCTGCGTAGACAGAACACACGAATCGAACAGTTACGGATTCGAACTGGTAACTTTGATGGTAGTTGACGAAATGAGGGAGGGATTCCCCTGTTCTTTCATGATTTCCAGCAGAATAGACGAAGAGGTTATGTCTTTGTTTTACGCTTGTATTGAAACGAACATGGAAGCGAAAGTTTCACCGAAATTCTTCATGTCAGATATACAGGAACTGTTTTATGATGCATGGGTGAGAATCATGGCTCCCCCAGAATACAGGTGAGTTTCGATGGTAACACTGTCACGTTCAAACTATGGGAAGTATAAAAAATATATTTTTTTATTCATTTTTTTTCACTTAACATCTCAATATTCTTCTCGAAAATGTATCATACTACGGTTTAGAGGAACTGGAATATCATTAATTAGAGCGTAAATGACGCTGCCCCACCAACGAGTCTCATTTGGTGATAATACCCCTGAATGAAGCTCACGGGGTATCCCAAGGTTCTGTTCTCGGGACGCTACTTTTCATAATTTAATAATAATAATAATGAATATGCTTTATTGTCCAAAGAAAAGTTCTTATTGACAAAGCTTTGGTGAACATTTTGAGAAAGAAAAAACAACAATTTAATCGAAATTAAACGACCTCATGCATTCATTTTTATGATATTTAGTATGTTATAAAAATATCCCTAGACTTTTCCGATGTGTGTATATACACACATACACATATATACACATGTATATACACATATATACACACATACATTTACAAACACAAAAATAATTTAAAAAATAAAAATGTATAGAGAGAAATGTGTATAAAATATGATAAGACAATCCTTTGTATATTTTCGAAATTCACTACAGATTATTATGCATTTTAGGTAGATTGGAAGATGACTATACATCTTGAGACCATTATACAATATAAAATTTTTAATTAAAGTAGTGTTAGGTATGGGAAGACTTAAATTTGGGGTCTGGCGTGTGGTATAACGAGAGACAATAGAGGGAAGTTCAGTTCTATGTTTATGCACTAAACAAACTGTTTCTAAAATGAATAGAGCATACAGTGATAAAATTTTGTTTGCTACAAAGGCCAACAAGAATCTCGCTGCCTGGCTCTACAGAGAAATCCTAATGACCTTTTCTGCAGAATAAAAATCGACTCCAGTCGAGTTTGATTACTTACCCCCCCAGAAAGGTATCCCATATCTTAAATGTGATTCTACTAATGAATAATAGACAGTTTTAGCTGCAGTTAGTCCTAGTTCGTTAGAAGTTATTTTCACAGCATAACATCCAGATGAAAGTTTTTTGTTAAGAGATATTATGTGGTCCTCAAATTTCAATTAATAACCCAAGAAATTTGCTGCATGACGTGTTCTCAATCACATTCGAATTCGAGGCTAGAGGAATATTATCAACAATGCCATTAAAGGATAAAACTTTAGTTTTTGAGACATTGAAAGCTAGTAAATTTGCCTCACACCAATCTGAAAGTTTGGAAATATCAGAGCTGATGGCATTATATAGATCATTTGTGCTGGTATTGCGCCTTAATATTGTAGTGTCATCGGCGAATGAAGTAAATTTACCCTCAATATCAATGGTAGTCAAGTCATTGATATAGAGTAGAAATAGGGTAGGTCCCAGTACTGATCCTTGTGGTACTCCGTTAGATATGTTAGAAAAATCAGATACTGTTGTATATTTAATCCTTTTACTTCTACCTGATAGATAAGAAGCAAACCATTTATGAGTAATACCTTCAATACCATAGAGATAGAGTTTCCTGAGCAGAATTTCGTGATTAACACAGTCAAATGCTTTAGAGAAGTCGCAAAAGACTGCCGCTGTAATATTCCGTCTATTAATGTTACTATACACTTCATATAAGCATGAAAATATGGCATCGTGAGTATTTTTGTTTGACTGAAATCCAAATTGTTTGAAGCTTATAGCTTATTGTATTTATGCGACACCACAATAAATGTGTCTCATTTACTGATGAATCGCCTTTGATTGGTTCTGGGAAGCAATATTATGAAATCATCTGACAATGAAGTGAATTATAAAACATTTGTAGATCATGAAAAATTGTTCAATAATTTTTTGACAAGTTTTTTTTCAATACTCACGATTTAAAAAAAAACGTCAAGTGATATAATGAGTACATTTCCGACTGTTTTCAACCCGACTTAAATGTTGCTAAGGCCTGACCTAATATCCTTCACTTATTTGTTTCTTCTAATTTGAAATTCCAACATTTTGCAGGCTTTACTGCTCTTGGCATGTGGCCCGAGCATGGCGAGAAAATCTGGCAAAGATCACCTCTGAAGAAACGCAAGTATGTTATGACCATAATACATAATAATAATAATATTTTCCCCCAAGAAACTTAGTGTTTATAGCAGGAAAAAAACAATAATTCAAAAACTAACAACAAATAACTTCTAATTAATATATGCGAGCGCTTTCGAAAGCAGGCCGTGCTTTCATATTCATGGCTCTACTCAAACTTAACGTTTTATCTCCTTGTTTGTTCTTTCATACGGTTAGAACGCCTTAGCGCAGGCGTGTGTTTGAATATGACTATCAAAATGAACATAAATGCACTCATGAGATAATATTTCTATACAAACAATATGGTTGTGTTGGTCACCATTGATTTTGAAAGTCAAATTTACAAATCTAATCGTTTTCTTTCCGTTTATACAAGTCGACTGTAGACTCCTTGTAGTTCAACTTGAATATACAACTTATATATACACACCTCATGCGTTAAAACGTAACTGACCACTTCGACACTTAACGATGAATTCCGCCAGCCGATTGCAGTTGAATCTGATTGGCCAGCGTAACGAGACTTGTTTATTTCACCCACCAGATGCAAATGTGCTTGGTGATCATGCATCTATCTTTGTTTGGGTTGCTTTATTTGTTGAATGGATGTAGTTTGGTGAAATAACTACTGTACAAGCTTATGTTTACAACGGTTTATGTTGGTGTAAAGTATTATTATAAATAAATTAGTAGAATAATAGTCGCATGTTATGTATTATGTTATCTTTATGAATTTACTGATGATTGAATAATTTTCAGGCGATAGTATACCAGCATCTCCGTTCTTTACTCGAAGAAGTAGATATAAAGGTATTTCCTGTTATGTTGGAGACATTTTTGAACAGCACGTTCGAGGATGACGAGACGCTGGAATTTGGGAACTATTTTTTAGCGAACTACGTCGATAAAGTCGCAGCTTGGGCTAATTGTTATCGAATCAACAGCGACTTTGATGCAAATATGAACGTGGAACGCATGCATCACACTCTGAAGCATATATATTTCAAGAGCAGTACCAAAAATAATAAACTTGAGAAAAGCGTTACTGACATGCTGAAGTTCGTGAGGAAGAAACTTCTCGAACAAATGACGACAATCAATATAAGTAAACTGTCTAGCAAGTTGAAGGATTTGCGTTTGAGACACGATAAAAGCCAGAGGCTGGACCTGAACTCGGTGATGAAAGTAAAGGATGGTTGGCAAGTTTCGTCATCCTTAAATCAAAAGACGTACTTTGTCGAGCAGAGAAAACTCGAATGTACTTGTAAAATCGTCTGCCCGGAATGTGACGACGCATGTTTACACCAATATTCGTGTACGTGCATCGATTCGAGCATGGCGTATAATATGTGCAAGCACATACACTTGGTATGCAGATATGAAAAGGGATTGTTGAGCAAAAAAGACAACGATGGGCGCGAAATCGTAGAAGAAATACAGTTGTTGAGTGGGAAAGAGGAAGTGACAGAATTGGGAGATGAAATGGAATCAGGTAAAGGTGTGTTTTAATTGTACACAAGAATAGATTACATAAAATGGTTCGTTGAGAATGTACCGGAAGGTTAAGAACGAGTTTTTATGTCAGGGGAACACGTTTTGACTTGAAAAACAACAATAATTATTATTATTACCTTCATTAACCATTTTTGGTACTTACTGTACATATGGTGAATCGAAAATTGCACTACATAATAAATATATAATGAATGAAAACAATAGTTTGTCCTAATTGAATAAAAATGTAAATAATTGAAATATAACATAAATATAAAAACATAAATCACCGCAAATAATACTAGGTCTGTTCAAAAAATGAGGTGAATATTGAAAGCATAGCTTGGGCCACCGTATTCACCAGATTTGCCCCCCTGCGACTATTTCCTGTTCCCAAGATTGAAGAGACCCATGAAAGGACGGCGTTTCGCAACGATTGAGGAGATAAAAACTGAATAGCTAACAGAGCTCAGCGACATCAAAAAGTGCATATCAGAATTGTTTTCAGGATTGGAAAAAAGCTTGCACAATCGTATTGAATCTATTCAATTCCCATCAAATCGATGAATGAATGAAACATTTTTGAGAAAAAATTACACCTTATTTTTCAAAAAGACAGCATATTTTATTGTTAATTTATCAAATTAATTTATATAGCACAAGTATTGGTAAAAAACAACAAAACCTGATATTGCAAATGAATGTACTTGCGATTTCGAATGTGACTTTCAACTTCCATTTTCAGTAACAATTTCACATGTTTTTAGCATCAACATTCACCACCACAGGATGGGGAGTAGAAGCCAAGTTGAATACATATTCTTTATTTCAGGTGAAAACATCATTGAAGAAGTTGCCCTCAAAAATGAAATCCAAGATTTGGTCAGTTTTGTAGATGTCGAGGAGAGTCAGAGTAATGATAATGATGAAGGTTTTGATCTGGAGGAAGAAAAATTACATTTATCCAATTGGATATGCGCCGAAATTGATAAAATAACTTCTGTGTCACAATTGAACGAAGTGAGACGCCTCCTTGCACCGGTTGAACATTTACTAGATCGGTCGTCATAGTCGACTCCCAAGATACCAACTTTACTGGAAAAGCGTGGATCAAGAAGATAGTGTTGCAGCTCTGCTGGGAGGATCGTTCCTGCTGTGGAATTCCATGTGATGCACACCCAATTCAACCAGTGGTGCTAGAAAATGTGATGACATCTACCTCAAATCACAAAATTCTAAGAGAATAAACAATTCTAAACTTGGGACACGTTTTGAATTTCGCACCAGTGCGCTCCAAGAAACTGCCGAAACCGACGTGTCAAAACTGTCAATGAGGTCGTCAGCCCAAAGTAGACATTTGTCTCCAGACGCTGGCTGGTGTCGGGTCTAGAGGCAGCATCTATTAAGTCAACTCAGCACTTCTCGTACGTCATTGGCACCGTTCGAATGACACTTGGGGATATATATTGTAACGTATCGAATATATTATAGCTTTGTTACAGTTTTATGACATTTCAATCTATACGCACAAAGTATTTAATGAAAAAATTGAACTGAAACCATTCTGAAAATGAATATTATTGCCATTATTTTAAATCAAATGTGAATAGTTACTTTATCGCAAGCTTTGTGACCTAAGGAAATTATTAGCTATTATGCATTTACAGAATTGGCTGATTTATGAAATTAACCGAAAAACTTCTCCCAATGGCAAAGAAAGCGTCTTGAGACAAACATCTATATTAGGCAGGCTAGCTTCTGATAGTCATTCCGATGTCCAAGTTATTCATCGATCAATTTATTATGTTTAATCAGTGTCTCTTTATTCCTGTTTCATTATTTGAATGAATATGACCATACCATGGTCATGTAAATGAAGTAAACTATCACTTTTTATCTCGTTTAGTAGAACTACTATTTTATATACTGTCCTTTAATTATTCAGTTGTATTAGTTACCTAGCTAATATCACTACAGATATTGTTGAAGAACACTGTAAATGAAGAAAAAGTGACGCATGACCATTGAGTGTAAATTTGATATGTTTCCACTTTCAATATCATTTAATGAATCAATTAATTTTTCAAAAGTAGCTTTTGCTATTGTTGTCTTCAAATGCAACATAATAGCATAAATACGAAAGAAAAGTGCAACAATGGTCTATCAAAATGATGAAGGACTAGTACACATATCTATTATTGTGAGTTACTCTGAAAGGAATTCCCTAGGAAAACTTCAGTGACTTTAGTTCACCTTCAGTAAATTATAATAGCTATATCTATTCTTTAATACTATATTTAACTCATTCGTAATTTATCCAGATTGATGCTTAAGAGGCAATATTCAATAAGGCAAGTGTCTTATTTCGTAACATCGGGAGGATGACAGTGTTCCATGTAAGTGAAGTTTTACCTCATTCTTATACTATATGTGTAGCAATCCTGTGAAAAATATCTGATTCAATTCCGTAACGTATGTTTGGAGTACATACTGAATAGGAAAAAGTTTTTTTTTGTATAAAACACCTTAGCAAGAAGTTACTACAAGTAATAAAACATATACACAGGGGACACTGGATATAACTAAATAACACAAGCTGCAGTGTTTTCCACCAAAAACTTACCGCAAGTATTGCGATTGCTAGTTTTATCTATGGAAAAACCTATCAGGCAACACTATACGCTACCTGGACATTTCGTAGTACGCGAACCTGTAATACCCAGTGTACTCCAGAGCAACACTGGTGTGGCCTTCGAAAAGCTTTTCCATGATCACAGATTACGGAAAGAAGTTCGTTTCATGTGTTGTGTTCACAACACCGACAACCATAAATAAAAGTAATATGTTGACTACAAACAACAATACAAGAGCTAAACATACTAAGGTACACCTTTTGAAGTACTTCGCTGAATATAACCTAGACTAATTTGAATTTATTGTTTTCATGATATCACAATATTTATTCAGAACTGGAGTTTCAAGTATGCAAAGTAAAGAGTGTGATTTATGCGAAACAACTTATACAACACATTCCAGTTTGAAACTGCATGTCCAAACATTTCATCCAGGTACGTTAGGTACTTGATATCTGTGTTATGATATCTGGGAACACATCTGGCCAGTACATCATATAATTTTTTTGTACTTTTTAGACAAAGTGGAAGAATTGTTACCTAAAAAGATTTATAAAACAGGAGCTGTATGTAATGAATGTGATAAATCTTTTACCAAATACTGCAGCTTAGAAAGGCACATAAAAAGATTTCATCCAGGTAATTCAATAATTTCCTCTAAAAATCTTCCTGTGTTCCGTCTGATGAAGTAGACAAAAATCTATGTTTTTTGATTTTTACGCTAAATCGTTTTCATTTCACTTTTTAGATAAATTGGTTGAAATGGCACCGAAAAAGACGTTTGATAAAAGAGAGGTTTGCAATACATGCAAAAAAACTTTTACAAAATATTCTAGTTTGGAGAGGCATGTGAAAACGTTTCATCCAGGTAATTTATCACATCAGTTATTTATTTATTTCATGTTCGACTTATTTCAGATGAAATTGACAATTTACCCCCCAAAAAGTTTTGTAGTTACAAATGTACCGTATGTTCGAAGGTGTTTTCGAAAATTAATAATTTCAATTCTCACAAAAGGGTGCACGAGAGGCAGATTGTCCTCAATCGTAGACGCAACCGAGTGAAGTGTCCTTTATGTAAATACGAAGATACATTCAAATCTAAGCTGATAAAGCATTTCCTAGAAAAACATGAAATAACCGTCAAACCTGAAACTAGACAGTTCGATACATTTGATGAGTTTCTACTTTGGAAAACGGAGGAAGAAAAAACAGCAAAGTCATTATTCATAAAGAACCGCGCTAGCCAGAATTCCACAAATTCCACTAAAATAGTATACGAATGCCACAGGTCTGGAAACTATACCGCCAAAGGAAAAGGAAAGAGACGTTTGAAGTCCCAAGGTTCAAACAAAATAAATGCGTTTTGTCCAGCCAGTATCGCCGTTACTCAAGAGGCGAATGACACAGTCCGCGTGGAATATATCTCAACGCATGTCGGACACGACACGGACTTGGCCCATTTACTTCTGGACAATGAAGTGAAGCAAGAACTGGCCAGCAAGCTAGCTGCGAAGATTCCGTTATCGGTAATTCTTGACGAGATTCGAGATTCCGTGTCCAATACAAACTTTGAGAGAATTCATCTGCTGACTAGGAAAGATTTGTATAATATCGAACATACGTACAATCTAAACGACACTTCCCTCAGGCAAAAGAATGATGAGTCCGTAAGCGAGCAAGAATGGATAGAAAAACTGCAGAATAGTAACTGTATACTTTTCTACAAACCTCAAGATTGTGTATCGGAAGAGTATTCATTTTTAAAAGGAGACGACTTTGTTTTGATTCTCATGACGGAAGGTCAGAGGGATATTCTCAGCAAATTCGGGAATGACTGCATCTGTGTAGATGGAACGCATGAAATGAACAGCTACGGATTCGAACTGATAACTTTGATGGTAGTTGACGAAATGAGGGAGGGATTCCCCTGTTCGTTCATGATTTCCAATCGAACAGACGAAGAGGTTATGGTTTTGTTCTTCTCTTGTATCGAAGCGAGTATAGAGTCGAAAATTTCAACGAAAGTTTTCATGTCAGACATACCAGAATCGTTCTATAAAGCATGGGTGAATGTTATGGAACCCCCTGAATACAGGTAAGTTCATCCTCAAAATACCTTACCTCGAAACACAGAAAGAACTAGTATCTTACAATATCATACTGGATAATTCGAAAACTTGCAGTCATGTTCAAGTATAGATGTTTGTATGCATTTTTTCCATTTAATATCCCAAAAATTTGCAGGCTTTATTGCTCTTGGCACGTAGACCGAACATGGCGAAAAAATCTTGCAAAGATTGCTTCCAAGGAAACGCAGGTATGATAAATATCCCTGTAGATTAAAACACTCACTTAGTTGGCAGAAGTCCAATATACAAAATGCAGAATATGAAAAAAATTATAAATTGAGAGGTGTTTATGATTGGGACAGATCTTTTTGGAAAACAAGTGTTTTGGCTTCCTACTTTGGAATATTTGCACAATTTTTTTGTATGAAGATGGAGAAGTAGACAGCCAAAACCTCTCTTATCCAAAAAATTATGCCCTTATTTGTAATGTTTAGTCGAAATTAGAGTCAGCTTTATCGGATGTGGATTTTGTAAGTTGGTTATCTTGTGTATTTATCGTTAATATTGCTTCTTCTTCTTATTTTCCGATTAATGGCTTCAGCTACCAGGGCTATCCAGCCAGGAGTTCCAGGATTATGTTGCTACTACAGGTGGAGCCCACACTGAAGTGGATGTGCGTTGGTTAAATTGCTTTTGTTTATTCTCTGATAGTTGTTTACATTGTATTCATTTTCCAGTTATTGTTTTGTTGACGTAATGTAATGAAAAATTCACATGACAACTGACACTAATTAATGACAGAAATACAGGGTAGCCAACACAAAATAAATAGATGTGCTCCAAATCCAACCATTCGATATGGCATCACCATTGAACTCCAAGCAAATGAACTGATTGTTATAGAAATTGTTTCGTCAATCATCGGTCATGTTTTCAAAACCTATTTTTATTTTATCAAAAATTGGATTAGGCAAATAGTAAAAGTATTATTCAAATTTGTGTCATATCAGCAAAAAATACATAATCAGATCTCTACAAAATTGAACCCTTCGTGTTGGGAACTATTTTGTTATGCAATCAATGTTTCAGTTGTTTTGGCTTGCTGAAAATGGTAAAAAATGGAAGGAATGTCCGAGACAGTATCAATTTCTTTTTTTATTTGTCGCAAGCACAGTCAGAACAAACAAGAATACAGGAAGAAGAAGAAAAGTACACAATGTAAATGAGTTTTACGGCGTTGCAATATCAAATGTTAATGACTTCACGACCATTGTTTTCACTCTAATATGATTAAAACTACTGTATTGTTCACCTATTGCTCACGAATTGTTCATGAAAACGAATGCTTGTTTGTCGAATTGTTTTTGCCTATTTATTAGTAATTAAATTATTTATTAGGTAGCGGTCTACCAGCAGTTACACGCATTACTTCAAGAAGAAGATATAGAAGCGTTTCCCAATATGTTAGAGACGTTTTTGAACAATATGTTCGAAAACAAGGAGACGCTGGAGTTTGGAAACTATTTTTTAACGTACTACGTCAATCAAGTCGAAGCTTGGGCTTACTGTTATCGTCTAAACAGCAACTTTGACGCAAACATGGACGTAGAACGCATGCATCACACTATGAAGCACATCTTCCTGAAAAGCAACAGTAGCAAGAAACTAGACAAAACAATTTTCGCTATACTGAAGTTTGTACGGGAAAAACTCCTTGAACAATTGACAACGATACGTAAAGGTAAACTGAGCAGCAAATTGAAAGACTTGAGGTTGAGGCACGATAAAAGCCAAAAACTTGATCAGAACTCGGTGGCGAAAATGGAAAATGGTTGGGAAGTATCCTCGTCCACGAAGCAAGAAATGTATTTCGTCGAGCAGAAGAAGCTCGAATGTGATTGTAAAATTATTTGCCCGGAATGTAATGTATGTCTGCACCAGTATTCGTGTACGTGCATCGATTCCAGCGTCAGATGTAACATGTGCAAGCACATACATTTAGTATGCAGGTACGAAAAACAATTATCAGGTGAAAAAGAAGATGAAACGACAGAAATCATAGAAGAACTGGAACTGAAAGAAGGTTTGTTTCTTTTTCTATTCGTACACAGATATGTTTTACAGTATGTCTAGCTTTCTCCACAGTGTTTCGATGCAAGGTAGAAAATTAACATTTTATTCGAGACAATGCTACCAACCTTTAGTTTTTTCATGCATTTTTTCATTCCATTTTTTCGTTAGTCGTCTCCTTCTCGGGAGTCTTTCGGATTTTCAGCTTCACATTCGCGGTCCTCTTTACGTGGCTATCCAAGCCACTCCGGCCTGGCTACCGGCGTGAATATATGGGGTCCTCACTTCACATTTTGACTGAAACGGTCACATCCATGTAAATTGTTGAACTGTTATTCTGTATACGATTTGAATTTGAATATTGAATGAGTACTTATTATTTCAGGTGAAAATATAGTTATAATTGAAGAAGCTACAATGGAAGATGAAATCGAAGATTTGGTTACTTTTGAAGATGACAAGGAAAATCAGAGAAGTACAAGCGATGACGTTGACTTGGAAGAAGAAAAACTACATTTGTCGAATTGGATATGCGCCGAAATTGACAGGATAACTTCAGTGTCACAGTTGAATGAAGTGAAATGCTTACTCGATCCGATCGAACATATACTAGATCAGCCATAGTCATGTCTTGAATGGAAAGCATGGATCGAGAAAATGATTTGGCAGTTCTGATCGTGGGAAGAACCAAATTGGCATTGGATTGATTCTACTGCCTAGATTTCTGTACTATATTTTGTTGCATCAGTGCTTGAATGTTGAGATAATGATATTGAAAAAAACAGACATTCTAAACTTGAACTTATTTTTAATTTGTTGCCTTTCCCCTGTAAAAGTGCCTATATTCAGAGACAGTGCTTTTGACAAATGTCAATGGCCATCTACAGGAACAATTTGTTCAGTCAGAAACCAACTACTCCTCTGGCCAATACCGCGAAGGGCGTTGGATAACTATATCTAACGCCCTTCGTGGTGTAGTTGTTTTCTGACTGGTGTCAGTCCAGTCCTAACGTAAAGCGTAGGCCCGAACAAATTGTTCTTGTAGATAATTTACTTTACTAGTTATTCGATGAATACATTGTATTTCATATTCTGAATACCAAGTCCAATGACCGGCAATGTATATATTCCAGTAGGTGGAACATTAGACATCTGTTCCTAATTTGAGGATATATTTGAACTAAATTAAACCTACTGGTATGAAAAACCCGCAGTTTATAGGTTGTGAAACAACTGTGTAGTAGAAACTTTACAATAAAAAAACCTTTTGAACAATAGTGATACGTCGTCAGCTACCGCATTTGGAATTTAATTGATAATAATATTTATTCATCCTCAAAAACCTTGGAAAGGTTTAGGACGTGACAGCAAAGATAAATATGCAATTAGTAATAACAATTATCATCCAATGCAGCCGTATGAAATTTTCGAAATTGATTTTTTTGTTTGGTATACATCATCTAACCACATTCAATACATTTTTGGCTTTATATACTAGAAATTAAACGGATGTACAGTAACTCTCCGACCGAATCCTGATAACTAGAGCCTATCCGTCCGAATACCGGATTATAAAAATATTTTTATGTAATTAATTGCTTTATTCCGTTAGTATCACTTGGGAAATACAATAAGTCAATGAATGAAACAACTGTTAACTTCGCTTGTCAACGAAAATATCCTAATTGGACCACCGTATGGTTCGCGCGACTACTACGCTTTCTGCGATGCACCAAATCGCAACATTCCACCGAATATTCGGCAAAGTTGGCCGAAAATATCCCTGAATACGGCCCTGCCGATGTGACTTGGATTCCACGGGATTATGCAGAAATAACTCGCACACCGGCAACACTGTAGCGTTAGACAAGCGCTTGCGCGTAGTCGGAGCGCAGCATGCCGCCTGAGAGTCGTATCTCTCCAAAAAATAAAACAGTTCGCACGCTAGGAATGCGCATGTTTCACATTCGAACAGTGCTCCGTTCTTCGTCAGGTCGTCTCCTCAACCCGGAATGTGATCGGACCTGAAATCGGTTTCAGTGCCTTAGATATGAATCCGAAGTAAATAGAAACGCACGATTTAATACATATCTAGCTAGAAAATTAAGTAATGGCTGTGATCGGGAGGACTGTTTCCGGGAATATGTGTCGGGTGCAGGGTATAGTTTTGGTAATCACGGTGGCTCTTTGTGGGTCCGGCTGCTCCGGAGCTTCGCTGGCGGAAAACCGGAGTTGCGATTCAGTCAAAAGGGACATTGAGCAAGTGCTGAAATTGCAATCGGCCAGAGTTTTGGATAGGCCTCAAATGGGTGAGTTTACTTTCCTGGTTATCTTAATTATCGCCAAATTATGAATTAAAAGTCAGATTGAGATTCGCAAGCAAATGACTATCGGATTGAAAAACTATTTTGCCATCGACCTAGTATACCATTTATTTATGTTATGTTTGATGAACGGAAAAGAAAATATCAAATTAACTCTGGAATGTAACGTGTGAAAATTCGCATTGTTTAAAAATGAATGAAACTGTATGTTTACTTTTTGGTATCTGAAATGCAACGATGTCGCTATAATATGCTTAGATTTGTTTATGTTTCCATTCCCATTCACAGCTTTATTTCATTGAATAAGCAAATCGGTAGCCTTTGTAAATATACGAACGTAAATTGTGACAGTTATGAAATGTGACATTTCAAGGTATTTAAGAAAATGGTTTTCACTGCTTCAGAAATGTGTATGAATTTTTGCTGTTATTTCAAGTATTACAAAAGCAAATCTTGTTTTGAATATCCAACAGATAATAGGTAAGTGATTTTATTGTATTTGTTTGGGTTTAAGTATATGTTAATAGTTCACCTGTTAAATTAAAAAAGTACCTACATAATGCAAGAAAAGATATTGCTTATTTTTTCATCATCTGATAAGTGTATGGTGATATCTATATTACGGGATTGTAGAGATGAAGAAATGTCAGAAACCTTGTGAATACCGCAAGAACCAGTGTTGGGACAGAGGTGCTATTTATTACTACGTAATTATCAGGGCGATTATTAAAATAGTTGGACATCACGTTTGAAAAGATAAGTTATACGTAAAAGAAATGAATCGCGAGTAAATGTTAAAATTGTCATTTCCCAAGCTCTGCATGCCCAAATTTTATCGGAGAGGGGGATTTTGTCAGTGGGAGTATCGCCTGCCAGCGTTTTTCAAACTATATATGGTTATTCAAGCATTTTATAGTGGTCCTATGTATTATGTGTTTAAATTGTTTCATTCAGATCATTACTGTTTTCAATAGTAAATATCTATCACATATTTTGTTGACCGCCTATCAGTACCTTCTCGATTGTCAGCTGAACTGTGAAAAAAGACGAAATCAAACTCGTTCGAGTAGGTACATCGCAAAATCCAACTTGATATCGCTCTTGGAAGAAGCTGTCATCTTTCATTTCCAACACAGTCCAAAAACTATCGTTGGTTAGGTGGTTACAACCCCGACAACTGGACAATTGCATGTCTGACGTTGAGAAAACAACCACACCTTAATCAAATTCTCAATATTTATAGAAGGTGCCAGAGGGAGCTGTGAACCCCAGCAAAACTGAGATGGACCCCTTCACCAGGAAGGGTAATGTAGATTCAACTCCTACATTTGCAAGAGAACTGAAATGTCTGGGCATTATCCTCGATAACAACAAATTCGTTTTTGTACATGGGAATCTCGTAAACGATAGAGTGTCGGTTAATTTGTGGCAAAGTTGCGTATTTCAGATACCTATTCAATGATGTGAAAAAATTGAATATAGCTCTTCTGGTTCTGGAGATATACAGGAAAAACCAAAAAATCCCTAATTATTTTTTTGCCTATATCTTCTTTATTCGCAGACATTTTGAAAATCTGTCCACATTTGGCCATTGTCACTTGATGTGTGCTATCAGAATATGTCTATGAATATTTTATACAGTTGACTTTTCCATTCAGTTGTGTTCCACTCCATACATCCCAGTACAGCTTGATCATAACTATGAATCGAAAATAAACGATGCAAAACAGAACCACGCCAACAAAATACAGACGAATCGCATTTTTCGCAGCATTCCGGCAAATGTTTCTCTAATTTCGTCGTCTTCGTCGGCCAGCTCACAAATTAGACGGGCGATTTTCATCGGAGGTGTTAGTCCAAATAAACATCAGGCCATGGAAACACGTGCCAACCTAATTTTAGAAAACGGAAACGGGCGCGTGTGTTTCTCTTGTTTCACTACCCCGCTCATGGCAAGATGGATTCGTTCGGGGGATGCCGGTGCGGCTAACAATAACAAATATCGGTACGGAAACAGATTCGACTCGGATCTGATTTCTTGGCGATGGGTTTTACACTGGCGTATTTGAGCCAGAGCCAGGGCGATGGCCAATTAAGAGAATACTATGAGGATGAGCAACGGGATATTTGATAAAATACGCGATTTAAGGGCTAAACATATATTATAGCTTGGTTGTAAGTTTGAATTGCTTTCTGTTTCTTCGTACTGGTAGATTTGCAATGAGAAAGGATTTATAAATATTCCAACTGGGGCACCAGCCGCGGAGAAAAAAGGCGCGTTTATAAATTATTTTAACAAGTATAATGGATTGTGAATATGATTTCTACTCAGTGAGAAATTCACCTCCGTTTGGCAGATTATAAAGTAATTAGTTCGATTCCCGATTTGGAACCATCGCGAACAAGGTCATGAAGAATTATGACGCGACAAATCCGTCGACGACAAAGAATCGAACTCCTTTGAAACCCGAACTTTTGCGTCCCAAAAACGAGTCAGAGCCGCTTATCGAAAAGCGGAATCTCAAATTCCAAACGACCGTTTCGACAATACAAATAAAAATTCCGAAATACACCGTATCTCCTCCCATTGTGTATCTGAAAGAGGCAAAATGTTTGTCTCCCATTATTTATCACCCCTGAAAAATCTACATTCCACCTACGTCGTTTAAAAAACTACTTCCCGGGCAGATGTGCGAGACAAGGGTGGAGACAGTTGAAGCTAGGAGTGCGGAGGGTGCGAAGAAATTGTTACCCGCAGCGCTTCATAATTTCTTTGTCAGAATTATAACTTTGTGGGAAGAAAGGGCAGCCCTAGAGATTCTCAATAAGGGATTTAATTGGAGATAATGGTTATTTCCGATGGTGTCGTTCGAAACAATGGTTTCTTTTTGTAAGAGGGACAAGAATGGTGAAAATTAAAGTTGAATAACAATATGAAACATTTGAATTGAAAAGGGAATATTATAAATGTATCACAAGTTACTTTCAATTGGTGTAGCAGTTCCAAAGTTACAAAGCAAAGTTACAAGTTATTCATAAAATTATTAATGAAGCTTGAGGTAATATAAATCAATATAAAGTAATAATTAACTAATAAAACCACTTTTATTAATGATCTTTTGTAGTACATTACAGATTAGATATATAGTATAAGACTCTAGCATTAATTTATTAAACTAAAATAATGTGGATAGATGTTTTTATTGCCTCGAGAACACTGGAGGATACTTATTTTTGTGTATTGTTTAGTAGACTTTCTTATATAAGATTTTGATTTCCATTTTTTACACAACAATTGTTAGTGCGCTGTGAATAGAATCGCACACGCATCAAACCCCTTTTTGCAGCTCAATCCTTGGCCAAACATTCGATCAAAACGAATCCCTCGGAGACCCCTTCTCGCGAAGGGGGCGCCCCTGTGCGTGTGTCATTTCACACCCTCATTCATCACCCTGCTGCCGGGGTAGTTGACAGCAT